CCGGCTGTGCAGCGAGTGGGCGGAGCTCGTTACTCTGACGTAGCAACAAGCTGCTCATTAAGGAACTATAATTTGGTGAAGGAACTGCGAACATTAAAACATATTAAACGCCGCGTTCACAGCCCAGTTTATTAATTTATTACTTTATTTATTTAACTGTTGTATAAAATCAATAGAACACTCGAGGAGTGTGTTATCGCCAATAACATCACGGCTGTGATGTTATTTATAACACACTCCCTCTGTGTTCTGTTGCTTCAATATTAGATATATCGGCTAGATTTAAGATCCTTTCACTTGACAATAGACCATTTTTTGCAGTGTAGCATAGATGACACTGATCTAGGAATACGAGATGACCAAGCCTGTTGGGTTCACTGTACCCCGTGTTTGGCTGTGCTCTGCTCTCCCTGACTAAAACAAGCAAGAAAGTCAAGAAACGGTCATAATATGATGGTAATATTCTTACAGCAGCCTCATCATGAGAAATCTTGATACATCCTGAGTCCATTCTGGCTGAATTCACTTGCCAAGAACATTTTTTTGCAGTGAGAGATTGTTTTCATGATCATGGTCATCATGGTTTATCAGTATCAGAATATTCTTTCTCAAAATATGTTCATAGCTGGTTGTGTAATCTGGTAGAGATTCGTTCAGTGTGGTAATCCTAGCCTTCGGAGAGGCTGCCAATGCTGAGTAGGCCTGCTTTTTTTGTTTTTGGTCATTTGTTTTAACGTTGAATGTGTTATAGTTGCTGTATTTGTCATAATTGCTGCCAAGTCAGGGCAGATTTACTTGCAGACGGTGTGTATTTTTTACATTCTTCTGTAAAAAGTCTGTGTGCGCGTGCTGTTGCCCTTCTGGATGACCTGAATGGCATCATCTCATAGACTGCCTTTATAAAACGCTCACCACAGTAGAAAAGATAATGTAAACAAAAACAAAAACGGTTCTTTTAAAGAGATTAAAGCTGTGGACTCGATCACAGCTCACAGTGCATTCAGAGCAAGTTTGCTTTATTATTGCTATTTTTATTTTTATTTTCTTTTTATTTTTTAGGTTTTATTTTGTGGAATAAAATGCCGACACACTGTCACCGGTTCAGATTCAATCAGCTGAAACAGTTGGCTGGACTCGACTGAGCCTCTGTTGGAACAATCTCCTAACGTTGAGGGAACGTTAACAAATGTACATCTTTAAAAAAAAAAAATCTCTGAAGTTGAAACGTTACCGTCGCCTTTCTTTTCGAGGAACATTCAGTGTTGTAGTCGTGTTCTGAGACATGCAGCGTTTTGCTCTCATCACAGGACTCGAGGGTTGGAACAGCGAGGATGCTGTGGCTTAAATAAGGAGAAAAAAATTGATTAAAGACTTTTATTGATTAACCCTTTCAGGCTGTGTCCTGGCTTCGCCAACACAGACGCGAAAAAAGATGCAGAACATATCTGGTCTATTTTTGTCCATTCCTGTTTTTCGTTTGTTTTCATCAGTGTCCTGTTTGTACATTAACAATGCTTTGTATGTTCATATACTGTTTACCATGAACTCCTGGCGAAATAATAAAAATATATTTATTTTAAAATAAAGATGTGTGGGACGTTTTTGGACTTTTGTGCGAGTGTCATCACCTGGCAGTTTACAGTGCACTCTCAGAAATAAAGGTACTAAACTGTCACTGGGGCAGGACCCCTCTTGTCACTGGGGTGGAACCCTCAAGGGTCCATCTCAGTACCTTTAGTCAGGGAACATAACTGAACCATAATCCACTGAAATGATATGTTCTAAGCTGTACTGACTCCACACACCCCGTCTCGTCTCCAGGCTTTTATTTTACTGTTCTGTTTAAAACATTCGGTTATGAAAAGGTACAAATACGAACTTTTCACCTGGAAAAACTTATTTAAGGTTCACAATCAGACCTTAAAACCACTGTTGAACCTTTGAGGGAACATTTACACTGTTTGTACCTTGATGAAGGAAAAATGTACCTGAACAGAACCTTTATTTCTGACAGTGTGGTGCTGAAAGGAACCAGGGGCCGTGTTACAGAAATTTCCTATCTTTTTGTCTTAAGTTAAGATCTGACAGGTCCAGATAAGATTTTTCACTAATTCATTTTACAGAAGCAAATCTAATCTTAATTTAAGAATCTTATCTTATCTTACAGCATGTTTTCTTATCTCCAGTTAAGAAATCTTAACTCGCTCAATCGAAGTCGACAATCAACTGTCATGTCTGTTACCTAGCAACCAACCATACGCGCACAGCAGAAACGTAAACGCGTAATCAAAATAATCAAGCTAGTTAGCCAGACAGCTAACATTACTGATGTACAAAAGCTCAAATGAAACTAAAGCGATAAACTGAAAGTCATTAATATTGTCTCAGCGCCCCCTGCTGTTTATCAGAGTCGCAGCTCCACAGTTTCAGTCTCCATTTCCCAAACGCTTTAGCCGAGCACGCTAACGTTACTCCTCCTAATAAACAGACACACGTTCAGCTCCGTCTCCTCATTATTCACCACCATCACTGTAATATTTCATCATCAACATCAACACGAAGGTAATCAGAGGGACGGTGGAGATCGAGTCTGCAGCGTCTGGGGTTTTGAACGCTGTTAGAAAAAACTCTCAAGTCAAAGTCAAAGCAGCGTTTTCAGTGTAGATAAATGTGACATCATTATGCTGGTTATAGTGAACTGAGCTGCTTATCAGTGCATAAAACAAATAAAACAGACGGTTAAACAGACATTAAGACCCTCTGGGCTTTATCTTAAAGTTAGGACAGTATTTAGGAGATTTCGCCATATTACCGAAACTTCTCAAGTCTGAAATCTTATCTGTTCAGTCACCATGACAACTTCAGTTAGGACTGAATTTGGGACAGAAGTTATTACAGAACAGCAGATCTGAAGTCTATAATCTCATCATTAACTCCAGATAAGAAAACAGTATTACAGAAACATCCTAACTAGACTAAATCTCCTAAATACTGTCCTAACTTTAAGATAAACCCCAGAAAAGTCTTAGGTTAGCTTCTGTTTAACCGTCTGTTTCTATAGTTTTATGCACTGATAGGCAGCTCAGTTCACTATAACCAGCATAATGACGCTACATTTATCTACACTGAAAACGCTGCTTTGACTTTGACTTGAGAGTTTTTTCTAACAGCGTTTAAAACCCCAGACGCTGCAGACTCGATCTCCACCGCCCCTCTGATTACCTTCGTGTTGATGTTGATGATGAAATATTTCAGTGATGGTGGTGAATAATGAGGAGACGGAGCTGAACGTGTGTCTGTTTATTAGGAGGAGTAACGTTAGCGTGCTCGGCTAAAGCGTTTGGGAAATGGAGACTGAAACTGAGAGCGGCGACTCTGATAAACAACAGGGGGCGCTGAGACAATATTCATAACTCTCAGTTTATCGTGCTTTAGTTTTATTTGAGCTTTTTACCTCAGTATCGGTAGCTAATGTTAGCTGTCTGGCTAACTAACTTGGTTACGTTTACATTTCAGCTGTGGCGTATGGTCGGTTGCTAGGAAACACATGACAGTTGATTGTCGACTTCGATTGAGTTAAGATTTCTTAACTGGAGATAAGAAAACATGCTGTAAGATAAGATTCCTAAATTGAGATCAGATTTGCTTCTATAATATGAATTTGTGAAAAGTCTTATCTGGACCTGTCAGATCTTAAGACAAAAGATAGGGGCCGAGGCCGGATTCACGAAAGTGTCGTAAGAATGAAAATCTTCTTAAATGTGTTTTTTTCTTAACTTCATTCTTAAGTTACAAAAAATGGTTTTCTTCAAAAAAGAATTATCTTGTTTTGTTTTCTTGCCTGTTTTCTTAAGAATAATTCTAAGAACAAGTGGTTTCCTTGGTAAGTGTCTAAATTTACCTGTTTATCGACTCCTGCGCGTCCTCGTCTCTTGCTTTTCTCCGTCACCACACAAATACTGTATTTTCCAAAGAGGATTTTGTCCTGTTGGCTGTTTCTTCCACCACCAGCTCTAGTTCTGGAGCTGAAATACAGAAACTTACTGTCTTTTTGTCTTAAGATCTGACAGGCGAGGATAAGATTTTCACAAAATCGTATTACAGAAGCAAATCTGATCTTATCCTACCGCATCTTATCTTTTCTCAGGTTAAGAAATCAACTTAGTCGATCAAAGTCACTTTTGTTATGTGGTAAAATGCGACATAGCCTACATAAGAAAACAAGATTTTCTTAAGAAAATAATTATGTTAGAATATTTGAAAACTTATGTTTTTTTTGAGAATTGCATTTAATAGCATTCTTATGAACTTCTTACTGTTTGTCTTAAGAACCTCTAAGTTTTTTCTTAAGAAAGTTTTCGCAAACCCAGCCCCAGGGGTCGCCATGACTACAAAACAAATCTCACCATTTTATTTACTATCCAAAACCAGCAGTGAACCTACACAAGTTTTTATATGCAGTGTTGATGCTAAAATAGTGATAAATCTGACAAAAAGTTTTCCTTGGGGACTATTTTGTCTCACAACACCCTGCATGTAACCCTCCGCCATGAATGTACTCTAAAAATATGTTTAACACTCAGAACTACCATAGAACAGTGTCTCAGTCATCAGGCAGTGAATTCATAACCATGTCATGTGGTAACCTTCTGTGAGGGAGCTTTTAGAGGTGGACGTCTGGTTCCTATCACCACCACTGTGAACAATTCTGACTTGGCAAGGTTCTCTAGAATGGAGCGTTTCACACCAAACCACTCTGAATGACCTTGCAGAAAATTTTAAAAATTGGTGGAATTCCCCTTTTTAAAAGATGTCTATTTGGCTGCTTCACATTTTTGTCCATAGTTACTGCATAGTTAGAATAAGGTTATTTGGCAAGTGCTGAGCAATGAACTTAATGACAAAGTACACTAACTTTGTTTTGGATGTGGCGCAAGGCATGCCCACCACGGACCCCGTTTAGAGACCCTCTGTTACAGACAACTCGTAGAAAGCACACGGTCATTTATATTTCATGTTTATTTCCAAGTTCATCTCAAAAGGTACATTTGTATCTTACTTTCAACAATTAAAATGTGCTGGAGCACCGCAGTCTAAACTTCTAAAAGCTGCTTAGGACAAATACATTTCAATGAAAGGAAAACAAACTGTATATGTATTACAATAATAATAATAATATTAATAATAAAAAGTGTAAAACAACTACACAGTAGAAAGCATTTAACATCACAAATAAAGAAAAATAAAACAGGGAAGGCAATAAATGTACAAAAGTCTGCAGGACGAAGGACAGAAGTTATACCACAAGCGAGTGTGTGTGTGTGTGTGTGTACGTGTCGGTATGCTGCCTAGTCGAACATGTCGTCGTCATCGTCGTCGTCGTCAGACTCCGCAAAGTACTTGACCTCCTTCTTGGCCCGGCCTGACCGGTCTCTGGCTGAGTCCATGCGGCCGAAACTGTTACTGTTCATGTCATCGTCGTCCTCGTCTGACGCCGGCTTCTTCGGCTTCTGCAGGAAAACACACCAACGTGAGTCTGTGACATTTCAGAATCGGCTGCAGAGGAGATTCTTCTACATTTCTGCATAATTAAATAGTTACAATATGAACAGAGTCGTTCAGAGCGGTTTGGTGTGAAACGCTCTGTTCTAGAGAAACTTACTGAGTCAGAACTGTTCACAGTGGTGGTGATAGGAACCAGACGTCCACCTCTAAAAGCTCCCTCACAGACAGTTACTACACGAAACAGTTATGAATTCACTGCCGGATGATGTTTAGCATAGTTTTGAGAAAATTTTGGCCAAATTTTCACAAAATAGTCCCCAAAGAACATTTTTTTCTGATTTTCCACTATTTTACCATCACCAACATTCCATATTAAACTCAGAAGACTCGTGTAGGTTCACCGGTGGGTTTGGATGGTAAATAAAATGTCTATATTTGTTGTAGTCATGGCGACCCCTGGTTCCTATCACCACCACTGTAAAGAAATCTGAGTCTCTACTATCAACCATTTCACACCAAACCACTCTGAATCGCTCTATTCTGCAGAAATTTTGAAAAAAGGTGGAATTTCCCTTTATGCAAAAAGTCCATATCAGAAATAACCCTCTGCAGCACATTCACAAAAATAAAATATCATTAATATTTTCTTACTATGCCTGATATATACAAATGAGCTCTGTTCTGATTTAAAATCAGGCTGGGCTAAAACACCTCTTATAACTTCACTGCAAATGAGTGGGGCTAAGTTGCTGTAGGCCCCATGTGTCAAACACAAGGCCCGCGGGGCAGATCAGGCCCACCACACAATTTTTTTCGGCCCGCAAAAGTATTTTAATTTTTCATTAATATTAGCCTGTTCACAGTGCACTGAACTACAGTTCCCAGCATGCACTGCAACATAATGTGTACTGACTCTGCTACCCCTAACGGTCTATGGGACAGCGGTTTCACCTCAGTTCTACAGAATTCTATTCCACACCAGTCACATCACCAAAATGCATTTCAGCTGCAGTTCAACCAACACGAACAGCAAAGTAAGGATGCCAGGTGTCGAGTTCAAGCACACAGGTATGTTTAAAAGACTGAGCTCCCAGCATTAAAATTTTGAATATTTCACGTATTCATGTAATATTTCAAACTCTACTACAAGCGTCTGTATTTTACTGCTGAAGTTTTTCCATATTTTGAATAATCAATGACCAGTTCGGGTTTTAGCACAACATTAATTAAAAATGAACTAAAAACATGGGCGTTCTTTGGCCCCCAGATTTGATGAGATTTCTGAATATGGCCCTTTTAGCGGTTCAGTTTGACAGCCCTGCTGTAGGCTGTATAGGAACAGTAATGCAAATGCTTTGATTTTCATGACATCAAAAAAACAATTCATTCAAATTCACTTAATCCACTTAGTTTCCTTATATGGACTGTTTGGAGTGAGGAATAAACAGATTTCAACAAATTTACAATGTTGACCTACTACAGTGGTGCTTGAAAGTTTGTGAACCCTTAGGAATTTTCTACATTTCTGCATAAATTTGACCTAAACCTTCATCAGATTTTCACACCAGTCCTAAAAGTAAACAAAGAGAACCAAATTAACCAAATGTGACACAAATATTAGACTTGGTCATTTATTTATTGAGGAAAATGATACAATATTACATTCTTCAACTTGTTTAATTTGGTTTTCTTTATCATCTACTATTAGGACGATTAAATCAAACGTCAAATTTATGCAGGAATACAGAAAATTCTAAAGGGTTCACAAACTTTCAAGCACCACTGCACATCAAACTCTTTCTTCCTGCAGGTGAGGAAATCTCAGTTTTCAGTGATATGAGCTCTTTAAGACTGCAGTGGTTTTGTGAAGCTGGCCTAACGTGTACAGCGAGACTCACTCTGCTGCTCTGGGCTTTTCCAGTCTTCTTCATGGGGCTGTATTCGTCTTCCTCAGAGCCGGACGGCTTCCTCTTCCTCCCCCTGCCTTTGCCCGGGCCTTTAGCTGCCACTGGAGGCTTTTTCGCCGCCGTGTCCGAGTCCGAGTCCCAGACGGAGGTGTCGGGCTTCTTCGGCTTGGCTGGAGCTTTCCGGGGCTTGGGTGCTGCTTCTGACGGCTTCTTGGCTGAAGGGGACAAAAACCAAAATTTAAATGTCTGACCCCAAAAATCGGTCTTAAAAGTGTTTCTTTATCTGAATAGGAGAAAAAGGATGATTGTGTTTTGTGCTGCTCATCATAAAACATCAATAACCTCTGTATTTCATGGTTTAACAGCCTGAGCTGCAGAATAAACGAAGACACAAAGACAGAGTCAGCGGTCAGTTCACTAAAGAGGTCAACAATGATGTCGCAAGGATTTTCTCAACACCACTAATATATTTTTCCCTTAAGAAAGGTCATTTTATGAATTAAATGAATTGGATACAAATAGGGCACTTTGGGAATTTTCACATGTACTGTTGTTTGCAGAAGTTTGTGCACCCCTGGTCAAATTACATGTAGTTGATTTTTTTGAGTGAAAACCAAAAATATAAAATGTGGCCTTTGCAACAGTCATAGCATATTTTGTACTTTAGTTTTATTTTTCCCATATAAACAAATAAAATTTGCAGAAAAATACCACATTAAGTTTGTTCTCTGTGGAGATGTGGTTCTCTGTGTCTGTAGATTAAAAAACCCCCCTGGTGTTCAAACTTTTGCATACGACTGAATGCAATACACTAAATAACCTCACAAACAAGCCGCACGTCTGAGTTTGTGTGGCATCTTCATATATGCAAAAAGTCTGAGACGATCCAAGGCTGAAAACACCCTGAAAATCTCCCAACTTGATTGCTCAGTAGAGAAAAAGTGGTGTAAACACTGCAACACCTTTCTGAAAAGCACCACCGGTGGAAGTGTTACTGTGTTAAAATACCGCTGCACGCTGGTCAAGTCACAGAAGTGTTCTGGCCAGTGTGTGTGAGAGGGGAACCCCCTGCTGGCGGTGTTGTGGTACCTTTCTTAGCTGGAGAGGGTTTCTCAAACGCTGAGCTGCTGGAGTAGGATGAGAAAACTGGACCTCTGTCATCTTCATCGCTGTCTGACTTCACTTCTAAGGGAAACACAGACAGACATACTGATGAAAAAATAATTAAATGTTAACTCATTCATCTAAAAGCCTAGCTACTCTGGGACTGCTGTCAGAATATTATACGATTGTTTAACACATTTCTGGATGCTATATTTTATTAGTATTTCTGGTTTGGGAGACAATTTTGCTCATTTAAAAAAATAATACAGATATTTTGGTGACACTTTATTTTGAGTGTCCTTTCAGATGAAACAAACACTCAACGGACTCTCAGTAACATGTCAGAAACATATGAGGGTGAGGATTAGGGCCAGGATTAAGATCAGGATTATGTTTTGGGTTGAGGTTAAGGTTAAGGTTAGTATTAGGGCCAGGATTAAGATCAGGATTAGGTTAGGGTTGAGGTTTAGGTTATGGTTAGGATTAGGGCCAGGGTGAGGGTTAGGATTAGGATTTGGGTTGATGTGAAGGTCAGGATTAGAATTAGCGCCAGGGTGAGGGTTAGGATTAGGTTTTGGGTTGAGGTTTAGGTTAGGGTTAGGATTAGGGCCAGGGTGAGGGTTAGGATTAGGTTTTGGGTTGATGTGAAGGTTAGGGTTAAGATTAGGGCCAGGGTGAGGGTTAGGTTTTGGGTTGAGGTTAGGGTTAGGACTAGGACCAGGGTGAGGGTTAGGATTAGGTTTTGGGTTGAGGTTAAGGTGAAGGTTAGGATTAGGGCCAGGGTGAGGGTTAGGATTAGGTTTTGGGTTGAGGTTAAGGTGAAGGTTAGGATTAGGGCCAGGGTGAGGGTTAGGTGTTGGGTAAGGTTGGTAAGGTTAGGTTTTGTGTAATGAAAGTAACATATTAACAACACATCTACTTACTGTAAGTAATGTATCAACAGAACATCTACAGGATATTTATTCAGTGTATTCAGATGCTTCACTACTGATACTTCACTGATATGTTGTTGATGTGTTACTGATAATCTCTTATGGGTTTATTAATCATCTACAAAGTACCACTCAAATAAAGTGTTCAGATATTTTTCCTTGTTAAAGAAGTAAAGCAAAAAATAAGATAATTTTACTAGATTTAATAATTTAAAATAGTAAAAAACTAAGAAGACATCTAGAGCAGAATCTCAAATGGGAAATGTTACATATCCTGACACTGTTATGAAATATGTATGAAAACCATGCAAAACAAATCTGGCCACACAGCCACAAACACATACCACTGTCACTGCTCTTCTCTGAGTAGGCGGATTTGGACGAGGAGAATATGCTCTGTGGTTCCTTCTTCTTCTTGGCTTCTGTGACAGAACTGGAGACAAAATTAAACAAGATTACATATCAGATCTAAAACAAGCTTCGATTATTAAAGGAATAATCAGTCAATCAATCACCCTTTATTTAAACTCGGAATACATTGAGACCCTCATTTACAATGTAGCAGAGTAATGCAGGAATCAGGGATTGAGAAGTTGTACAGTAAAAAATAAATCAAATGTTATAATTAAATAATAAAAATCATTATAGTAAGATTTAATAATAAGAAGGTACCAATAAACTGTTAAATCAATAGACGATAAAAATTACAATATAGTAACTTACCAAGTAAGAGAGCAGATAAAGATCAAATAAAAATATAAATTCATGAAATAAAAGAAATAGATGTAAGACAACAAATTGACAATAATAAAATAAGTAAAAAGAATACTAATAATAGAAATAAAAAGAATAAAAAGAATGATAAAAAGTAAAGAAATAAAAGTACAAAAGTAAAAAAAGTAAAAACAATAACAAAATGTATTCTTTAAGTGACGCCTTTTGTAACGACTACACGAAAAACTCGAAAGAAGTGATGCTTAAAATGAAGCACGTACGAAGTCAGTGTTGGTTTTGGAGGGAATATGTCATCATCATCATCTTCATCATCGTTGTTGTTCTGTGTGGTGGGGAAGCTGTCTTTGTAGGAGTGGACCGGAGAGGATGGTGCGTCGTTCTCTTGTTCTTCATCGGCGTCGTCCTCATCTTCCTCTTCTGAGAAGTCGAAGGTGTACTTCGCCTTCATGGCTGTGAAGGGAACGAAACAGTGAGTCATTCTGCAGCGAGTTTACAAATCAACGATCAGCCAAACATTTCCTCAACCTTTTCTTCAAAGCTGAATGTGGAAACTCAAAAAGGAGTTTTCAGGAATGTTTAATTCACTACTCAGAATTTTACTAAGTTGTCCAAGTTCTTAAGGATCACCAGAACATTCGGAACTCTCATTTTCAGTCATGCCATATTTATTATGTTCTTTTCTTGCAGTTTCTGTTCTTTTATCTGTGCTCCAACAGGTCTTCAAGTTTGGCCTGGAAGCCTGTTTGCTAGCCAGACACTTATTACTGTAATGTCTCGATAGTTTCACATTTTCAAAATGGGGTTTATTAAATAACAGATAATGTTAGTGGTTCTTCAAGGGTTCTTAAGTAAAGAAAATGCTTCTATAATGGTTCTGTCTATATCCTTGCATGATTAAAGGGTTCTTTGCATCGTGAAAGCGTTCTTCAGATTGATGGAGAATGTGCTGTAGATGGTTCGACATAGAATCTTTGTGAAAATGGTTTTATGTAGCACCAAAAAGGGTTCTACTGTTATTATGTCAGTCTTGTTACAACAGAACCACAGTAGCCATGTTTACTAGCAGCCTAATAATCCGTTAATAATCCAACTAATAGCTCAACTGGAATAGAATATTCAGAATATTTGGAATACTATTTCTATCCGATTGAACGAGATGGGTAAATAATCCATTAAATAGAAGAATAATATCCATGTAAACGCCTGAATCTGATTACATTCCCTATCGGAAAGTTTAAGTCCGTTCTGATCATGTTCGTCACGTCATAGTGAAAGTTTATACCGTTCAACATGGCGGAGCAGAAACTGGTCTGCAGAGGAGACGAAGTTTATGCTCTGATCTTTAAAAGACGGCGGTGGGACGGACGTCCAGCTTATGTGTCTCAGAACACGACGTCTTCCTCTCGGCCTTCTTTAATAAGGACATGTGAAGGACGTTTTCCTGAGTCTGACATCATTTTAAAGCAATTAAAAACACAAGCGCTGCTCACTGCTGCTCATCTCACTCTGACTGGCATCACGTGATGCTGGTTGTCATGGTAACGTGTACACTAAGTGGTACTCTTGCATAATTTTGGATCTGATTACTTGTAGTGAGCATGAAAAACAGATTTTCCATCAGATTGTTGAGTAGAGTGAGAATAAACACCTCAGTCTTAATCTATAATCAGAATGTTTTCAATCAGACTGACAAAAATCTTCGCATGTAAACACAGCCAGTGTGGCAGAAGCGGCACTTGAAGTTAGTGCCAGAATTACCTGCAAAAATACTAACGCATTTGGCTTTTCATCAGTGTTCACACTGATGACAGATACAGGATACACACACAGTAATGTAAACCACTGAGGCAGAAAGATCAGATCTGAGTAAATACTGTAATTGCGAAATAAGGCTTTTAATGTGAACATGGCCGTAAATGTGCCAACGCGCACCTGAGGCTCTCCTGGAACTTGTGTCTCGGGGAATGACCGGCTGCTCGCTGTTCTCCTCCAGATCGCTGTCAGATTTGTCGTCGTCATCGTCGGACCAGGGGTTCCTCTTCTTGGTCTTCTTGGCTGGGCCTTTCCCTGCGCCTGGAGCCTTCCTCTGTCTGGGAGCGCCTGAAAGGAGAGCACATCATATAGATATCCATAAATCTTCTCCCCAGTTATTCTGTCTCCTAGTGTTGTTTTGTAGCTATATTCATGCAACTGAATTCAGCTTTGAAAAGAAGCAGTGCTGGGAGGTACTGATAAAATTCTGTATAAAATTGTTTTCCAAAAATATCACAATATCACATTTCCATTAGCATTATTCAAGTTACTGAACTTATATCGAAATCGCAATTTCAATAGCTGCAATTTTTTAAAATTATAGCCTACATTATCAAAAATATCAAGTGGAGGAATTAAACACACTTGTGAACTGCCTGTTGATGAGTTAGACCAATCAGATCCAACCAAGCCCCCATTTGTTGGTATCACAACCACAAATTACTGGTTGTCTGGCACACTACATTCAGGGGTCAAGGCTCAAGCCAGAAAAGTTGGATATTCTGGTCTTCTTGGCCAAAAGAACAGGCCGGAACCTTATTTTATAGAAAATAATCTATAATCAGTTTAAATCGTAGTCGCAATACTAGTCAGAAAAATTGCAATTAGATGTTTTCCCTAAATAGTTCAGCCCTAACTCTGCGCTAAAAAAATGTCTTACAAACCTGACAGTTTGTTTTGATTTACTGTTGTGTGCCCTAAAGGACACATATTCAGTACCTTCAATTGGGGAACAAAATCATACCACATTCTGTTGCAGTTAAGCAGTGCTAAGTTACACTGACCCCACGCACCCTGTTTGCACTTCATTTTATATTTTAATTTTATTTTTATTTTAATATGTCCTATTCCTCTGGCACTGTGAATGTATTATACCTTTCAAACTCATTTAAGGTACACAACTGGATCTTAAGATGACTGCTGTACCTTTGAGGTTACCTCTACATTGTTTCTGACTTGGGGAACCACAATTTACCCAGTCAGTACCTTTCTTTCTGACAGTGAAGACAGAAAGCAGATTTCTAGAAAAGAAAACACTATATTTCTTTAATCTTCATGCATTTTTAACTGGTCTGAAATAGAAAATAATAAATGACGTCCACTGAAGGGAACTATGTTTTGTTATCTTTTAATCCTGCTAAAATTAGTATTTTGTGTAACACCAATAACGGTATATCAGTATAGATGATAATGCTAATCACTTAAATCTTTACCAGGTTCCTTTTTCTCTTTTTTGACGCGTGGCGCTTTGGGTTTGGCTCCAGGGTTCGGAAGGCCAGACGGAGAGATGAGAGAGTTCTCTCCTGCAGCACCGTTAGAGTCCACCACGCCATCATCGTCAAACTCGATCTTCACCGCCAGATCCGCATCACCCTGGAAGACACATACACACACTTAAGCACAGGCAATAAAACATGGTTAACCCTTTAAACCCCAAGAGCCTGTATGTGGGTCCACACTCTCACAATTACAGAACCTTTTGGGTTTCACAGTAGATACTGAATAATTATTAGTAGTTAATCAGGTAAATAGTAGTAAATAATAGGGTTGGGAACAGTCAATGGAAATTCAGCCCAATAAGCATTTTTACATTACTGTGGCGGATAAAACGATCAATACTCAAAGAGCGACAGGGGACAAATCAGAGTGTCTGTGAGTGGGATCTACTGTTACTCCAACAGATGGAGGGCTAATCAGAGTGTCTGTGAATAGGATCTACTGTTATTCCAACAGATATAGGGCTAACCGGAGTGTCTGTGATTGGGATCTACTGATATTCCAACAGATAGAGGACAAATCAGAGTGTCTGTTAATGGGATCTTCTGTTATTCTAATCGGGCTAATATATTTGCTAATCAGAGTGTCTTTAAACAGGATCTACTCTGTTATTCTAACAGCTAGAGGACAAATCAGAGTGTGTGTGAATGGGATCTACTGTTATTCCAACAGATACAGGACAAATCAGAGTGTGTGTAAATGGGATCTACTGTTATTCCAACAGATACAGGACAAATCAGAGTGTGTGTGAATGGGATCTACTGTTATTCCAACAGATACAGGACAAATCAGAGTGTGTGTAAATGGGATCTACTGTTATTCCAACAGATACAGGACAAATCAGAGTGTGTGTGAATGGGATCTACTGTTATTCCAACAGATACAGGACAAATCAGAGTGTCTTTAAACAGGATCTACTCTGTTATTCTAACAGCTAGAGGACAAATCAGAGTGTGTGTGAATGGGATCTACTGTTATCCTAACAGATAGCGGGTTATTTAGAGGGTCGATTCTTTTAGTACAGTTACAGCCTCACCTTCTTCTTCTTGGTCATCTTCTTAGAAGCATCAGCCTTCATGGCCAACGTAATCTGGGGCTCTATTCTGCGGCCGAAGGGCGACGGCAGGGTCTCCTCTAGCTGGATCTTCTTCACCTTCGGCTTGCCCACCTTGCCTTTCACCAGCTTCACGCCCTTCCCCTGGTTGGCGTTCTCTCGCTCCTGCTCCTCTACCCGCTGCAACATGGGGAGAGACACAGAGCGAGTTTCAGTAGTCAGATAAAGAAAGACTACTCTCACTGCAAAAACAGGATCTTGTCAAGTCGATATATCCAATATTTCTCCTGTTAAGTTCGTTGCAAGCTTATTATTAAGATTATTTAACTTATTTCCAAACATTTTTACTTGTTTTAAGTTATCTTATTGAGTAAAATGATCTCACTATATTGGTAGATAAGAAATGTGCTTGAAACCAGCTAAATTATCTGCCAGTATAGTGAGATAATTTTACTTAGTGAAATTTTTTGAAACAGGTAAAGAAATGTCTAGAAATAAGCTAGGTAATCTTATAACAACTGCACAGCCATCTCAAAACAAATATTACACATATTGACTAGAATTAACGTAATTTTACCTGACAAGATGCCACTTTTTTTTTAGTATTTAAAGCCAATTACAAAGTTTCTGCATTATCTTAACAATTTTTCAACTGCATGTAGCTTTGTTTACATCTCAGTGTTCACTAAATAAACTCTCTCCTGCTGAGTCAGAGAATCAGGTGAGAAGAAATCTCCAACACTAGAAATCTCTTTTTGTATGCAAAGCAAGTAGACATGGCTTTGGAAATCACTGATTTAGTGCATGTGTTCCAGTCCTTAGTTTTGCCAGCTAGGGGCACTATTAGCACGCAAGTTGCCGTGAACCCATGACAGAAGGACCTAATGAACCCACTAACAACTATTGAGACAACAAGTGAAGTAGTTTTTAGATGTTGGGTTACGCAGAATAACATTATTTAATGTTTTTTATGATAAACCAGTTGAAAACAGTTTTTTTTTTAAAACAGTTGATGTTTAAAAAAGTATATGAACTAAAAACAGAACAGAAAGTAGGTCTAAGCTGCAATAGACCATGATAACTGCGTGATGATTATGAACATTAAAATATTATCACTTAACGCTTCAGAGTACATCCGCCGCACTCCTATGTGAAAACTCGACTTGTGGATTCGGCACCTTAAGCGTCGTTAAACACGCATGAACACTGCAGGAAATGTATTGTCAACACTCACGTCCAGTTCCTCAATAAAGACAGCCAGGTCTTCTCTCCACAGATCCTCTGAACATTTCCTCTGCAGGTCATTCAGTTCTGCTTTCTGGAATTAAACCACATAAACAACAGTGTTGGCAACAGCAGGGATCCCAAACCCACATTACCTGGTGTGGTGAACCTCTCCAAGGTGGGAAAAAAGTTTGTCATCGTTTTACCTAATGCTGCAAACTAAAACTAGGACAAGGTAATTTTTTTCTCAAGTATGAATTTTAACTACTTATCTGCACTCTTTTCATCTTAGACAATGTTTATTAGCAAGATTTGTGTCACTACAAACCTCAGCAGCTACTAATAAAATAGTAATGATTATTATTATTATTATAATAATAGTAGTAGATAATTTCATGTTGAATTAAAACCAAAAAACCTTACATTTAACAGCAGAATTGTGAAAGCAGTGGAAGTAAGTCAAGTGTTGCCAAAATGAGCAGTTAATTAGAATTTCAGTGGATCTGCTTTATTTTCTCATTCATTTCTAAATTCTGACATACTGTATCTTCAATGAATCCACAATGGCAGATTTAACTAACTCTCTAAGTTATAATAATATCTAAGTTAGTGATAACCAAGTAACAGTCAGTGTGTGGCGTCAGTTTTTATTGTAATGGTTCTACTTGCATACAGTGCTCTGTTAGTGCGTCTAACAGCATAATCATCAGTTTAAGCTGTTTTTCTAGAGCTTATGTTGGGCCACAGTGATGGGGCTATCTGAGGCTGTCTCTGACCCACAGGCAGGTAATTTTCTCAGGCTGACAGAAAAAAAATAGTTTGTTAAACTAATTTTAACTCATGTCTGGAGTTCCCTGAAGCAAGAAAAACCAAACCGGCTCACGACGACTATCAACAACGATGTACCTTCATGTCTCTCTGTTTGAGAAGCTCATCCACCTTCTCCTTGGTCAAGCACCACAGAGGCATGTTGAGGATGTAGTTAAAGTTCGGCCCTGACGAGGAGCCAGAGTCCACTGAGCTGTCGCTCTCGTTGCCATCGTGATCCTCGTCCTCCAATGCCTGTGGAAGGGCAGGTTCAGAAAGATTAGATCCTAAATAGGCGGCTTTTCTGTTTTGTTAAATTCTCTACATATCAGAATAACCACAATAACAGAACTGAGAAATCGCATTAAAAGACAGAAGTAGTCGTTTATTTGGCCTGAAATTAAAAGGTTAACCATTCAGATCCAGGTAGTGGTAACTAAAACAAAAAATAACGTGATGTATTGTGTATATTATATACCTTCTCCTGCGCTTTGTTCCAAGCTGCCACTGGGTCGGATTCATAGCCCCTCTGGACCAGCATCCGGATCAGTTCTCTCTTACTCTTGTTTTCTGAAAGAGAATTAAATCATTTAAACTTTCAGTGAGCAAACTGTAATGCATTTGGTTCTGCTGCGGTAGAGTTAGATTAACGCCTTTGGTCTGAGTGGGTGAGAAAATGCACTGCAATGACAATGAAAAGCACTGCAAGGGTTGTGTGAGGGCAGCAATTCAACATAGCTTAGAATAATGATTAAACAATTAAAATAACCAGTGTTTTTGCTCCCAATAAGCTCCAAATAATGCCAAGTGTATTATTTTTATTTTGGCCAATCTGTAATTAAGGTAATTGCACTTGTGCTGTATTTGAATGCTGCTGCTACACATGTACCAAAACGTCATAGCATCGTTATGTATGACTCATTGGTATAAGCAGCTAATTGCCTTTTACTTTCAGTATGTCACTTTATTTAGAGCACTGATTATAATGTTATTTAAACAGAGTTTTAAAATTGCATACCTATTTATCTATTTAAATATGCATAATTTAAAATGTTAGTTTGGAGCAAATGGTCTTATTTATATTGTGACTTTGTCTAATGGAAAGGTCTGGAATTGTTGTGTGTGTTTCATGTGTTAATTTAGTCCTCAAACATCAAAAACTGACCTAAACTGATCACTGACCAGTTTGACTATGAAGAAATCTGAACTGGAATCAGTCATAAAAGTTCAAGATCGGTGCATCCATAAAAACAACAATAAATGACGCAACGAAATGAAAATTCAGGACATGTTTGGCCAAATGAAGGGTTCTTTTATATATAATCTGCCGTTTCATTTATGGTTTTATATTAATGTAATATTGATGACAGTGCTGTCATGTTGGGAAAAAACTTAACAGATCCAGAGGTAAAAAAATATTATTACTTATATATATTATTATTATTAAGATTTTGAGCTATTTAGTGTTATTTTTGTAATTTCCTTTTCATTAAATCACTTAATGCTGAAAAGCATGTCAGCTAAAGGTCGCATGACATTTTTATGATTCACTCTTGATCAGCTGCTGCTCAAACTGTTTGAACGTGTCTTTGCATTTTTATTAATCTCTCAATTTCACTGATACTGAAATGAGTTGTAAAGTGTTAAATTTTATGGAGTTATTTAATATTTTGCTTTTTTTCTGCCTTCTTCTCTGTTAGCTAAAAACTGAAGCATTTCTGGCTCAAAATTTTTGGTGTCCCAAATTTTGGTACATTATAATGTAAATAATGTTACAGATCTTAAAAGCCTGAGCTTGCACACCAAAAGAGACTGAATCGTGTCAGGTGTACTCAGAGGGCACAAAGAATGATGTTCCTAAATAAACAAAAAAAAAAAGACATCCATTTCTTACCGATTGAAATCTTTCCTTCAATCTTCTCGAGCACGAATCGTGCTTGGTTGGAGAGTTTTGCTGACTCGGCGCCCAGGCTGCCGACCAGCCAGTCCTTCCTCAGCTTGTAATAGTGCAAACGCAGCTCAAAGAACTCCTTCAGAATATCCTGCACAGACTCGTACCGCTTCAGACAGCCCATGTGATCAAACAGCACCTAGAATACAAAGCCCAAAAAGAGACAGAGAGAGAGAGACAGAGGGAGAGAGAGAGGACACTTTAACTTTCCGACTTTGAGAAACTCATTCTAGACTAATAAGAGGCACAGCACAGAGTACAGATGAGCGAATGAGAAGTGAACGCCAAAAAAAGTTTAAAGACCCATTATTTCAACTCGTAAACTCATGACTTGGCAATTCTTACGAACAGAGTGTCTGCAGGCATCCTCAAGGTAGAGCTGGGTGATATGGCCAACAATGTTATCACGATAAACAAAATTCATATCGTTCGATATCGATACACACCGCTATAAATGTCAAATCATTATTTCTTTCAAGTTTGAAGGCTGATTTTTGCTCCTGGGGGGTTAATCGCTGTTTTAAACTATCCTTTATGGTCAGAACACGACAAACACTCAAACAGTGGGACATTTCACAGATCTGTCATGGGAGAGTGGGAGAAAGTGTCTGCTGAGCTGTTTTTACCAGCTGGAAAAGCACGGCTATTTTGTAAGAGTCATAATTTAAGAAAGAAAACAGATTATGTTGAGCTGGTGCCGAGCGCTCGGCTACCCCGCTACACATGACATCACAGTATTCAGACACCAGCTAGACGACTGGATATTCAATTGTAGTAGTTTAAGTGGTGAACCTCAATATATCAACACCAGACAAACAGAGTCCTCCTTTTAGGAACGTTTAAACTGAAAGCGGTGCTTTTGTGTCGTGTTTGATCTACAGTATCATCAATTCTCCGTGTTGTGGAGCGGCAGAGCGCTGCTTCAAGTTAGCCAGCTGCTAAAAACAGCTAGCCTGGGAAGATAGCGCTCTCCCGCTCTCCAATGCCTCACAGCTTCCTCAGTTCACTGTTGTTTATATCAAGGCTGTAATTTACATGAACCCACTCCTTTCTTTCACGTTCGTTGCTTGGGAATGCACTAATACTAAAATATGACTGAGCGCTGTAACAGTGCTGGAGTTGTGAGGAGCAGATGTGATTTAACGCTGCTGAAGCTGGTTAGGATGTACAGAAAGAGGTGAGTTCACTGTAGGACAGTTCAGTTACACCACTGACCTCGTCACTCAGACTCGGTCACAGGAGAGCAGATCGCCGGTCGCTCCACTCAAACAGGGAATGTATAACTCTGCGTTTCAGCCGTTGCTAAAGACTCATCTTACTCGTGGCCCCCTCCCTCTCTAATCATGTAGAAAAATTCGGAAGTGCGCCCTCTCCTGGCGACAGCGGAGTAGTGTCGCTTTCCTTGCAGTAGAAAACGCCACCAGGGCTTTCGCTGAACGTGTGTGAGAATGGTGTATTATATCGAACATTTATCGAACATGTCGTATCGCTCTATCGAGGAAAAGTTATATCGCAATAATTATCGTTATCGTTTTATCGCCCAGCCCTACCTCAAGGTAATGGCTGAATACTAATAAATACTGTTTTAAAGTCACATCAAATGTAACTTAAGACCAAATTTGCTGTGCAGATATATCGAATATGAAAACTAGGGCCCAACCAAGGTGAAAATATGTGGTGAAAAAACACTGATTTGAGTCAGATGAATACAAAAAATAGCATTTTATACTTAGATTCTAATTTTAAACTCAAAGTTTTAGTTAAAGTTACACTATGTAGGTTTTGGGGATTTGGAGACCTCTCTGGAGGGAATGAGTAATTGTACACAACATTCTGTAGCGTGTTGTGCTTCAGACTCCCCGAGCGGCTGAATCTGATGATTGAAAGAGAGAGAGATTTTGCATTTGAGGCCTACACATCGAGCCGGACCTACTTTTCGAAAAACTTTGTAAAACTGATATCGGCACAATCACGATAACTGGTATTCATAGTATTCGATTACATCATTAAGAGGACCACATCGCCATGTTGAGCTATAACTCTGACTGAGCTCGTCTCATCACGATTACTGCAGCCACAGCCCTGCAGGTGGATAAAAACAAGCAAAATAGACGAGAACGACCACGAAAAAGATGAAAAGATATGTAGACGTTTTAGGTTAGATTAGATTTGTAGACACTTTAGATGAAATTAGATTAGATTTAGGTTGTTTTACTACTGTAGTGTTATGTTTGTTGCAATATGGTTAGGGTTAATACACCAATCAGGCACTACATTATGACCACCTCCTTGTTTCTGCGCTCATTGTCCATTTTATCATCTCCACTTACTATATAGGTGCACTTTGTAGTTCTACAGTTACAGACTGTAGTCCATCTGTTTCTCTGCATACTTTGTTAGCCCCCTTTTACCCTGTTCTTCAGTGGTCAGGACCCCCATGGACCCTCACAGAGCAGGTACTATTTGCGTGCTGGATCATTCTCAGCACTGCAGTAACACTGACGTGGTGGTGTGTTAGTGTGTGTTGTGCTGGTCTGAGTTGATCAGACACAGCAGTGCTGCTGGAGTTTTTAAACACCTCAGTGTCGCTGCTGGACTGAGAATAGTCCACTAACCAAAAATATCCAGCCAACAGCGTCCTGTGGGCAGCGTCCTGTGACCACTGATGAAGGACTAGAGGATGACCAACACAAACTGTGCAGCAGCAGATGAGCTATCGTCTCTGACTTTACATCTACAAGGTGGACTGACAAGGTAGGAGTGTCTAATAGAGTGGACAGTGAGTGGACAGTGTTTAAAAACTCCAGCAGCATATATGTAATGTGATAATCATAATCATAATGTTATGATCAGTGTATGCTGCCCTGTTTCAAATGGTATAGAGTAAAAAAAAGATAGAAAGAGGAGAGAAAGAAAGAAGCAAGATTTCAGACTGTTGTGCTTTTTAAATGGTAAATAAACTACAAATAAAATGAACGATAAATAAAAAGGAAATCTTATTTTGGTGTTGGTGGAACATTATTTGAATAAAGCTAATATTAAATTTGACTGAAATGTCCATCTGTAAACCTTTTCAAATGAAATCTAACGTGTTTTGTGTTCAAACTTCCCAGTTCAGCCTGTATTGCTGTATTATAGCTAAGCATTGGAGTTTTGCTTTATTGTCAGGTTGTGTGTTTGAATCCCAGCATTACAAGTACCAAAAAGTTATCGTTAGCGTTATGAGATATTTTTGCAAGATACTGATAAAACCACAGGTGTTAATATTGGCCGATGTTATCTGCCAGCCAATATGTTGGTTGAGACCTACAAATGATCTTACAACCAGACAGACGTACTGACGTACTGTAATGACAGACATATTAAGACGCTTTAAGGACTTGCAGTCTCCCTGTAGGAAAACATCATCAAACCAGAATCAGTTAAAAAAATACAATTCCCAGCATGCTCTCACCATGGAGTTGCAGGTGAGGGAAGACTGCAGCTTGAAGACTTTATGAAGACCTGCTGCCTCAGCTTGGGCAAGCTTTTCCTCCGTCATGCGCACCACAAACTTCACTGTGGTGTCTGTGTGATACTCCTTATAGTCACTGATGAGAGCTGGGGTCTTCTCTGTGCCCTGCAGCATGGGCTCCAACACTGATTCCTTATATACCTGCATGGAAGAGACGGGAGAAAAATCAGAAGATGTTCTGCAACAAAGGCTTTTAGAACTTTATGACTTAAAGAGCTCAAATCCTACAATTTTCCAAGCATTTTATTTCCCCCCACCAAGGTCCACTTATAATATTTGTGTGGTTGTCTGAACCAAAAACCGAGTTTCCCAACCTCTCTTATGCCTCAGGATTGAACAGGCTGGTTTTGTTACTGTGCCTTTAAGATTGACGTATGTAAATGACCTCTGGTCTGATTGGCTGCCCTGTATTGTGTCTCATTCAAACAGCTGGCCGGGGTGGGACTTAACTGCTGTATGCTTAATAGGGGAATATATATATATTGTGCCACTAAAAACAGTGAATTGAAATCAAACTGTTTTTTGCAGCTTGTACTCTACGGACAGTAGAGAATGAACAGTACATTTTCAAACTTTAATAATGTTCAAATTTCAAAAATATTGAGAAAAACTATTTTTTGAAGATGAGCACTTTTAATAAAATTATCCTTTTTATTAAGACATTCTTTATGCTCGGAGGTTTATGTCCATATAATCTTTGTGTCAATATTACTTAATTAAAATCAACAGATTTTTCTGTAACCTGTATTAACCCACACTCATCCCAAAAATGAACTCAATTACCCTAAAATGGCAACTGGACTGTGAAATCAGATCAGTGCTCTTAGTAAAGATATATTTAACATTTTATTAGATATATTCAGTTATATTCCTTAGCATAAGCAGTTTGAAAGCCTTCTAAACACACAAACCTCTCAACAAATTTATGAATGGACCATCTACAAGTTATCTATATCGTCGCTGTCGAAACAAAACCTTGCATCCCAAAACGTTACTTACAGGAGAAGCAAAAACACTGTCAACTTTCAATGTAAGTGAATGTAACAGGATTTTATTTAATGTATTATGGTTTCAGACAGACAGCGACGATGTGTCGTTAGCTGAGTTTGATTTTGTTCATTCACTAATTTGACTGGCTTTGCCTAAGTGGCTGCTCATACCTGAGTCCAGGTGCGAATCGGAAGCTCAGTGATCTCAATGGTGTTCTTATCCAGAACGGAGACCTCACCACTGACCATATACTGGTTCTGCCCCAGCTCATGGATCACGCCTTTGAAATTTTTGTAGCTGGGAAGCTGAGCAAGGACAAAAGAGAGGGAGAATTCATGAAGTTAGTAAACAAAACAGTGAGATCCACTACACTTTAACCCTTGTGTGGTGTTCAGGTCTGTGGGACCCGTTTTCCATGTTTGCCAAAAGAAAAAATTATGCAATTAATTATTATTTCAACCCCAGATTTCTTGGTCTTTGCTCATTTTCTGTGAAGAACATATAAAATAACCCATTTTCAGTGTCTTCACTCTGTTCACCCCCCACACATTTATATTACACACATGTGGTGTTGGGCTGAACCCACGGGGAGTAAAAGTGTGGAGGTGCTGTGTCCTTCACTCTGTTCTCCTCCTACATGGCCTGCTGTTAGTGTGTGTGTGTCTGTGTGTGTCTGGGTGGACAACATGGACAGGCTGCTGACTGGCTACAGCTGCTAAAGGAGAACCCTACGCTGGACACTTGTGATGTTTTAAACATCTGGTGTTTTTCCATAAATTATTATGGTTGTATTGATTTAAAGAAACAATAATGCGGTGGGTCCACCAGACCACTGAGTAACAAACACATCAACACCACACAAGGGTTAACTACAACTCTCTGTCCAAAAGTTTCCAGACACCCTTTCTATTTAGTGAATTTAACGAGTTTAAGACACTTGCTGACACAGAGGTTCAATCATAGAAAAGCACTGATAAATAGAATGGGACACTGGAGGAGCAGCATATGAGCCTAAGGTCCCCACGCCTGTCGATTAAAGCCCCCCAGCAGTGGAACTGTGTTCTCTGGAGTGATGGAACTCCATCTAATACCTTCGTGATGAGTTGGAGTGATCCAGAACTGACCATCCAACATCATACCCGACCTCACTAATGCTCAATCAAATCCTCACAGCAATGGTCCAACATCTAGTGTAAACCTTCCTAGAGAGCAGAGGCTGTTACTGCAGCAAAGAGGGACAAACTCCCTTCATTTCAGAAAAGGCTGTATCAGCAGGTGTCTACAAACTTTTGGACATACAGAGCTAGTTTTCCAAACAGGGATTAAGTCTGAACCTGGACTACAGAAGATTCTGAAGGGAAAATATAGTCCCAGATTTGACTCAGTTCTGGTCCTGGAAATCGGCCCGTACTGAATGTGAAATGCAGATTTTACCATAGGCAAAGGATCCTGGTGGTCAAGCATGCGGTTGATGTTGTTGACGATTTCTCGAGGATCGTAGTTGGGGATCTTGCAGGCCCAGCCAGTCCCGATACCCTCAGCTCCGTTCACCAGCACCATGGGGATTATGGGTATGTACCACTCAGGCTCCACCTTCTGGTTGTCATCATAAAGGAACTTCAACAGGTTGGAGTCCACAGCTGGAAACAGCAGCTTGGCTAGCGGACTGAGGGAGAGAGAGATTGAAAATATGTTTTTAGTCATAAAGAAAGCCAAAATATCAGTGTCAATAACTGTAATTATAACATTCTTATTATTTACAGACATGAGATCATTATTACATTATTACTATAATAATAATAATAATAATAATAATAATAATAATAATAATGATACGGCTCAAAAATTCATAATCACTAATTGTCATATCAATAGTTTAGCAATTTTATTCATCAAGTTATACAATGTAAATGTAAAATGAAGATGTTTAACGTAATATTTCAAATACTTCTTGTTATTAAATGATACATAATATTATGCGGCTATGTACTTATAGTATCTTCGTCATAAGTATCTGCGCAATCACTGCTTTACCTACACAAGACATTTTACTGTAATATAATTCTTGATTCTTTACGTTTCTCTATTTGAATTCTTCTACGTCTTTGTTGATCATCATGAACACATCTGAAATTCTCAACTTTGTGAAGCTTCCTAAACTATTTGAGATTTACATTACTACCTTACAAGGTAAACAGAGAAACAGTGTAACTTAATTAACCTTTTAAACTCCTTGAGACCACCGGTGGTTCCAAAATGCACTTCGTCATATTCTTCATAACTTTCATATTTCATAAGCTACATTCTAAAGGTGGGGGTCGTATGAGAGCTGTAACTGTCTTCTTTCCAGTCAAATAGATGGGTGATGTAATTTTAAACCCTTATAATAAAAGAAGCTGAACTCACAATTTTTTTTCTACTGAAAGTCGACCCATTTTTCCACAAATCTGGGCTATAAACTATAAACAGATGGCGTCTCTTCAGTGATCTGCTCTGTAAAAATTATTTTTATAAAATAATACAGAGTGTCTAAGATTTTTTGCTTTCAGCAGTAAATTGTAAGCATATAGCAATATGTGTACATCATAAAACACGTTCTGTTAATTTGAGGAGAACTTTTACAAAAAATAAATAAATAAAATAAATTACATTCATTTCAAGCAGTTACTAAACAATTTGCCTTACGATTTGGTCATGTAAATTCAGATTGAAAAACCAAAATGTACCCATAAGCATAAGTAATATTATTAATAATTAATTAATAATTAATATTATTAATAATTACATATTATTTAATTAATATTCTTAATATGAATTATTTAATAATTGAATAATTAATATAATATTAACTGTTAATTATTTAATAATATAATTTATCTCAAACATTTTACATTTTATTGAGACAACAATTTTTTTGCCACAAATTATGGTTTATATTTTGACGAGCTCACGATTCTCACACAAACATCACAGTTTAGATTATCAATGAAAACCAAACACATCCTGTTTAAATTACTGATAAGAACCTAAACACACACTGTTCGACGTGTAGGGACTGACAGACCTGAGCATGGTGAAAATGTAACGGGGACTGGCTGCATCTTTGCCTCCGTTGATGCGCGTACCGAACTGACCGAGGGGCTGCAGGATGTTCACGTTGTTGCTGCCCACAAAGTTCTGGGCCAAGTTCACGATGGTCATCATCAGAGCTTGCTAAAGACAAAATAACAATCTGATCACAAACAGATCCTGAAAACATTAGGGATGCATGAGAATATCAGAATTAAATTTGACAGACATTTGCTATAAAAATATATAAGAATCAGACAGACGTTTTATATCTGACAGATGTTTGATGATGTATTTCCTGTGCTCTGAGCTGCTGCACTAAAATATCAGGACTTTATTCGTTTTATTGAGTTTGTAATCCTCAACAAATAAATGTTACATTTCTCTGTTATACTAAACTTAAAAACACACTTAAAAAGATGGTTCTTCAAGGGTTCTTAAGTAAAAAAAAAATGGTTCTAAATACAACCATGAACATTCAAAGAACCCCTTGCATGATTAAACGGTTCTCTGCTTCATGAAAGAGTTCTTCAGATTGATGGAGAGTGTGCTGTAGATGGTTCTATATAGAACCTTTTTGAAAAGGGTTCTATATAGCACCCCAAAGGGTTCTAGTATTGTTACCATGTTAAGCTTGTAACAACATAAGAACCCTTTTGGGTGCTATATAGAACCCTTTTCAAAATAGTTCTATATAGAACCATGAACATTCAAAGAACCCTCTGCATGATTAAACAGTTCTCTGTTTCATGAAAGTGTTCTTCAGATTGATGGAGAATGTGCTGTAGATGGTTCTATATAGAACCTTTTTGAAAAGGGTTCTATATAGCACCCCAAAGGGTTCTACTTTGTTACCATGTTAAGCTTGTAACAACATAAGAACCCCTTTGGGTGCTATATAGAACCCTTTTCAAAATGGTTCTATATAGAACCATGAACATTCAAAGAACCCTCTGCATGATTAAAGGGTTCTTTGAATCACAAAATGGCTCTTCAGATTGATGGAGAATGTGCTGATTCTATATAGGACCTTTCTAAAAAGGGTTCTACATAGCACCAGAAAGGGTTCTTCTATTGTTATTATGTCAGGCTTGTTTGTTTTTGGTGCTATACAGAACCCTTTCCAAAAAGGTTCTATATAAAACTATGAACACTCAAAGAACCCTCTGCATGATTAAAAGGTTCTCTGTATCATGAAGGGGTTCTTCAAATCGATGGACAGTGTGCTGCTCTATATAGGACCTTTTTGAAAAGGGTTCTACAAAGCACCAAAAGGGTTCTTCTATTGTTATTATGTCAGGCTCGTTACAATAGAAGAAAGGTTTTTGGTGCTATGTAGAACCCTTCTCAAAAAGGTTCTACATAGACCCATCTACAGCACATTCTCCATCAATCTGAAGAGCCCTATAACAATACAAATAACCCTTTAATCATGCATAGGGTTTTTTAAATGTTCATGGTTCTACACAGAACCATTTTCTCTATTAAAGAACCCATGAAGAACCATCGTTTTTAAGTGTGTAGGTAAATGTAATCCCAGTTTCATTTTAAAATGTTTTTGTGTCGGCATCGGCAAAAAAATACATGAAATATACTGAATTTTAGTGCATTTAAATTGTTTAATGAAAAAAATCTGTAATGTTAATGAAACCAACAGATGATATAACAGCAAACCAGGTTACAGTAATTCATTCTGTGGCGTTTCGCATTTCTAGATCTAATTTCATGTTAAGATACAATGTAAGGAATTCAGGATCCCTTGAAAGTGACTGTCTCAGAAACTCGTGCGCACCTCGCCGTGATGGTACGCAGACATCTCTGCTACTGAACCAGCCAGCTGAGCCACCTTCACCTCCCTCTTGTCGTTCCTCTTCAGACAGGTGAACAGCACCTTCCTCTGGCCCGGCTTCAGACCTACAGACACATTCAACCGAGCAAGAAAAGCCTTTTGATCAGAATTCACATCCAGCTGTTTGTTTTTCTGCCTTTGATCTCCACAAAGAGTAACTTTCACAGACAGATTCTACCTGAACCTGCACAAAACTGCAGTTTATACTTTCTACCTGTATCAAAGAATCACGCTTTTGTAAAAGGAGATGTACTTTCAGTAACATAATAACTGAGTGTAAGTACAAAAGTACTTGGTTTTAATGTACTGAAGTGTCTAAAGTAAAATAGCATTAAACCTTGTTTCTACGCTCATTGTCCATTTTATCAGCTCCACCTACTATATAGGGTCACTTTGTAGTTCTACAGTTACAGACTGTAGTCCATCTGTTTCTCTGATACTTTGTTAGCCCCCTTTTACCCTGTTCTTCAGTGGTCAGGACCCCCATGGACCCTCACAGAGCAGGTACTATTTGGGTGGTGGGTCATTCTCAGCACTGCAGTAACACTGACGTGGTGGTGGTGGTGTGTTAGTGTGTGTTGCGCTGGTCTGAGTGGATCAGACACAGCAGTGCTGCTGAAGTTTTTAAACACTGTGTCCACTCACTGTCCACTCTATTAGACACTCCTACCTTGTCAGTCCACCTTGTAGATGTAAAGTCAGAGACGATAGCTCATCTGCTGCTGCACAGTTTGTGTTGGTCATCCTCTAGTCCTTCATCAGTGGTCACAGGACGCTGCCCACAGGACACTGTTGGCTGGATATTTTTGGTTGGTGGACTATTCTCAGTCCAGCAGCGACACTGAGGTGTTTAAAAACTCCAGCAGCACTGCTGTGTCTGATCCACTCAGACCAGCACAACACACACTAACACACCACCACCACATCAGTGTTACTGTGAGGGTCCATGGGGGTCCTGACCACTGAAGAACAGGGTAAAAGGGGGCTAACAAAGTATCAGAGAAACAGATGGACTACAGTCTGTAACTGTAGAACTACAAAGTGACCCTATATAGTAAGTGGAGCTGATAAAATGGACAATGAGCGGAGAAACAAGGAGGTGTTTATATATAAATAAGCTAACATGTCCTCTACAGAGAACACACTCCTGTACATTTTAATGCACAATTACTGTTTATTTGCTGAACTTTGCATAAAACGTGGCCTGTGTAAAAGTCATGGCATGTTTTTTCCAATATATTAAACTCAGCAAATACACAGAATAGAAAATGCAAAGAAATGGACAGATTTCAATTAATAAGTAGGAAGCTGTAAAAATTAAGAAATTGTCAGTGTGTCTAGAATGACGAACAATAGAAATTGGCCACAACTGGACTGTGAGTCTGAAATCTTTTTCAGTTCGCCGGGAGATGCAAATTGGCCACAGAATCAGCCCAATTATTCTGTAGTGTGAGTCATGCATATGGATACAGACCATTTTCTGTTAATGAGCATCTCTTTTTTTCTAATTTGAACAATAATATTATCCAGCGGGATATTTATAAAAGCCCTATCGGCAATCTAAAAAAAACAATGTCATCCAATCCTGCTGTCCAACAAGTTTCAGACAGAGTCTGTTTCCTTCTGTTACCATAAAACTGTTAAAAACCTGCCAAATTCAGCTCGCATAACTATTGAGTACCAGACGCACCATCAACAAGGGACGGAATGGATCTCTCATTGTCGGAGTTGGAGAAGAGGATCAGCTCTTTGTTGATAAAGTCATTGTAGGACAAGTGTCGTGTCGTGGTGCCATACAGGTATTGCTGCAAAAAGATAAGTTTTCTTATTACAAAATGAGCACAAACACTTTCAGTTGTCTGTCATTTGACGGAGTGCACATTTCAAAAGGAGAAAAAAACTCTATATTAACACAAAATAAGCATAAAACTCCTGGATATCAAAAGATCAAATACTGCGTTAACTAAACTGGTGCTTTTCGAACTACAAATCAAAATGAGAGCAAATGTCGCCTTAAATGAAGAACAATCCAAAAGTGCGGAACCACAGAAAAACCGTCCCATGGATGTTATTCCTAAGAATCATGCTCCTGAATGACACTTTCTCCCAGAGGCACTGTTATCCATTTCCATAAATCTCCTAACTGCACTGCTGCTTGCTAGGATACCTAATTGGAAGTATGGGTGATTGACTGCTGGATGTGACTGGCCTCACCTCAGGCAGACCGTGCATCCTCCTCTGGCGTCTGTCTTCCATGAAATTAGTCAGCCACTCTTTCCTGTCGTCTGTCTTCTTCTTGCTGAAGGCCTGAAAAGAGGAGAAAGCAGAGGGAGACGAGTTCCACACCATCCTTTTTATTACGCTTACAATGAGAGGAAAACATTTAAAGCAAGCAGAGAAGATGTTTCATTATAAGGTGCCTTTTAAACTCACTGTGAATCACTTTTTCACTACTGTCTAGCTTTACACTGATCTAACACGCGTAAGGCGGTCAGCTCCTTTCTCTCGGTTTTAACTGCACTGTTAGCGGAACAGAAACCTGACCAATTATAAATCACTCTCCAGCTACATACCAGCTTATGTCTTATCTATGATCTCTATTAATAACAGTAATCATCAGACCTGCTCTAGTTACTGGGGGTTTTTACTGAACTGGGAAAACTGGCTTTTAGCTGCAGAGCACCAGTGAGCTGGAATTCACTACAGAGGTCTCTAAAACTCGCTCGCTGGTGTCACTCGATCGTTTTAAACTTTTAGTCTTTAACCACCGTCAGACAGGCTGTAACTGTTTTAGTTACATTTTCCTTTCTCATCTTCTAAGCCGCTTATCCTTCTGGGTTGCGGGGGAAGCTGGAGCCTATCCCAGCTGTCATTGGGTGGAAGGCTGGATACACCCTGGACAGGTCGCCAGTCCATCGCAGGGCAGACAGACATACACATTCACACACATACTCACACCTAGGGGCAAGTTAGCATGTCCAGTTGGCCTGACTGCATGTCTTTGGACTATGAGGAGGAAACCCACACAGACACAGGGAGAACATGCAAACTCCATGCAGAAAGGACCCTGGTTGCCCGGCCAGGGAATCGAACCCAGGTCCTTCTTGCTGTGAGGCAACAGCGCTACACACTGCGCCACTGTGTTGCCCAGTTTCCTTACTATTTTATTATGGGATCCAGCTCCCCCTGCGACCCAGAAGGATAAGCGGCTTAGAAAATGTGCGCGTGTTATTTGACTGTTTTATTTGATGTTAATTCCTTTACTGTTCTATTCTAGTAAATAATTAGATTTTTCTAAAGTTCAAGTTTTTTACTGCTTATTATCTATGTAGGTGTTTTTACTTACTTTGTGTTTTCATTATATATTTGCTAACACTTTATTTGGATGGTCCACTGTAGATGCTTTCTAGATCCTCAGTCTATCTTTAACTAACATTTACATATCTACTAAATGCAACTAAACTTGAAGCTGAATGTGAAAGATTCTATTAAATCTATCCCTAAAACTAACCTCAAGGCAAAACCTACATCTACTCCTAAACATAATGTTGTTGATAATTAACTGAGCATCACCAGAAAGTTTATTAAGAATTTATGTAGCTTTAGATCATCTATAGGGGACCATCCAAATAACGTGACCGTATATTTTATTGATATTTTATGCCTTTTTTTTCTATTTGAGCTGCTATTTTTTATATATAAATATTCCTGTCCTGCTGATTTTCATTTGTTTTAGTTGATAAATTTAATTTCAACTTTTTCAATTCCTGATTAATTTGCTCGGCTACATTGTAAACGAGGGTCACCCTTAATGTACTTCCGAGTCGAAATAAAGGTTGACTGATTGATTGAAAATAAGCCTGGATTCTCTCCAATTATGAACTACTGGATCAGATCAAAACATCCCACCTTGCAAGTCTTTCTGAGCTACATTCAGTTAACACTAATATCAGAGTGTGAAATATCTGAGGTGTGTTAAATATGTGAGTACTATAAATATTGTGCGATTCCCTCAGCTCAAAATGCAAGAGAATAACATTCCTGACATTACTAACCAAAGTAATCGCAGCATCATCCTCTGTGCCCCCATACTTGAACATAATCCGATGCCTCTCCATGTCAGCAAAGTACTCCTTCGCCTCTTTGCTTGTGCTGGTACCCAAACCTACAACATTACATCAGGAAGCGCAACACGATTATGCATGGTACCATTCTGATAGTATCCAGTATACACAGATCAGGCATAACATTATGACCACCTCCTTGTTTCTACACTCATTGTCCATTTTATCAGCTCCACTTACTATATAGGTGCACTTTGTAGTTCTACAGTTACAGACTGTAGTCCATCTGTTTCTCTGATACTTTGTTAGCCCCCTTTTACCCTGTTCTTCAGTGGTCAGGACCCCCATGGACCCTCACAGAGCAGGTACTATTTGGGTGGTGGATCATTCTCAGCACTGCAGTAACACTGATGTGGTGGTGGTGTGTTGCGCTGGTCTGAGTGGATCAATCACAGCAGTGCTGCTGGAGTTTTTAAATACTGTGTCCACTCACTGTCCACTCTATTAGACACTCCTACCTTGTCAGTCCACCTTGTAGATGTAAAGTCAGAGACGATAGCTCATCTGCTGCTGCACAGTTTGTGTTGGTCATCCTCTAGTCCTTCATCAGTGGTCACAGGACGCTGCCCACAGGACGCTGTTAGCTGGATATTTTTGGTTGGTGGACTATTTTCAGTCCAGCAGCGACACTGAGGTGTTTAAAAACTTCAGCAGCACTGCTGTGTCTGATCCACTCAGACCAGCACAACACACACTAACACACCACCACCACCACGTCAGTGTTACTGCAGCGCTGAGAATGATCCACCACCCAAATAGTACCTGCTCTGTGAGGGTCCATGGGGGTCCTGACCACTGAAGAACAGGGTAAAAGGGGGCTAACAAAGTATCAGAGAAACAGATGGACTACAGTCTGTAACTGTAGAACTACAAAGTGCACCTATATAGTAAGTGGAGCTGATAAAATGGACAATGAGCACAGAAACAAGGAGGTGGTCATGATGTTATGCCTGATGGGTGTATATATATTTGTTTTTTACATATTAATTTACTATAAATAAAACAAACCTTTGTAGTACTTTATGTGCCATGTTTTGTGGTTCTCTGTTTGTTTCTTCCACTCTTCGAACTCTGGAATGCTGTAGAAGGAAATTTCCTGTTTGTTCTTGCTGGCCTGCACAAAATATTGAACAAAACAAGCATTAAACGTGGAACACTTCTTTCACGCTGTGCAAGCAGTATATGAAATGCAGCAGTATCTCAAAAGAAAGGCTGAAGTTCGTACTTTGACGATGGGGGTGATAAACTGCTCCAGAAACGTGTGCTTCAGCAGGGAAGGCCAGTTATGGTGAAAGAAGTTGATGAGCAGGCCTTTAATGTGGGAACCGTCTTGATCCTAAGCGCACAAAATTAAATAAATCATTAGATTATTAGACCACAGGACACTCTACACAAGAAGAAGCCAACCTGCTGAATATAAAAGTATATTTCCCTGAAAGAAAAAGGAAAATAAAGTGAAAAAAAGGTAACATACCTGATCAGTCATGATCATTATTTTGCCATAACGTAGAGATTTCAGTGATTCGGGGTCATCGTAGCTCTTCTTATACTGTAAGCCCACAATCTTGATGATGTTGTTGATTTCTGCGTTCTCCATTATCTACAAACAGAGGAGAAAGACTGCATCTGTATACAAAAATACAGTCACCCCAATACTATTTAGGGCACTAGAGATTACCTGGATGAAGCATAACAGTGCCAAAAAATATCCTGACAGTCCTTCTAATGAGTTAATTTAGCTGTAAAGGCAACCACACATCGAGTCACTTCACGCAGAGCCATGCAGCATCCAAAATTTCTATACCATTGTTTTTGGGGTTTTTTGGGGATTTTTCCCCCAATTTTCTCCCGAATTAGTCGTCTCCAATTCCAGCCACTAGTTAGGATTCCCCCAGTCACACAATACCACCAACGCTAGGAGCGTGAAGGCTAACACAGGCTTCCTCCGAGACCTGTGAAGCGCCACCGCATCTTTTCTAACTGCCGCTCACACAACGTCATTGAAGGAAAGCGCCAACCGCCAGATCTGCTACGTCAGCTAACAGATGCCTGTGCTGACTAGCATTGTGCTGAGTGATGGGGGGGGGCAGGGGGCCATCCTACCCACCCAGACAGAGCGAGGCCAATTGTGCTCTCTTGGACTCCCGGCCACGGACGGCTGTAGCATCACCAGGGATCGAACTCGTGATCGGGCTTCAGAGCTCACCTGTTTGTGTGTGGCCTCTCGAACGTTGAGCATTTTGCCTCTCAGGGGGAAGACTCCATAGCGGTCTCGTCCAATCACGCCCAGCCCTGAGACGGCCAGGGATTTGGCTGAATCTCCCTCAGTCAGAATCAGTGTGCAATCGGATGAATGTTTCCCACCTTACAGTGAGAGAGACAGCCATCAATCACACATCGAAACATTATAATAAGGTCTGAGCAGTGCAAACATTGTATGGTCAATATTGATAAAAATTCAGATGACTGCTTATATTATATCAGCAGATGTGATTTTATGTATAGTTTTATATTCTACACTTTAGTTTTAGTTGTAAATAACTGTCGACTGATTTGATTGTCAGTTGTCAACTGTAAATTGTGAAATATTACTATTCTCAGTTAACGCATTTCTTAAATTCAAATTGGGTTCTGTTAATCATAATGCTCTTGATAGAAAAGGTAATTAGTGTAATATTAATATGCTATTCTCATGCAAAACGTCAGGCTTTCCAATAACAAAAAAGTGCAGGTGATCAATATTGGCCAATATTATCCATACAGCAGCCAGGCTCCACATTTTTACAGCCATTTAGGAAACGACAGACTACAGACAAGAGGATAAAAAGCAGCGAACGCCAAAACACTGAACTATGAGGGAGACAGTCAAAGAACTATAGGTACAGAGGTATTTTACTAACTAATTTAAGACATAGACACTCTGGCAAACTAATAAATTGTGTCAAAATATTCACTTTTGTCTGGTTTGAAGCCAGAGCAGGAGCTAAAGTGCGAGTTAGAATGAGTAGCTGTGTTGTCACATACAAACCACAGGGTGTTTGGCTGTTTCTGGTCACTTATACACATCGTTAATAGTGAAGGCTATGAAATCACACCGTCGTGATCTGAACATTCTTTCAAAATTGCAGTTTCAATTTAAAAACAATTGATCATTCATACTTATAAGCCAGAGGTCAGCAAGCAAATGTTAAGAAGAGCCATTTTGTCCTTTCAACAAAAATTAAACCACCTTGGGAGCCTCAACACTTTATGTCCATTTTACCATCTTGGCTGTAAATATGTCTCAGTATGTGCTGATGTGCTACAGCCACTTTTCTCGCATCTCCAGCAGGAAACTTTTTCTTAAAAGTAGAACAGTTTCTTGTAAAATGCCTCTCAACGTTTAACTTTTTACGAGGCTGAAGTCGCTTCTCATTCACCAGATTATTGTTCAAATTTTTCCGTTCCATCTTAAATGGTGCCTGAGGTGCCAGAATAAGGTGGAAGGCGCCATTTAAGGTGGAACGGGAGAATTCGTGTTTGCCAGTTTCTCGTTGCAGATTAAACGTATCAGGAAACCAGCTGGGGTGATTATAAATGCAAATAAGTCCATTCATCTCCAAATTATCGATGTTAGTCTTAAATCTTTCTCTTTGCCTTTTTGCTAGACACAAGCTAGGTGAGATGGTAATCTGTGTTGCTATGGTGCCCAGCAGTCTTCAGGGTTAAAGGGTGAATTAGGAGTTCTACATTAACTCCAGAGTTTAAGATCATCTATTGCTAAAACTGTGCTAGAACGATCAAAAGGAGGATTATTTTATTTTTACCTAGAAATCTAATTCTGCTGTGGAGCCGCGACAGGGCAGTAAAAGAGCCGCATGTTGCCGACCCCTGGTATAAATGGTGCTGCCCCCTCCAGACTCTCTGAGCTCTTGAATGAAGGACGTGACATGTCAAGATGAGTGAGGATTCAGGGAGCGCTTCTGAGCTGTCCGAGCTTACCAGCATCGTTAGCGTCGTCCAGTTTTGGGATGCCTTTGATCTTGCTGTGCTTGACAGAAGAGCACTTTTTATTCAGCTGCGTCTGAGCCTTGAACTTCACCCAGTTCAGAATGCTCTCCACGATGCCGCAGTTCGTGGCCTGCATGGCAATAATGGAGTTTAAGTTTACACAAAAAAGTGTTCGGTACTTTAAAAACATAAACAATGCACAGATGAAGAGGTGAAAGAAGCAGTGGGGGCACCAGGCTTTCCACACTTTTGTGTTTTCCCTTCTCTAACATGCCTGATTGAACCCTGAAGCTAAAAATCAAGCTCTTCACCCGCCGAATCAAGTTTCTTACAGCAGGGAAAACACAAAAATGAGTGGAGAACTGGTTCCTAAGACTGGGATTGAGAACCACTGGGCTGAAGTTTGTTAAGTTGCCCTTAAAAGAAGTTCTAATCGTAGTTCTACACATCCTTCATCTAATCTAATCATCTAATCATCCAAACATACTATCATAAGAACCCTTACCGCTCTTATGAACTTTTCAGACAAAGCACATTTGGAGCCAAAGTTTTTGGTCTGAAGTGTCATGTTCTCCTTCGTCTGAGAATCGAAGGTCGGGTTCTCGATCAGAGCATTCACAAACACCCAGATGTGGTTCTTGACCTGAAATAAAACAAGAGTTACTGAACAATAACTTCACTGAGGTATAAAAATCAGACTGTTATATACATATGAATTACGATATAAACATTTAAAAAGCATCATGATGTGACTGTAAACCAAAGCCGATGTCGCCAGATGGTTTAACGCTAGTATTTAAAGCCCAAACCTGAAATGGTTTCACTGAGACTCCTGCTTTATTCTTCTTCTTCACCACCTCGATGAGTTTCGCCACGATTTGATCCACAACGTAATCGATGTGTCTGCCACCCTGAGAGAAGCAAAAGGAATTAGAACCTCAACAGTAAAATCAGCACCACCTACTGACTAGAAAAGACTACAGTCAATCATAATTAGTGCTGTTTCAATTAATATAATAGCGCCTGGATCGGGCACGTCACAGTCTAACCGTCAGCAACATCTAAAAACATGTATAATCACGTCTTTGAACAAAACGTATGACCCTGGATGCTAATCACACAATTTATTAGTCTTAATTGCCCTTGTAAATAAAACCTGGCCAGAGTCCTTATTCAAGAAACTTCTCTGAGTAGTGATTAAGCAGATATGTGTAATGAGTAGCTTTATTTATGAGTCGTTTCGAGACATCACAGATGCAATGAACTCTAAACAGCTTGTTGGTGCAACTTAGTATGGACTGAGAAGTAAACTGTTCGTTTTGAAACTTTAACAGTGTTTACACACTAAATCAAATTTTTAGAAACTGAGGACATTTCGGTTTTCCATGATATGGGCCTTTTAAACCTGTTTACTTCTTTTTTAAATAAACTGATATTTACTCAAAGTGTTTAAGCTTGAAAAAGCAATGTTCTTAGACAGCAAATTGCGAGCAAATAATATTATTACATTTGCTCCTGAACTCTGAATTATTTGCTAATTTACTTGGAAAAAGTGAGGCAATCCTCTTCTTAATTTTTTTCAAGTATATGCAGATAATTAGATTAAACCACTAGGACGTAAAGTCACTGTGTGATTAAAAAAACAATCACCATACTGATTAGATTAAGTGCTCAATGATGCAATTAGCCTCAAATGTCAGTGATTAGTGGGTCTACTTTGTTTTCATTCACTCTTTTTTTGTCCCTTTTGTTTTCAGATATTTTCCACTGAAATCATGAGTAAAAGGATGAGTTTTGGAATTTGACTGTTTGTTTGTCCTGGAAAATGAGCAATGAGCTGAACCCTCTGGTGATCACAGATTCGGATCTCTAATCAGACGTAAATGCAGATCCCAGGTCTGTAATCAGCCCAATAATATAACCACCCCTTTTCTGAGGGATGCAAAAAACGGGCTTAAAATTGAGCTCCGGCTACCTTGGTAGTAGCGATGCTGTTGACGAAGCTGATCTGCTGGAAGCCTTTCTCGCTCATGGTGAGACAGACCTCCCAGCGCTCGTTTACGGCCTCGTTCACCACTTTCAGAGCCACGCCTGTCTCGTCCAGCTTATCCTTCACGTACAGGTCCACGTAGCTGCGGAAGCTGTTCACCTACAGCAGGAGATCAGGGATCATTAGTGAGAGAGAGCACAAGTACAGATAATGCTAAGTGTGATATCAAACTGGCACTGCGAGAAGGTGGCCTTTTATGCAGACACGCAACCAGGATCAGAGTTCTCTGGCTTGTGATAGGTGTCAAAAATGCTGACTGGATAAATAAATAAACAAACAACAGCATGTAAGTGATATCAAAACCTCGTATCTCTGAAACAGTAACTTCACACGAGAAGTAAAAAAACATACTTAAGTTCCAAATTTTAATCAAAATCATTTTGGACCATTTCTGTTGGTCCGCTCATCAGCTGGCATTTTCAAAGTATGCAAAAACATGAAAAACAATGAAAAATTGGAGTTACAAGGTTTTGTTATGACAGTGCCAATATGTATAACGTCTATCAGATGTACTGTGTATCAAGCGTGGTCAAACTGTTCATCTTGGGGAGCAGTGCTTGAAGCAGAGGACCCAAAGGCAAAACAATATACAAATAAAGAATATATATATATATATATATATATATATATATATATCCTTTTATTTTGTTACTAAAATACAAATTAAAAGGTAAATAAGTGGTGGTGGGTTTAGGGTCACTGCCTGGTGGACCAGATCAAGCGTCCTCATGGGCCAGAATTGCCAGCAGACCACGCTGTATAAAGTCACAGTCAGAACAAAACCTCATATGTCCGTCTTTGTCGTTTTTGAGTTTTTGACATAATTTATAATAAATTATTTTATAATGAATGGACCAATAGAAATGGTCCAAAATGACCAATAAATAATAAAATAAATAATTACACCATTAACCTCCATAACAATTTGAACAATTTTCATATATATATATATATATATATATATATATATATATACACACACATATACACACACACTTTTTTCCAAGTAATTTTTTTCGTCATGAAATTGACACAATGTAAAAGGCGACAGGCATTTTCTTTTTTTTACTATGTGAAAAACTGAAAAACGAAACAGCAGAGATGTATATACAGAGAGAGATCCAGACATCACAAGAATTTATTAAATTCCATTACTGCCACTCTTGATTTAATTTACGTAATTATTGATTAGATAGAAGTATTGTATGATAACAATGTAAAAACAAAGTAAACATCATCACAGGATGTTTTGTCATTGCAAACCGTCAGTAACGTCTAAAAACATGCAGGGCGTTTTGACCCGTTGGTTGCTTGAAGGAAATGTTAAAACCACAACAGCCGCCAGCTGCAGCTGACTTCCCCAAACGTGCCGCTCCTCAGCTGCTCACACACAACTACAACCATTACAGGCTCTGATCAGCGTGAAAAGTCGTGACACTTATTCTAACGAGCTGAGCAGAGGTCAGATTTGCCAAACTATCAGACGACAGCCCAACAGCTCGGACGGTTCGCTATAGTCATTACGGTTTATGCCGCTGCGAGACAGGCTGGTTTATCCTCATGTGACTCTGAGCCTCTGGATAGCCGAGATAAGCTGCACAGGCTGATAAGGTGTTGATAATCGTTAGCAGCATGCAGGATTTGGGCTGGCAAGATTACCGGCTATATCAAATGAGTTACTACAAACCATAAACAGATCAGCCAAAAAATAAAAAAGAAAACGTCTGTGATCGAAACCAGAGCAGACGAGTATTTAGGGTAATACGAACAGTATAGAGTCTGTATTAAATAATACGTATCAGCAACTATTTTGAATTTATCCTGAAAATATATAGCATGTATGTATAAATACGCTCATCCCATTGAAAATGGGCCATTAATATGCTTACAGCTAGATATATAACCCACTGGCCTGTTATTTACTGGACAACGTAAATCCTATGTAAGGAAAAAAGACATGAAGGCTAAGCAGGCACTTTCGATTCCTACCAGGATTTTGTGATCGTCGTGGGCTGAAATATGTGGGCAATTTTTGCACTTTTTTGTTGTTTTGAATGTAAATTAATTAGTTTCTCATAAAACAAGAAAAAAAGCAAATTGGAAATTAAGTGTAACTTAACTTGCTGACATCCAGACTTAGATTTAAAAATATTTTAAAGCTGTTTTAAATTCTCAGAGAAACAGATTTTCAATATTTTAAATGAAGTGAATAAATGAAATGAATATTTGAAATGATGTAACGACACTGCTTGCATACAAAGCAAGCACCAAATTTCTATAGTCAAATATTTTATTACATGATAAAATATTCTAATTTCTTAATGTTAACAAACTGGCAATGTCGATTACATATATTGTGATAGGAAAATATGGAGGGACTGACTGAACATGTGCAGTTCGCCCAGTTCGCCATTATCAGTGATACAGAGTCTGATACGAGCCCAACATGCCAATAAATGTAATGTAAATGCAGTGAGGTGTGACTTACAGGCAGCTTCTTTCCGTTGAGAATGACTTTAACACCCTTGCAGGAGCCGGCGACATCATAGGCCCTGCGTGTCAGCAGAGCCACAATGTCCTTGTCCAGTTTCTCCATCTTGAATTTGGCGAGGTCGGGCTGGAATGTGACGCAGGTGAAGTCGTCCCCGTCGAAGTATTTGATCCTGGGGTCGCTGGTTTTTGTCATGTTGTTCTGCCACGTCTTTTGGGGAGAAAACATGACGGATCATTTTCATCGGTTAGTGAACTGACTTTAATTTATTTTTACCTTATTATTATTATTATTATTATTATTATATGTGCGAGTTTCTGCACAATTTAATAGTTCAGATGTAAACAAAGTCATTCAGAGTGGTTTGATGTAAAATAGAACTGTTCACAGTGGTGGTGATAGGAACCAGACGTCCACCTCTAAAAGCTCCCTCACAGAACGTTACTACATGAAATGGTTATGAATTCACTGCCTGATGACTGAGACACAATATACATATATATATATATATATATATATATATATATATATATATATATATATATATATATATATATATATATATATATATATATGTGCCCTGCGATGGACTGGTGACCTGTCCAGGGTGTATCCTGCCTTCCACCCAATGACAGCTGGGATAGGCTCCAGCACCTCATCGTGACCCAGAAGGATAAGTGGTTTAGATGATGTATATATATATATATATAAAATATAAATTGATTTTGAACTCTACACTCCTAAAAAAGATGGTTCTTCAGTAAAGAAAATGATTCTATATAGAACCATGAACACTCAAAGAACCCTTCGCATCATGAAAGGTTCTTCAGATTGATGGAGAATCTGCTGTAGATGGTTCTATATAGCACCTTTTCGTAATAGCACCAAAAAGTGTTCTGCTAAAGTTACAATGCCAAGCTTGTAAAACTGTGGAACCCTTTTTGGTGTTATATAGAATTTTTTTCCAAAAAGGTGCTATAGGACCATTTACAGCAGATTCTCCATCAATCTGAAGAACTTTTATGATGCAAAGTGTGTAATGTGCGATTTTCAACTGTAAGATCAAGATCACAGACTATTTTCAATGTTTTAATGTTATAAATGTCCTGATTTTAGTTCTCAGACAGCTCAAACAGACGTTTTTCATCGTCTGCTGCGTCACCCGTCTATCAAAATAAATCCCAAAAATCACAACCCCTAGAATTCATAAGTGACTTTTTTTTAAAAAAAGCCCACTTCTTTGAATGTGGGTCTGTCCATTTGAATGTGGGTCTGTCCAAGTCCTGCCCCTCCCTGCCCACTTCACTCTGATAGGACACACCCTGGCACCCAGCTTTAATCACTGACAGTGGTTTCCATGAAAGTCTGTAAATGAGAGACGCTCTGAAGAGCATGACGAAGCATATCAGGGATACGGTCTACATTTCCATTCACTGTTTGATGCTCAGTTTTTGATGCTGTATTGATATCCTTACATCTGCGCATTAGGACAGCTCATTACAGCTTAAACCACAGAGGCTCACGGCCTGCTTTCCTAAAAAGACTGGAATGTCTGGATGGAAAAGATAAAGTCAGACAGACCACACGGCTTATCTTGTGCACCGGCTACAGACACAATAGTGGACGCCCAACTGTGAAATTAACTGTGCCTTGACACCACAAATGTGTACCGAAAGTTGTCAAACACAGGAAAAATAACATTAACATAACAGCACAGTATTTCATATACTTAAGTATTCCGTACGCTTCATTATTATATATATTTCATTATTCCATATATTTTATTATTCTGTATATTTCATTATTAGACACGTTTTATTATTTCATATGTTGCATTAATCTGTACGCTTCAGTATTCCACACACTTTAGTATTTCGTAACTCTCAGTATTCCATATACCTCAATTTTCTGACACCTCAGCATTCTGTACACTTCAGTATTCCGTAAAAACATCAGTATTCCGTACATTTCAGTATACTATATATCCTCAGTGTTCTGATACTTCAATATTCCATGCACTTTAGTATTCCGTACACTTCAGTATACCATATACCTTAATATTCGGACACCTCAGCGTTCTGTACACTTCAGTATTCCGTAAAAACATCAGTAGTCCGTACACTTTAGTATTTCGTAACTCTCAGTATTCCATATACCTCAATATTCTGACACCTCAGCATTCTGTACACTTCAGTATTCCGTAAAAACATCGGTATTCCACACATTTCAGTATACTATATATCCTCAGTGCTCTGATACTTCAGTATTCCGTACACTTCAGTATTCCGTACACTTCAGTATTCCGTACACTTGCAAACGTCAGAATTCATAAAATAAAAACATTGCCAGATCATTTATCAACCGTATGTCTGTGTCACTGTCATTTATGACATGTTATTTGTTTTATTAGTACGTTATCCGATATTAATCAATGTGAAACTAACATTTCTGTCACATTGTCTCAAGCAGATGCTGCCATTTTTCAGGAGCAGGTCAATGATTATTTCAGTGAAATGGAAGGTGTTGGTACCTGTTTGAAGCTGTGTTTGTACTCTTTGCAGGCCGTCTCCACTGTGAACTTGGTACTGAATATATTACAGAGTTTAGCACCGTACCCGTTCCTTCCACCTGGAGAGCACAGATAAGACATCTTTTTTAAGGAGAAAAAAAAACATTCGGATTGCAAGAGCAGAGCTGCAGATCTTGAAGCCACACTGCAGAAAGCCTGTGTACATGTATGTGTGCGTGTGTGTGTGTGTGTGTGTGTGTGTGTGTGTGTGTGTGTATATATATATACATATATATCGCTGTTGTCAGAAGAAAACCTTTTATCTCCATTTTTGTTCTTTTTCAGTTTTTGACATAATTTGCAAATTTCTGTCGCTCTTTACATTGTGTGTAAATTTTATGATGAATGGACCAAAAGAAACGGCCCAAAATGATTTGGAAAAAAGTCTGGTTCCATTGACTTACATTAAAAGTAAAGTAGTGTTTTTTCCTTGTTCTGTAAAGCTACCGTTTTGGAGATACGATGTTTTCTTCCGATCAAAAACATGTGCCATAACTTTTGCACAGGCCATATGTTGTTTTACTTACCTGTGACTTTTTTCTCATCATCGTCATAGTTGCTGGACGTAAGCAGGTGTCCGAAAATCAGAGCCGGGACGTACATCTTCTCATCCTTGTGCTCCACCACCGGAATTCCTTTGCCGTTGTTCCAAACAGAGATAGTGTTCGACTCCCTGACAGACCAAAAGAACATGCTTGATCTAATAACATAGACGCATAAATATATAAACAAACAAGCTTACTAATACACAAATCTCTACTGAAACAAACAGAATAGATCTCACACCCATAGCTGAGTGTAAACTATACGATTAAACTTTCTTCTGATTTTAAAACTTTCATTATTTTCAGTTTGCACTATTCTAGCCAGCCAGATAGAAATTATGAATTAAATTCTGTTGCATTTTTTACTTTAAATAGTAATAGCAGAGAACACAAAAGTAGTGAGCATAGGAGGCTGAGCATTGTGGAGCTATCTTTAACACTGAATGACGTGTAATATTCATCAATTAGTGAATTTACCGCGTTTTAAATCAGTTTTATTGTTATTATCATCAACTATTATCTCCCCTATAGAGGGTTTGTAAACAACAACCAGCTTATAGCAACAGCATAAACTGCATTTCAAGTAGCTGACTGGATATCTATCTATCTGCCTATTTATCTATCTGTCTATCTATCTATCTTTCTATGTTTTTTCCTTTTTTAATTTTTTACTGGTGCATTGGATGCGTTCCAACTTTTGCGAAACTGCACAGTACTGTTCAAAAGTCGTAGACACCAAAGATAAGCAATTTATCTGGGTAGTAAGTGTAAAATTAATACAATAAGTAGAGATTTTTTGTACGTCACTGAGTGTGTTTACATGCACTTAATAATCCGATAAGTGCAGAAAATCAGATTTTGTCAGTAACCAACACGCTTACATGCACTTTAGTAATCAGATAATGGGGAAACTCTGGGTTTACATGAGTCAGACAGTAATCAGATTTCTACTTTGCAACCAGCCAATAAACTCACAGAAGAAGACGCGACATAAACATAACGTAAAACTCAGACTTCATGCCGCGGCTTTTTTTTTAAACGTTGCGCCACTTTAGCTGAAAATATGAACATGCATCATCTAGAAGATGAAGAATGTTTAAATCCTTCATTTCGTGTTTGGTTTCAGCGCCGCTCCAACAGTGTTTTGCTGCCATCTCCACCGTCTGTTTTCGCACATGCTCAGACTGAGAAATCCGAAGGAAATCAGAGTAAGAGTTTACATGCACTGAGAAATCTGATTACTGAGCTGAAATTCAGCTCTCTTTATCGGATTCCTAGATCGGAGCATGGTGTTTACATGACCATTTGAGTAATCGGATAACTGCAGAAATCCGATTATGATTACTGAGTGCATGTAAACCCCCTCAATATGTTTCTATACCAGATCTTTTCGTGCTACACACATCGGAGAAGCACAGAGCTCTGCTGCCTGGAGTTTTAACTTATTCAGTGTCTCCCATGGCAGAAAAGACTTAGCAGAGGTGCCAGACTAAAACTAACCACATACACTGGGCAGCAGCAACAGAGCACAGTGTCATCGGCGGATGTTCACCGAGGTGACAACGACAAAGACATCAATTCAACTTCGCGGAAGAAGGAAACAGTAACACTTCTGTACTTAATCAAGAGAACCTCATGGACAGACACAACAGAAAAAGTGTCAGGTGCCAGAGGATGCTACTGAGGAAGAGCTTGTGTGTCTGACGCGGCTGGATCAAAGCCTTTGGGATGTCTAGTTGCTGAAGTTGACGAGCGAGAAAAGAGAATTTAAAGCTGCAAAAAACAAAATCACTGACGGAACCTGGAATGTGCGAAGCGTGAATCTTGGCAAGCTGGAAGCAGTGAAGCTGGAAGCAGTGAAGCTGGAAGCAGTGAAGATGGAAATGGAGATCAACAGAATCGGGATCAGCGAGCTAAAATGGACTGGATTAGGACACTTTAGATCGGGGAACCCACCATCTACTACTCAGGTCACGAACAACAAAAAAGGATTGGAGTGGCTTTCACTGTCAACAAGGATGTCAATGAGACTGTTATTAGATACAAAGCTGTGAACGGGCGACTGATGTCAATCCAATTTCGTGCACAATCATTCAGCATCACAGTCATGCCGGTTTTTGCCCCAACAGAAGACGCAAGCGATGAAGAAACTGCAGTTTTATGGTCAAACTCTGGCTAAAGTTGACAAGACCTGCAAACAAGATGTAATGCTGGTGATTGGAGACTGGGATGCTGAGGTCGGAAACAAGAAGGAGGGAAATACAGTTGGACGACACGGCTTTGGAAACAGGAGTGAAGCAGGAGAACGACTAACTAAAACAATGTCTGTACACCTGGACAACACCAGATAGAGTTCAGCCAAACCAAATAAATTACATTAGTGGCACCAAGAGATGGAGGAGCTCCATTTTAATTGCAAAGACACAACCTGGAGCCGACTGTGGAACAGATCATGAATTCATAAAGTGAAGCTGAGAAAAACAAGCTATCAGACTTCCAAAATATGACCTGGAGAACATCCCACCAGTCTTCAAAGGAAACATCAGGACCCGATTTTAGATGCTGGACACAACGGACTGAAAACCAGAAGAGCTGTGGATGGAACTCAAAGAGGTCATCGAAGAAGAATCGTAGAAAAACCTGGGAAGAATCAAGAGGGGAAAGAAATCAAAGTGGATGACTGATGTTACAGTGGAGACTGCAGAAGAGAAGAGAAGCCAAAATCAAGAAGAACAAAGATCTTTTAGGAGAACTAAACCGTTAATTCCAGACATCTGGCAGGAAAGACAAGGAACAATACAACAACAACATCTGCGAAGATGTTGAAAAAATATTTGTAAAGATATTTCAGCCACGAGTCGGTACTCTCAGAGATGTCAATGGCCAAATTATAACAGATAAACATTTGTTGATGTTGGCTACACAGAAGAACCTCTACTGCTATGAGTCAGACAGGCCCTGAGATCATTACCAAAGAAGAAAGCCACAGGAATTGATAACGCTGCAATGGAAATATTTCAAGATTCTGAAGGCGGTTCAGTTAAAATACTGACCAAATTATGACAACAAATCTGGAAAACAGCTCAATGGCCAGTAGACTGGAAGAGGTCAGTTTATATCCAAATACCAAAGAAAGGAAACAAGAAAAAGTGTACAAACTATCACACAAATATCACACGCCAGACTTAAGATCATTCAACGTAAATTAGAGCCTTACATGATAAGAGAACTGCCAGACGTACAGTGGTGCTTGAAAGTTTGTGAACCCTTTAGAATTAATATTTTATATATTATATATAACTTCATCAGAATTTCACACAAGTCCTAACAGTAGATTAAGAGAACCAAATTAAACAAATGAGACAAAAATATTAGACTTGGTCATTTATTTATCGAGAAAAATGTGTTTTTATCTGTGAGTGGCTAAAAGTATGTCAACCTTTGCTTTCAGTATCTGGTGTGACTCCCTTCTGCAACAATAACTGCACCTAAACGTTTCTGGTAACTGTTGATTAGTCCAGCTCATCGGCTTAATGGAATCAACACAGCTTTATTATGTTGGTCGGTTTCCTCCCATGAACTGCTGCGTCAGGTCCTTCCACATATTAGGACTTGTGTGAAAATCTGATTAAGTTTTTGGTCAAATTTATGCAAAAATATCGAAAATTCTAAAGGGTTCACGAACTTTAAAGCACCACTGTACAAGCAGGATTCAGGAAAGGTAGAGGACCAAGAGACATCATTGCAGATGTGCGCTGGATAAAAGAAAAAGCCAAGGAGTTCGACAAGAAAGTCAACATGTGTTTCATTAACTACAGCAAAACCTTAAATTCTGGAATATCGTCGGGAAAACCGGAATACCAGAGCATCTCTCTGTTCTAATTGTTCTAATAAGGAATCTCTACACTGATCAACAAGCCACAGTCATGACAGAAAATGGACAAACAGAATGGGTCCACGTCGGAAAAGGAGTTAGGCAGGGCTGCCCACTATCACCACACCTGTTCAACCTGTATGCTGAACATATAGTAAGAGAAGCAAGACTGGAGGAAGAAGATCAAAGATTCAGGATTCGTTGAAGAAAAAGCTGTAAGATCTGAAGGCCCTTATAAGGAAAGTTAAAGAACGAAGTGAAACAATGAGACTTCAGTTCAACATAAAGAAGTCTGAGGTTATGACAACAAAAAGACGGCTAACTTTACCACTGATGGAGACGACGTGGAAGTGGTGGACAGCTTTTGCATAACTCGGATCAATTATTAACAACCAGGATCCAGCACTCAAGAATTCTGACCCAGATTGGCGCTCGGCAGAACAAGGATGAAGGAGCTTTAAAAGATCTTTAAATGCAGCGTTTTGTCTCTACAAACAGAGATCAGAACTGTCCAAACTGTGGTCTTCTCTGTGGTTCTTTATGGCTGTGAAAGCTGGACAATAAACAAGTAAGACAGGACACTTATAGAGGCCTTTGAGGTTTGGTTTAGCAAAGACTTCTTAAGAATTCCTTGGACGGCAAAGAAAACAAATGGATCTTTGAACAAATCAAGCCTCACCCCTCACTTGAAGCCCACATGGTCAAACTGAAGGTCTTATTTTGGACACATTCCAAAAACCAGTTCTTTGGAAAAGACCTTTATGCTTGGAAGCGTTGAAGGAGAAAAAGAGGAAGAGGACGACCAGCTACAAGATTGGAGGATACAATCAGAGGAATCATAAACAAGCCTGAAAAGCCAGGAGACCCAAACAGAAGAAAGGCTATTCTGGAGGAACACGGTCCATAGAGTCGCCAAGAGTCGGAAACAACTTGATGGCATTTAATAATAACAATAATAATAATGTGTTTGTTTCTATTTCCACACCTTCCTCTCCTCAAGGAAGCCCAGTTTTATTTGCAGCCATCATCCAATACAACAAATCACTGCACATGAAGATCTTTTCAAACTCCTTCATCCTTGTTCTGCCGACGTTTGACTTAACGATACTTTGTTAAACTAACTCAGGTGTTGCTGGAGGAATTTAACAAATCCATGTCACATCTGGAGGCGTCCAGAAGAAATCTAGAACCAAACTTTGTTCTTCAAACTAGCTAAAAAGATATCAATTACTTTGAAAAGAAGATTTGATCTTCGTTATTCTTTTTTTTTATGGTATTAATGATTGTTTGCATTCACTCTAGTGGGGTGCGGCATTTTTACAGGTAAAAACACACTTACTATCCAGATAATGGTTTTAATCTGCTTAGAGGCTTTGTTCACATAGCAGGTAAGAGTGGCCTAAATCTTTTTCTTCATATGTAACACAGATGTGTGTCTGTGTGTCAGTTTGAACAGCAAAAAACACCCTGAATCTGAAAATTTGGTGCTGAAATCCGATACGTATCCCATATGCGGCAATGTGACTCAGACTGAACAGCCAGATCGGAATTCATGCGACTTTTACGTCAATCCAACTCGACACTTGTCATCATTTCGCGCTGCTGAGACTCATAAATATTTAGGTTGATGTTTCTGTACAAACACTTAGAAGAGACTCGTCCAAAACCCTCTGTGTTCAAAGAGATTTAGAAAGAAATGTCCGAACGCGGCCGCAGGAGAACGAGGCTGCAGCGTCAAAGAACAGTTAAAAGTCTGAAAGCAAAGTTTAAAGAATCCGAGGACGCGAACCAAAGAAGTGACCGCGCCCTTTTTACGGCTCCAACACATTCTGGGTGATGAGCCCAGCTGTCAGTCAGTGAAGCTTCATGATGGCTCCTGTGATGCTGGTGAAGATGAAGCTGATCCTCTGGGAGCGACTGGCGTTCGTTGGCAGTCGTGATTGTTTACCTCTGGATGAGCCGTGAAGCAGCGTGACGCTCTGTTCTTTAGTGCATGCGGGTCGGTTTAGGAGCTGATCTGTTCAGACTGATGTCGCATACAGATCACATTTAAAAGATAATCTGAACAGCCAAACAAAAAAAATCAGATTTGGTGAGAAAATCAGATTTGGGACACATTTACCTGCAGTGTGGACGAAGCCAAAGACTCTTGCACTTATTAAATATCACGAAATATACAGCGTACCATGAAACTGCCTTTGAACATCATGTTTAATTGTTGTCAAATGGAAAGTACATCTGTGGTCTATTAAACCTTTCAGCAGCTTTGGTTGCTTAAAAATTGATTCTCAGCAGCTGAAGACGTTTCCTCAAAACAACCAAACGCTTGAGAAAGGCAGAGAGGACTAAATGTAGGCTGGGTAAATGAAGTGCTGTATGGGTGAGAATAACAGGCAGGCATGAGGGAGAGAGAGAGAGGGAGAGAGAGAGAGAGAGAGAGAGAGAGAGAGCGAGAGAAGGACGCGGGCCTGTTTGAGCAGTCGGCTGAAACTCGCTGAAGGTGAAGCGAATGTGAAATGAGTTGCCTTCGTGCCAGACATGCTCTCATTAGGACCCTCCCAGCTACATCAGCCTCCCTCTGACCCGTCTCTCCTCCGCCGCACTCCTCCCTCATTCACTCCATCCCCCTATTTTTTTCTCCTCCACTGCGCTTCTCCTTCAAATCACCCTCTCTTTTACTGATAATGCATTCCTCCATTAAAATCTTCCTCGCACTCTTCACCACCACTATGCTCTCGTTATTTCCTCCATCCATCCCTCCTTCTCCTTTCGTTCGTTCCCTTTCTCCTGCCCTAATACACTGTTTTTCTGCTCCACGCGCTACATTCATCCTGTTAAATCACTTCTCCCACACGCGGAGACGCCTCAAGCCCTTCTGAACCCTGATCACAACTAACAGCAATGAGCACGAAATAATCTGATAAAGGCAGAAAATCAGATTTTGGCAACGATTCGCCGAACATGTTTACAAGCACTGAAGAAATCTGATAATGGGAAACCTCAGAGTACATGAGTCAGACAATTACTGCATTTCTTTCTAAATAATGACGCATGCAGCCTTTTAAACCCGCCGAAGGAGAAGCATACGAGGCAAAACTGAACAATATTCTTTTTTAAATGGTTTGTTTTAATGGAAATGTTTTATTTCATTTTTTAATTTTATTTATTATTTTGTTTTTATGGCTCTAAATTGCATATAATGCTGTGTAACCATTTTGTGGTTCAAGTACTATTCAGGATGGATTAGTTTTACATGGGGAGGCAGGTAATATGATTTTACCATCTGTAATGTTTATGACCAATCTGCACGGGACAAAAATATAAATTACAGAGATGGACGTGGCTACTCGAGTACACTGCAGCCACACCAAAAAGGCATTTAATTTGATCGCAGTTTAATAGCAATTTCCCCAAACATCTACCTAACTGTGTCGAGTAAATGCAACGTGTCATTATCTTAGGAAATTATACTCAATTTACACGTTTACCTGTTTTAATAAGTCAAACGCCTGATTTGGCTCCAAAGTGACTCGAGTAAAAGCTTCTTCGAGCTTCTATACTTAAGAAAAAATGCAAAAACTCATTTTTCACAGGACGAGATGGAATATTTACACACATATTATATAAACACAGGATTAACGTAACTTGGAGTTATTTCTAAAGTCTGTTTTACAGCATGAAATTACTAGAACCTGAGATTATTTCCACAGTTTGTTTTACAGCACTGGATTAATATAACCTAGTGTTATTTCTAGTGCTGGTTTTAGAGCATGAGATTAAATTAACCTGTTATTTTTACAGTTAGTTTTATAGCACAGGATTAACATAACCAGGGATTACTAATACATTTAGTTTTACAGAGCTGAATTAACATAACATCTAGTTATTTCTATTGTTTGTTTAACAGCACGGGACTAATATAACCTAGTGTTATTTCTAGTGCTGATTTTAGAGCATGGGATTAATATAATCTGTTATTTCTACAGATAGTTTTATAGCACAGGATCAACATAACCTGGGATTATTTCTATGGTCCATTTTATGGCACATAATTAATATAAACTAGGATTATTTTTAAGGCTAGTTTTATAGCATGGGATTAATAGAACCTGGGGTTATTTATACAGTTTGTTTTACAGCACTGGATTAAAATAACCTAGTGGTATTTCTCCTGTTTGTTTTAGAGCATGGGATTAATATAATCTGTTATTTCTACAGTTAGTTTTATAGCGCAGGATTAACATAACCTGGGATTATTTCTATAGTTTACTTTATAGCACAGGGTTAACATAACCTGGGATTATTTCTATGGTCCATTTTATGGCACATAATTAATATAAACTGGGATTATTTCTAAGGTTAGTTTTATAGCATGGGATTAATATAACCCGAGGTTAATTCTACAGTTTGTTTTATAGCACTGGATTAATATAACCTAGTGTTATTTCTCCTGTTCATTTTAGAGCATGGGATTAATATAATATGTTATTTCTACAGTTAGTTTCATAGCACAGGATTGACATAACCCATGTTTTTTCTATTGTTTACTTTATAGAACAGGATTAACATAACCTGGAATTACTGATATAGTTTGTTTTACAGAGCTGAATTAACATAACCTATGGTTATTTCTATGGTTTGTTTAATTACTCGGGATTAATGTTACCTGGGGTTATTTCTAGAGGACATTTTATAGCAGTTAAAAGCTCCTGGAATATTTACAGACATTTCGTACCATTACTGACATGTGGGATTCAAGCTGAAACCACTGAGGAGCACCGGTAATAAGTACAATACCCATGAAAAGCATGAAAAACTATATTTAAGGAGTATTTAAGTGATTAATTTAGTCTAAATTAAGAGTTTACTGCTTCTCTGATTAATCTGATTATCGAGCCAAAATGCAGGCCTCTTTATCGGATTTCTTGAAATTCAATAACAGCTTTAATCCAGTGTGAGAAATCGTAAAACGCTGTTTAAACGAACGCTAGAAAAATGGGGTAGCTGTCAAAATCTGATGATGACTGTATGATTCGTGGGTATGTAAATACACTCAATACTGTACATATGAAGTTGATGTGCACTCATGTCTTCATTTAATGAGCCAGAAACCACAGAAGGAGAAAGAAATATTATTTCAGTTCACGTCCAGCTGTCTCTAAACATGCGGCTGCAGGAGGAAACCCTCGCCAAACATCATGATGTGCTCCAGGGACTCGTGCACCAGAATTACGAAGATGGCGCAGGATCATTGGGCTATTTCTGTGCATTCTCATAGCTCCACGCTGCTGAAAGAGTTATGACCAAGCTGCTGAAACGACAACACTCTGCCTTAATAAGCCACTGTGGCACAGCGAGCTGTCATCATTTTTTATTTAGCATGAGCGCGTTGAGAATACAGCAGCACGGCAGGCGGATGACTCATTAAGTGGGTGAATGTTGGCTTATGGAAATTTAAGTGTGAATAGGCGGGAATTCCTTGACACTTCTCGACAGCGTCGCAGGAGAGGGACTGCAGGCCCTGTACTCACGGATCGATGGTGATCTTGATCATGGACATGTTCTTGTCTCTTTGCTTGTTATCAGCTGCGTTGACTGTAAAGAGGGAAGAAGAAGCAAACGTAAGACACAACGTCTAACTATGAACAGGCCGCTTCATTAACCCTAACAAACCATCCGTTCTGAGCTGCTGTCTTTTTCTCCTTTAACTTCAACTCATTAAAATCTGCCCCCAGAGCAGCTGGCGAGCATGCATGTCCACGCTGGTCACAGTGAAATGAATCGGCTAGTGGAGCTGAAGCTTTGTGTGAGCTGCTGTTTTCTATCACTGTATAAAAGAAGCTCCAATGCAGCCTTTATTGCTAGACTTCACACTAGAGACGCACGGATACCACTTCTTCCCTTCTGACACGGATACCTGATCCTGTACTGGCCGATACCGAGTACCGATACTAACCTAACCTGATTTTTATACAATTACATTTGTAAAATATTTTATTTTTGGTAAAATCTATGTTCTGCGTCACAAATAAAACACAATCAGCTTGGCTAGATTGCATTTACTTGTTGGATTATATTTATTAGATACTTAAATTTGTTTTTGTTTATTTACTGTATATAATTAGTATTTACTGTTATATAATTAGTTATAAGAACCACGTTTAACAACGTAAGTAAATGTAAAATATCCTTATTGATCAAAACAGCTAAAAACAAAACTGAAACCTGTGGTGTTTACACATCGGCACACCGCAGCTTCTCTGGCTCAAAAACGGAGCTGAATGTAGTTTCACATTCAAATCTCTCGAGTTGTTTGTCTCACACTTGCGTCTTGTTCACTCGCGCTCCACCTCTGACATCAGTTCAGTAGATATCACCGTCGTTTACGCTGTGAGTATAAGCGACCTTCAGTGTTTTTTCTGGCTCGGATGAAGCGACGGGCCGCGAATCCTCGCTGCTGAGTGATACAGCTGACTAACGCAGATACAACGCAGGCAGAGATAGTGAACGCACAGGCCCGGCTAGAGGGCTGCTATGCTAAAGGCTAAAACAAGGCTAAAGGCTTCATTACGCTGAGAGTCCGGCGGTTCCTTATGCTCTCTCAGCAACATTAACTCAGACTGTGAGTGACCACACAGCAGGCAGACTGAGTGATTACTGAAAGAAGCAGCTCAGCTGCTCAAGGAAGCGGCTCCGTTAGCACGTCCTTAACACCAAAAACTGCCAGTACGTCTTGTTCACTCACCATGAGCATTTAAAACACAAGATTAACAACCTGGGGTGATGTCTATGGGCATTTTATAACTACTTCCATAAGGTTATTTCTACAGGTTAATAATAGCACTTGATTAATATAACCTGTTTTTTTTACTGTAGCCCATTTATAGCACTGGATTAACATAATCTGGGGTTAGTTTTCAGCGCACTACCGTGTTTTCTATCACTGTGTGGAAGAAGCTCCATGACATTTTATGACCACTGTAATCTAACTTCCAAAAGTCCAGTCCTTCATTTACACACACTGCAGTGAGTTGACCTGTTAAGCTGCAGTCGCAGTAAAAATGCGCAGTTTGTGTCGGATATTCCTATCCATGCGTTTGCTTTCTCAAAAAAATCATTTTGGCTATGTTAGATCATGTTCTTTACATCTAAACGAATGTGACGACTGCTTTCCTGAACGGCAGAAATGGCCATTTTTTAGGCAGAGACTCAGATGAATCACTTAACAGGGAGAATAATCCTCTCCAAAGACTTCAAAAGGCCTTTCTGATGTGGTCAGCTCCACCATGACATCAGTGAAAAACACGGCATGACACATTCGAATGGACGGAAAATTCAGAATGTCATGAATCATGCTGGTTTAGTTATTACCCACAGTAAATGACTTCTTTAAAGGAGAATTCCACCACTATTTCAAAATTTCTGCGGAATTCTCTCAATAAGATGCAAACAAAGTTATTCAGAGTGGTTTGGTGTGAAACGTTCTGTTCCAGAGAAACTTAGTCAGAACTGTTCACAGTGGTGGTGATAGGAACCAGACGTCCACCTCTAAAAGCCCCCTCACAGAAAGTTACTACATGAAATGGTTATGAATTCACTGCCTGATGACTGAGACACTGTTTTATGATAGTTCTGTGATGATATCTGGCCTAAAACATTGTTACAAAATCTATTCATGGTGAAGGGGTACATGCAGGACGCTGTGAGGCAAATTAGTCCCAAAAAAAAAGGAAGTTTTCTAATTTACCCCTATTTTACCATCATTAACATTCCATATAAAAACTCAGAAGACTCGTGTAGGTTCACTAGTGGTTTTGAATAGTAAATAAAATGGCTATATTTGTGTTGCAGACATGACAAACCCTGGTTCCCATCACCAATTGAACATTTCACATCTTGATCATGGAATTATGCATAGAAAATCTGAAAATTTGGTGGAATTCCCTTTTCAGAGGACAAAACACCACTTTCAGCCAAGCAAATGCACAAATGTATGCTTGTAAAATGAATAAGTAAGGCAATGCATCCATCACGATCTAGCAGCTGTCTAAATCTGCTAGACAGTGGCATCATTTCAACATCTGATGTAATGGAGAAGTGAAGTATCCAGAAGAAAATCAGAAATAAACTGAATTACAGACAGAAAGCCTGTTAGGGAAAGTAGCGGATATCGACTTACCGAGGATTTCATCAAAGATTTTATACAGTCCAGGGACATAAGTGATCTCCCGCAAGTTCATTCCGATCTCTTCATCAAAGACCCACATTTGCTGGAAAGAACACAGACAAGAAGTACAAACAGATCAAACTGAGTGCAGGGAGTAAAAACGGAGCTGTGTGGATTCAAAACTCACTCAGAGGGCAATTCTGCATCTGTTTATGCCTGAGCCATATTGAGTAGACTAGTGAAATCTCAATCAGAGCGCAATCAGGTCTATTATGCGTGTTTTAAAAGAAACTACTCGGTCCTTTGCTCCCGTTTCTGATCACAGAAAAATGTCAGGAGCTGAGTCTTGAAATCCATTATGATCAATAATGTAAACATTTAAAATCCAAACAATCAGCGTGAAACATTGGAAATGTAAACTGCATGTCTGATACGCCACTTGCTGTCTTTTCAGCATCTCTCATTTACCATCTTTTGAGGAAAACACTGTCAGGTATCTGTGTGCAGTCTGTCAGAGTAAAGTGGGCGTGGCTTGTGCTATGGACCCACCCACCCTCAAATGACTAGGCCAGGAGTCGCAACCCAAATGATAAGAAGAGGCATTTTGTCCTTTTAGCAAAAATCAAACCACCTTGGGAGCCACAACACTTTATGTCCATTTTACCATCTTGGCTCTAAATATGTCTCAGTGTGTGCTGATGTTCTAGTATAGGTTAAAAATATAATACAAACAAAAACACAGACTTACTTTGCTCTGCTTTAAGCTTTAGCTCAGCTATACCTGCTTTTCTCGCATCTCCAGCAGGAAACTTTTCCTCAAAAGTGGAACATTTTCTTGTAAAATGTCTCTCAATGTTTGACTTTTTATGAGGCTGAAGTTGCTTCTCATTCACCAGATTCTTGTTCGAATTTTTCCGTTCCACCTTAAATGGAGCCTGAGGCACCAGAATGTAGGTGCTGAACCATTTAAGGTGGATCGGGAGAACCTGAATGAAAAACTGACTTCAGCTTTGCGATTTTTTGTGTTTCAGTTTGTCGTTCCAGATTAAACGTATCAGGAAACCAGCTGGAGTGATTATAAATGCAAATAAGTCCATTCGTCTCCAAATTATCGATGTTAGTCTTAAATCTTTCTCTTTGCCATTTCTTTAGCTATTAGCTAGGTTAGCTACTAGTGAGACTGTTGTCTGTGTTGCTATGGTGACCAGCAGTCTGTGCTGATCTTCAGGGTTAAAGGCTGAATCAGCAGTTCTACATTAACTCCAGAGTTTAAGACCATTTACTGTTAAACTGTGTTGAACGATCAGCAGAGCTTTATTTTACTGTAAAGGAGGATTATTTTACTTTCACCTACAAATCTAAATCTGCTGTGGAGCCACATGTTGCCGACCCCTGGACTGGGCTTTTCTCTGAAGATCTTACAAATTCTAAGCTTTGTGATTTTTGCGGTTTGTAAATTTAATAATAGAAATGACTCAAATCAGATAAGTATTAAAAAAGTGAAACATTAGTAATAAAAAATACTAGCAGAAAAAATAAAATAATTAAAGCGTAACTAAACTGTAAAAGTTAATAAAAATCAAAAGAAGATAAATGAAACAAAAGGAGGATGAGATTAAAAAAGGAAACTAAAATTAATTAAAATGACTGAAGTAAAAATAAAATAATCACAATACAAACGAGAATAAGAATATGAATAATAATGAATAAACATAAATAAACAGGAAAAAATAAATAACTAAAATAATGAAAAAAAGACAATAGTAGTGAAAATCAAGTAAACCAGTTGCTACTAACACTTGGAATTAGCTGTAACTGTTACAGTAACTGTACAAGTTTAACTAGTAATACCAGATTAACTACCACAGCATAGCCGCGACATGTCAGACAGCAAACAAGCCAGTCAGGCTGACCATGAACTGGGGGTGTGAGTGTCTGAGTGTCGGTGGTCTTATTTACTTCTCTCAGTGCTTTTCCATCATAGATATTCCTTCCTCTTTAAGTCTCCCCTTTGCAGCGTTTTTCTGGAGTTGCCTGTGTTGATTTATTTGCAGTGCGTTTGCGAAGATGTAGTCATTCTGATGAAAGTGTTTTCTGTGTTTGCAGCGCATTTATGAGCTTGTTTTTAATTGTACTGTGAATAGAGTCTTGTCAACCATCGTACATGTACCATGTAAACATTGCTAATGTCTGAAAACATGCCGTGAAAGCTAAGCTGCAAAAACAGTTTTGAATTCACTGTTTTTGTGATGTCACAACAACCAACACATCTGCCTATCCACCCTACAACAGTAGAGTCAGCCCCACCCATTAAGGCTGAAGCTATAAGGAGTGCTTCCCCAGAGGACAGAAATATTCTAAATGAGATCTCCTCTTGATCTCAGGTACTTCTCCTAGACACAGTGAAGTCCAGTTTGAGATCGGAGTGAGACATAAGCCATTTTCTCCTGTTTCTGAAATTCGGCTCCTGAGAAACAACCCTCAGATTTTCTCACTTTGATCAAAATATTGTCACACATACACCGATCGCACCACCACCACGTCAGTGTTACTGCAGCGCTGAGAATGATCCACCACCCAAATAGTACCTGCTCTGTGAGGGTCCATGGGGGTCCTGACCACTGAAGAACAGGGTAAAAGGGGGCTAACAAAGTATGCAGAGAAACAGATGGGCTACAGTCTGTAACTGTAGAACTACAGTGCACCTATATAGTAAGTGGAGCTGATAAAATGGACAATGAGCGTAGAAACAAGGAGGTGGTCATAATGTTATGTCTGATCGATGTATGGCTCTTTAGTGCCTGACTCGTCTCACCCCTGTCTCAGCTGAATAATATATCCACAAGAAAAGTGTGAGATCTCATGCAAAAGGAGAACTCATGCTTTTCTCCTTCATCACCAGAATTTAACAGTGAGATGCTGATGTTCATCTCCTCTTTTCTCCTAAGGGGGTTTAGGAGAAACAATTCAGAGATCTGCTTTATTTCTCTGAGATCCTATGGGTCGGTCTGGACTGCTTTCTGAATGAGGCACAGCCAAAGAGAACAGAGCTCATTTACATACGTCCGTCTTAAAGGAACAGTAAGCAAAACAGCCTGTTTGATCCTAAGAGATATAGTCAGGCTGGAAAATGGTCATGTGAACATGAGTTATGGCTGATACATTAAACCACACAAACCTCAACAGTGGACCTCAAGGGAAGCTCTATTCTGATTGGCTACGCCATTCAAAAAGGAGTCCAGGCTGAAACACACTGGCTGCGTTTACATGCGAAGATTTTTGCCGATCTGATTGAACACATTCCGATTACAGATTCAGTCTGTGGTGTTTATTCTCACTCTACTCAACAATCTGATGGAAAATCTCTGTTTACATGCTCACTACAAATAATCAGATCCAAAATGACGAGCATGCGTGGAGTAACCACTTGGTGTAGGCGTTACCATGACAACCAGCATCACGTGAGTCCAGTCAGAGTGAGATGAGCAGCAGTGAGCAGTGCTTGTGTTTAATTGCTTTAAAATGATGTCAGACTCAGGAAAACGTCCTTCACACGTCCTTATTAAAGAAGGCCGAGAGGAAGACGTCGTGTTCTGAGACTCATAAGCTGGACGTCCGTCCCACCGCCGTCTTTTAAAGATCAGAGCATAAACTTCGTCTCCTCTGCAGACCAGTTTCTGCTCCGCCATGTTGAACGGTATAAACTTTCACTGTGACGTGACGAACATGATCAGAACGGGCTTAAACTTTCCGATAGGGAATGTAATCAGATACAGGCGTTTACACGGTTATTATTCTTCTATTTAACAGATTATTTACAGGATTACCCACCTCGATCAATCGGATAGGAACTGTATTCCGAATGGCTTCAATCAAACTAGACTATTCCGATTGAAGTGCATACGTGGACGTATTCTATTCCGATTGAGCTATTAGTCAGTTTATTAACGGATTATTAGGCTGCATGTAAATGTGGCTACTGTATAACTTTATTATGAATAGGCGAGACTAAACCTCATGCATAGGTAGTAAACATGTTGGTTTTTGTGGCATCAAACAATTTGCAACGCGCAGTTTTTGCAGCTTAGCTTCCATATATGAACTGTGTGCACTTGGAAGAATACGTTTTGAAACTTCAACCAACCCTACATCAAACACTTTCATTCAAAATTTGTTTTTCTATGATATCAGCCTTTTAAAAAACAGGAGATCCGGTCTTTATGGAAGCAAACCGAACATTTCCACTACTGACTTTACTGAGCCAAGCCTCACCTGAGTGACGGGCTCCACTGAGCCGATGTAGGTGTCTGGACGGAGCAGGATGTGCTCCAGCTGAGTTTTCTTCTGGTACACGCGCTCCACAGACATCTTCTTGGAGCTCTCCTTCTTCGGCGGCTCGCTTTTCCCGCCTTCGCTTTTGCCGTTCGCCTCCTCCTTCTTGGCAGCATTGTTCTTATCAAAGAGGGTCTGTTGTTAGACACAGTGGCACAACTTTTGTTGCAGTAACAGAAAGACTCCAGGGCTCATTTAACACCTTATAGAAAGCTCTGAACAGTTACAACTTATACACAACACAAACATTTTAAACGCCAGGAAAAGTAAGTTTACGCTGTTCTCCAGATCTTCAAATATTGCTTGTAATACTGTTAATACTGACAGGATCCAGCATTGGGCAAGTCACAGAGTATAAGGCCCAATCCCATTTCACCGCTCGCCCCTACCTCTTCACCCTTAGCCCAAGTTCACACTTTGGGGTAGGGGGTCCCGATTCTTGTTGAGATAGAGGGGTAGGGCGAAGTGTTGGGGCTACATGACCCTCCAAACAGAAGTTTTTCAGAGACTCCAAACAGAGAGTTATGAGAAAAAAGAAAAACTGGTCAGACGGCTGAACGAGCGACCAAAGAAACCCACAAATCTGAGAATTTTTCAGTTAAAAATTACGATAACCACTGTATTATCTTAGTTTAATGTCGTTTAATGTATTATGGTTGTTTTCTTCATGACAAGCATGAAAAGTCACCAATACCATGCTAATGTTTCGGTAGCTAGCTAGCGAAATAACCCGTTCCACCTTAAATAGTCCAGCAGTTCTGACGCCTGAAGCGCCAGAATGTAACTGCTGCTCCATTTAAGGCGGAACGGGAAAATTCTAACAAGAAGCTGGAGAATATCTGACTTCAGCTTCATATCACTGAAGAATTAGGGGTGGGTGATAAATAATTGCCCCCCTCTTTGAAGGCATATGATGCCCTAAATGTAACTAAAGCCCAGCAGTGAGGAGCTGAACTTTACCCTCCTCTGCTGACACTGCAGACTGGCAGGGTCGCCTACAGAGCAGCGCTGGTAGCTGTTAATGAAGTAATGCTCTTTTTATTTGAGGGTCCCATTTCACAGAGGAAGATTTCAACCACTACCCCTTGTAACTCAATTCCAAGGGGCAAAGTGACACTCGAAAAGAAATGGGATTGGGCCTGAGTACCTTTGCATTTGGATGGATGAGAGATTACATTTCAATCTCATATTAATAAACTAGTGAGGAAGTGCAGACAGAAGCTTTATTACTATATCAGAATAAATGTATTTGCCAGAAAAAGAGTCGTGGAGGCGACTTTACTATCAGTACTGGACTACGGTGATGTAGCCTACAGACATGAGTCCACCAGTATCCTCAAACCACTGGACTCAATCAATCAATCTATCTGCCTTGTGGTTTATTACTGGCGACCCTCACAGCACTCACCACTGCAGACTGGATAATAAAGGTGGTTGGTCCTCAACAGCAGAACAACAGGAAACAGACTGGCTTATTTTTATTTATAAAAACGTCTCTATAAATAACAGAGACCTGCTCTAATAACTGCATCACCTGTCAGGTATCTAGAGTTTTTACTGAACTGGCAAAATTTGCTTTTAGCTGCAGAGAACCAGTGAGCCGGAATTCACTACAGGAGTACAAACTTTTAGGCTTTGTTCACACAGCAGGTAAAAGTGGTCCAATCTGATTTTTTTCTCCATATGTGACACAGATGTGTGTCTGTGTGTCAGTGTGAACAGCAAAAAAACAAACAGAATCAGACATTTTCAATTCTGATTTGAGACACTTTTGTATGTGTTACTGAAATCCGACCCGTATCCGATCTGCGGCAATGCGACTCAGTCTGAACAGGCAGACCAGAATTCATGCGACTTTTACGTCAATCCAACTCGACATTCGTCAGCATTTCGCACTGCTGAGACTCATCCAAAACCCTCTGTGTAGGAGAGCGAGGATACAGTGCCAAAAAAAAATGTTTAAAGAATCCGAGGACACGAACCAAAGAAGTGACCGCCGAACAACGAGCGCTTTTAACGGCTCGAACACATTCTGGGTGATGAGCCCAGCTGTCAGTCAGTGACGATTCATGATGGCTCCTGTGATGCTGGTGAAGATGAAGCTGATCCTCCGTTGGCGGTCATGATTGTTTACCTCTGGATGAGCCATGAAGCAGCGTGACACTCTGTTCTTTCGCTCATGCGGCTCAGTTTAGGAGCTGATCTGTTCAGACTGATGTCGAATTCAGATCACATTTAAAAGATAATCTGAACAGCCAAACAAAAAATCGGATTTGGTGAGAAAATCAGGTTTGGGCCACTTTTGCTGTGTGAACGTAGCCTTAGTCTCTAACCACCTTCAGACGGCCTGTAACTGTTTTAGTTGAGTTTAACTTTTCCTCTCTCCTTTTTCACTTTATTAATATTTTATTATTATTTTCTATTTACTTTTTTTTCTAATAATTTTATCTCAATTCTATTACTATTTTTATTTACTTGTTCATTCATTCATTCATTCATCATCTTTAAACACTTAATCTAGGGCTGCGGTAACAGTCGAGAGAGCAGAGAATCCCAGAGGACCCTGTCCACCGTAACTTCCTCCAGCTCTCCAGGGAACCCTGAGCTGCTCCCAGGCCAACTTGGAGATATAATCCCTCCAGCGGGTCCTGGGACGACCCCGGTGTCTCGTCCCAGTAGGCTGTGCCTGGTAAACCCCCACCGGGAGGCGTCCAGGGGGCCTGAACCACCTGAACTGGCTCCTCTCACTGTGGCTGCTTTAAATTTAAGTTTGCCCATTTATGCTTTTATGCTGAAAGCCTATTAATTGGTTTATTACCTTGTTTTTTTATAATTCTCTCTTGTAATCAAATCTTCATTGTTCTCTTACTTCTTTTGCCATTCATCTTCTTTTTAACTTGGCTTTTCTGTTCATTTGTTTATGTATTTTTCATTTCATTTTAGTTTAACCTGATCAAATTCCATTTTAATTTCTTTTTCGCTCCCTTTAATGTTGTAAATGCTCAGCTACACTGAAAATGAGGGTCACTCTCTGTGTATTTCTGAGTGAAAACAAAGGATGATTGATTGATTAACTGTTAAAAATGTCTCTGTTTTGGCAAAATAAGAATTTATTCATGTCAGCTGCCATTTCTGTTCTGTCAGATTTGACTGTGATTGATTTACACCCAGAAATCTACGAGCCAGAAACATACAAAAACAACCAAACGTACAACTGAATTACTGAGCAGACACTTAACTAGCTACACTGTGAAAAAATAAATAAATAACAGGTCGTTTTGACTTTAAAAACAGTTTGTAGACAACTGCTCCTCCAACACGAAGGGTATTAGTAGTGAGGTTATTCCTCTTTCTTGCAAGAACAGCCTCTACTCTTCTGGGAAGGTTTCAGACTTGATACTGTAGCATTGCTGTGAGGATTTGATTGTGCACAGCCACAAGAGCATTAGTGAGGTAAGGAACTTATGTTGGATTTATTAGTTCTGGATCACTCTAACTTACATGGTTATAGTGCAAATATGCTCTTTTATAAGCCTAATACAGTTATAAGCACTACATACAAACCATGTTATAGTAAATAAAGGCATAATAACAAAGTAATAACACATTTTTAATATAATCGTTCTCTAACAAATCTAATTTGCACAGGCGATCAGCCAAGACATGCTTGGTTTGCTTCTTTAGTGGTGCACTGTACCTAAAAGGCTAATATAATGTAACTCTATGTCACCCAAAAAAGCTTTTGGCCAACACAGACTTCCACCACTTGAGCTATCAGCCTTGCGGTTTCAGTGCAAAACTGACAAAACAAACTTCAGAAACCAAACACGTCTTGGCTGACTAACTACACTTGGGATAAGGGGTACGTTGTGTATTTTAATATTCTGTGAACTACTCCTTTAACACTGCTTTTATCCAGAGCTCACCATTACTAGGTTGTTTATAATGATCAAGCCACCTAGTAGAGCTTAGCTTAGTTTTTCTATCACTTCATATATTAATATGTCCAAAAAAAATCCAGATGCGCCTTCTAATAAGTCAGTTCTGATACTTTCAGGTGCACCTACTGTTGACAGAGGCGGATCCAGCTTGTACAATCTCCACAGACAAGCACTGACCAATAGAATAGGACAATCTGGAGCAGCACATGAGCCTAAGGTCACCATGCCCAATGCCAAGATGAGGGCTAGGGGGGTGTAAAGCCACCTGCATTGGGCTGTGGAACTGTGCTCTCTGGAGTGATGGAGCTCCATCCAATACCTTTAGGATGAGTTGGAGTGATCCAGAACTGACCAGTACCTGACATCACTAATGCTCAATCAAATCCTCACAGCAATGTTCCAACATCTAGTGTAAAGCCTTCCAAAAGAGTAGAGGCTGTTACTGCAGCAAAGGGGGACAAACTCACTATTAATACACTTAATTTCAGAAGAAACGCTGGATGAGAAGGTTCCTCAGTAGCTAGCTACAAACTTTTGGACCTAAAACTTAAATGGGAATTCCACCGATTTTTCAAAATTTCTACATAATTAACAGGTTAAGAGGTAAACAAAGTCATTCAGAGTGGTTTGATATGAAATGCTCCATTCTAGAAACCTTCAGAGTCAAAATTGTTCACAGTGGTGGTGATAGGAACCAAACGTCTGGACTGTTTAACGTCTTCACAGAAACTTATTACATGAAGTGGTTAGATATGCTGCCTGATGTCTGATATACTGTTTAATATATATTTTTAAAATCCATTCATGGTTTCATGGGTACATGTACGGCATTGTGAGACAAAACAGTCCTCAAAGAAAATGTATATTCCGGATTTACCACTATTTTACCATCAACAACACATGTAGGTTCACTGGTGGTTTTGGATAGTAAATAAAATTGGCTATATTAGGGTAGTAGACGTGGTGACCCCTGGTTCCTATCACTCCCATTGTAACTAAATCTAAGTTGGTAAGTTTTTCTCCAATTAATCATTTAACGCCAAACCACTCCGAGTGACTTTGTTTACATCTTCACCATTTAATTCTGTAGAAATTTTTGGAAAACGGGTGAAATTTCCCTTGAATGTGAGTCTGAACCCAACTGCTCGTCCACAGAGAACTTCAGTTCACGTCGAAGACTTACTTGGCTGCCCCCGTTTATTACTATTTAATCAATAACACTGAGTGGCTGCTACCAAAACAGCCAAGACCCACACTGTTTACATCTCAAACCCCATCTGATCACTTCTCATTGATCCGAATAAAAACAGCAAATCGAAAAAGCTTCCAGAAGAAACTCAAATCTGAACCAAACAAAAGGGCTTTGCAGAGCTCGCTTTTGTTAGCTGCAGAACGGGTAGTGTTAGCTAGTTAGCTCCTGAGGAGAACCCGACCAAACAACGGGTCAGTGTGTATTAATGTCAGAGAAAAAGGACACGAACCACATCTTAAAACTACTAAATCGTTGTTTTCTTGAGTTCTGGGCACTTCGCGAACTATAGTTGGTCATTTTGTAGGAGTTAACATTAGCGACAGCAGGCTACGCTAGCCCAGCACGAAGCTGAAGTCGGCTTCTTGTTCGAATTCCCCCGCTCCACCTTAAATGGCGCAGCAGTTCGATTCTGGCGCCTCAACGCCAGAACGTTAACTGCTGAGCATTTAAGGTGGAACGGGGGATTTCGAACAGGCAAGCCGGCTAAAGCTGCTAATGTTAGCTAGCGAGCTCAGCGCGCATTTCCTGAAGAGAAAAAGATAGCTAGGTATGGTAATAACAACAACACTGTGTGGACGTTTATACGCTACAACGCGTTTATTACAAGCTTATTAATGATCCTTTTTTTACTCACCACCCAGGTCAAAGCCCCGCTTCCTGCAGCACCGTTGGACATTTTCCTATTGTGTCTTCCAAGGCTGGTGTGATGTTTAGCTTAAAAAATGATCAGTCTTCGTAAAAAAATTCCATAAATTCAGCTATACGGCCTCAAACGCTGTCTCCCATGTGAACCGCACAGGAGAGCCGTAAAAATGGATGGTGTTTTTTTTCCCGAGGAGGCGGTTACATGGAGACGGCTTTCCCGGAGAGGCGAGTGATATTTCGGCTATTGTTAAAATCGACAACCGCTTACTTACCGCACAAGGCCCGGATGTCCTACTACTACAACTAAGTCAGAGGACTTCTTTACCGGCTAGAAGGTGTTCGCTGTACAAAAACACGCGTTACTTTTTCCGTGACATCCTAATAATGTAAAAAAACGATAACATTTCCTCCGCTGCGATGCCCTTTTCATGTGTGCCGCTGGATTATTGCCACATTCCTGGATTTTCATTCAGAAACAATAAACAGTGCCGCTACGTCCGTCCGGCTTCAGACGAGCCCCGAAGTCCCAGCCGGCCAATAGGAACGGAGGAAGTCCGAGGCGCCACCGAGTGGACCAATAGAAATCGAGAAAGCCCACCCTGCGTGTACACACACGGCAACGGGAGGCAGATTTAAGCTGCGTCCAAAACCACATACTACACTAATGAATGGGCGTCGATTGGCGGTATATGTTTCACATACCATTTAGTGTGGTAGTGTGCGGCTTTGGACGCAGCTTTAGACTAGAAAAGTGCATTTCCTGAAATAAATGCAGTGATTGCGCAGCCTAATCAAATCCAAGGTGGTTGCTATGGTGTCTGCCGGGCGGTTACTATCTGAGAACTTGTAAAGAGGAGAATTACCGCCCTGCAATGTCTTCTGGGATTCTCAAACGCTAGAGGGCGCTCCCGAGCGAGTCAAAAATGAATGGGTTGATGTGGAGCATTTGAGCAAAATCATAGTTTATAAATGCTGAAACATTTTTAATGTAAAAGAACGTAATCATTTCCTGAACACAGAGCAGCTACATTTTAACACCGCTGTTATATTTTTAAGAGCTTTTAAACTCGAGTTATAGGAGTTTAAAACGGCGCCTCACATACGTTCATGACGTCTGTGAGCGCAAACAGCCAATGAGCTGCTCCGCTCACCAACCAATCAGCAGTCACTAGCTGTAAAGCCAGCGTCCTGCTGCCCAAAACCCGTGTACTGTAGAAAAAAAGATAATATATAGGTACGTTTTCTTTGCTTTTTAGTGAAATACATTATCCTACTCTCTAAAATTAAAGAAACATTCTGGGCGACTGATTAGAAACTAGTTTAACTTTTCGTTTTTTGCCGTTGAGCTCCATATACTCCCATTCATTGAGGACTCACTCGCGGGCGCCCTCTGCTGTTTAGCAGTCCTGTTTCTTATATAACGGCGGGAATAGGAAGTGGCCAGGCTCCTCAAAAAACGGCTCTGGTTACTATAGTATTTTAGGTGGCTGCTACGGTGTTGCTATGTGGTTGCTATGGTATCCCAGGTGGTTGCTAGAGTGTTGCTAGGGTATCCCAGGTGGTTGCTAGGGTGTTGCTAGGTGGTTGGGTTGCTATGGTATCCCAGGTGGTTGCTAGGTGGTTGCTATGGTATCTCAGGTGGTTGCTGTGGTATCCTAGGTGGTTGGGTTGCTATGGTATCCCAGTTGGTTGCTATGTGGTTGATATGGTATCCCAGGTGGTTGCTAGAGTGTTGCTTGGGTATCCCAGGTGGTTGCTAGGGTGTTGCTAGGTGGTTGGGTTGCTATGGTATCCCAGGTGGTTGCTAGGTGGTTGCTATGGTATCCTAGGTGGTTGCTATGGTGTTGCTACATGGATGCTATGGTTCTCGACATGGTTAATAGGGTATTGCTAATGGACTTTTATCACCATGACATAAGTTGGGTGCACAATGGGGAAAAAACTGTCATTTAATGATGACTGTATGGAAACCATTCATCCGGTCAAAAATCTGTATGCATGCGCAGCATTCCTAATCAGACTGAGCAATCCGGAGTTGGAATGGTGTCGATATGTAGAAAACTGAGGGATGAGTTAGCGGACAAAAATCCAGCAGAAAAATAAAAGAAAGAATAATAATGCACCGTCGGATTACAGTGAGGCTGCGCGTTGCAAAGCTATGAAGAATGCAGTGAAGAAAGACTACATTTAGTAAAGTGGCTGCAATAAACTGTTAAAAAAATCGCTTACTATTATAAACCAGCTGCTGTTAATGAACCCTGTTTTACAGCTGTAAATAAATATTAAAGGGGAATTCCACCTATTTATCAGAATTGTTCACAGTAGTGGTGATGGGACCCAGGCAGCAGAAGTGTTTTTAAGCCCTCTAAAAGCTCCTTCTTTACATGAAATGGTTAAGAATAGGTCGTCTGATGCTCAAGACACTGTTTTATAGTTTTGATATGAAGTTTAGCAAAGCAATGCGTAATCACTAATAAATGAGGTTATGAAACTATAAACGCTATTGGGTAAACTGCAGAGTCATGGCATCGGTTTCCTAATTTTAGGTTGATGACCTAAATGACCTAAATTTTTTTCTCTTGTGTTAAATGAAATTACTAAAGCGCTGCATTGAGTAACATAGATCATATACATGTATGACTTATATACCGGTCAATTTCTTTTTATTAGTATCATTATTTTATTACTTTTTTATTTTATTTAGTCTAAATTGTAATTTTACTTTTTTATTTATGTTTGGATTTTTATATTGTCTTTTGAGTTTTTTCTCATTTGAGTTGGAGATTTTAGAAAAGCATTACAGAATACAGCTTTAGTATCAGTTCTGAAAGTTTTTAAATGCATAAACCGTGAAAAAATTCACTGTATTTAGTGAAGCGACTGAAATGAACTGTAAAAATCACTTAATATTGTAAAGCAACTGCAATAAATGAACCCTGTTTTACAGATGTAAATACATATTAAAGGGCAATTCCACTGATGTTTTCCTACCATTGTTTTACCTTCAACATTACATATGAAAACTCTAAAGACATGTAGGTTCACTGGTGGTTTTGGATAGTAAATAAAATGTCTATATTTGTGTTGTTGTCATGGCAACCCCTGGCTCCTCTCACCACCACTGTATAGACGGTTCTACGATCAAGCATTTCACACCAAACCACTCTGAACGACTCTATTTACATCTCAATCACTTATGCGAAAAGGTAGAACAATAGGTGGAATTCCCTTTAAAAGGCAGCAGCCAACATATTTACTTGATTTTTCTGGGTTAAAGTGAGAAAACAATTTAAAGCCAACACAAAACAGTTACAGTACTTAAGGGGACGCATAAAGACTCTAACACAGTCAATGTGGAGGGACGTTTCATTATATATTCATCTGCTACATTAAACAAATACACCTAACAAGACCAGCCTTTCATAAAATTATCATTAAAAATATCAACAAAAATATACCATACATTCCCGTATTCCTTACAGTAAGGTTTCCAGCAAAGTTGTAACAAAGCAGTTATAACACATGCAGATTAAAACACTAAAAAAGGTCCAGTATTTGTAGCTAAACACTGAAAAAAAAAACATTTTCAAGCCATGAATTGGTTGAAATCATACATGAGATTCACCTGATTCCAGCTCTGCTTCTCCAAAACGATGCCAATCTGGTTTCTGGTTCTCAGATTAAAAAAAAATGTGACAAAATTAAAATAAACATAACAGCTACGCATTAATTAGAGTGATTTCCTATCCACTACATTTTTACCTTAGTGTATTACACACTCACTGAGCACTTTATTAGGTACGCCTCGTTTCTACGCTCACTGTCCATTTTATCAGCTCCACTTATTATATAGGTGCACTTTGTAGTTCTACAGTTACAGACTGTAGTCCATCTGTTTCTCTGCATACTTTGTTACCCTGTTATTCAATGGTCAGGACCCCCACAGAGCAGGTATTAGAGTGGACAGTGAGTGGACACAGGGTTTAAAAACTCCAGCAGCACTGCTGTGTCTGATCCACTCAGACCAGCGCAACACACACTAACACACCACCACCACGTCAGTGTTACTGCAGTGCTGAGAATGACCCACCACCCAAATAGTACCTGCTCTGTGGGGGTCCATGGGGGTCCTGACCATTGAAGAATCAGGTGCAGAGAAACAGATGGACTACAGTCTGTAACTGTAGAACTACAAAGTGCTCCTATATGGTGAGTGGAGCTGATAAAGTGGACAATGAGTGTAGAAACAAGGAGGTGTACCTGACAAAGTGCTCAGTGAGTGTTTATACACAAACCATAAAAAATCCATAAAAATAAAAAGGGGAATAAAAAGTGGGGACACATCTCTCCCACCATCAAACATTTCCCTTCTCACGTCCGAAGAGACAGAATTGGCCAGCCAGTCTCTCGTCAAGCGTCCTCCATTTCCACAAGGATCTCAAATGAAGAGGTCTCTGATTCCTTCATGCTCTGTCTGAATAGCTGAGCGTGCTGCCACGCCGCGTCTCCGTCCCCTCCGCTCAGCTCCGCTTCTACGACCAGTTCTGTGGATCCTGAGAGGCCGGCCAGTGAGTGCATTCTGCCATCTGCGAAAATAAGTCAGTGATGGAGCTTCTGAACAGGAGCATCTTCAACTGATACTTAAATGTCTGGTGCATTTTATTTTATTCCACAAATGCACTGATGGTAACTTTCCAGGAGAAAGAATAACATTAAACCTTTAATGTGAGTCAAAGGGGGAATCCACCAATTTTTCAAAATTTCTGTATAACGTAAACAGTGAATACGGCTGCATTTCCATCACCTCTTAATAAAATTCAAGGTCTGTAAAAACATGAAATTTGGAACAAGTTAATGAAGAAATCTTTAACGTCAACTTCTCGCTGCTTTTTTGTTTTGTTTTTTTTTCAGATCTAGGCTATTTTACATTGTTAGAGCATGGAGAACCCATAACTGCTCAGGAAATGTCATCAGCAGGCACCTTATATTCTTTTACTCTCTAGTGTTATCATCATGTATGTTTTAATTTCTTCATTAGTCCACTGGTACCAGCTCTGGTAACATAAGGCAAAATAGTACTTAAAGAACTTCCAGAACTTCCACGATTTTACCATCTTAATTTCTTCCGAGATCAATAAAGTATCTATCTATCTATCTATCTATCTATCTATGTATGTATCTATGTATGTATGTATCTATCTATGTATGTATCTATGTATGTATCTATGTATCTATCTATGTATCTATGTATCTAACTATGTATCTAACTATGTATCTATCTCTCATTAACATTACATCTATAAACTGAAAGATACATGTAGGTTCACTGGTGGTTCTGGATAGTAAATTTGTTTATATTTATGTTGTAGACACACATTGCAACCTCTGGTTCCTAACACCACCACTGCAAAGAAATCTGACTCTAGAGTGAACCATTTCACATCAAGTCACTTTGAATGATTTAACGACCGAAAGACACAGACATGCTGAAAATTTGAAAAAATGGTGGAATTCCCCTTCAATATGTTTTCCAAGTAACCCTGCTCAGCTGGCAGTGTTAAATGATGTAAAAAAAAAGAAAAACAGAAGCAATTTTATAGTTACTTTTCTCTGATTGGACCTGACAATAAAACCAGGCTACAGACTGTAATCTGCCCACATTCTGAATGTGGAAACCCTCAAATCAGCCCATCAATCCGGGAGTGCCAATTGTGACAGCTTCAATGGAGCTACACAGTATTAAATCGGGATACTTTACGGTACTGAGTGATCTGTTCTGCAGTGTATTTGACAGTTATACCTCCGAGGAACTCTAAGGTGGTCTGGGCAGAGCGTAAGCTCCAGCGGACTGTGCCAGAGTGGAAAGTCTGACTGATGGCTCTGACAGAGACCGCCTTGATCCTCAACCCCACAGGCGCACACACAACCCTCCAGCACACTCGGCCTGAGGAAGAACCCTCCGTCCGCGCAAGGTAGACCTAAAACAGAGGACACGCTAATGTAACAATGGAAAATGATTGGGTTCTGCACCCAAGCATAGCTTAGGGCTGGTCAGAAAACCCCTGAATGAACACCATCAGCTGAAGAAACACCTAAAATCAACCAGACTGGAATGATTATCCTTGGAAATAGAGCCATTTCTAAATAGGCAATCAGAGAAATTCAGACTCAAAAGTGGAAATCATCCAAATTGGCGGACAACGTATGCGTTCCACTAACAAACAGTGATCAAAACATTATTATTCATCGTAAGCGGAGAAGATTAGAGAAACTAACCATCTGCCAGTCGTGCTCTTCTTTCCTGAAGACGGACTCACTCTTCCACGTGCCCGTCTCCCAGCGTGGAATCTCCTCTTGGCCGTTGTGCACTCGAAAGTAACAGTCTTTGGTCACGTTATACTGCAGGTGGAACAGCTTCACACCCTTCTCAGACTCCGTGGGGATAAACACAAACCCTGCGGCTTTCTGGAAGAACAAAGGTAAAATGATGAAGGACTAGAGGATGACCAACACAAACTGTGCAGCAGCAGATGAGCTATCGTCTCTGACTTTACATCTACAAGGTGGACTGACAAGGTAGGAGTGTCTAACAGAGTGGACAGTGAGTGGACACAGTGTTTAAAAACTCCAGCAGCTCTGCTGTGTCTGATCCACTCAGACCAGCACAACACACACTAACACACCACCACCACGTCAGTGATACTGCAGTGCTGAAAATGATCCACCACCCAAATAGTACCTGCTCTGTGAGGGTCCTGGGGGTCCTGACCACTGAAGAACAGGGTAAAAGGGGGCTAACAAAGTATCAGAGAAACAGATGGACTACAGTCTGTAACTGTAGAACTACAAAGTGCACCTATATAGTAAGTGGAGCTGATAAAATGGACAATGAGCGTAGAAACAAGGAGATGCGGCAAATAACTTGACCAAAAAATGTTAAATATATAATTACAGTATATTATTTATAAACTTAATCACAAAATAATGTGATTCATTGCGATAAATTATTTTTATTTGTTTTACAGGCCTATTATAAACTACAGATACACAGCAGTACGTCAGCGTAGTGAAACCTGTACATCAAAAAGCTGACAAAAATGAATCAGTGCAAGTATACTACGTATTATCAGTTTCAGTTCTATGAATTACTACATGCCAAATTACAGAAATAATATTTGAAGTTGTAATTAATCAGTGTAATCAATGGCCTACTCATTTCAGACTACAATGCTTCCCCATATATAGATGAGAGGAAATGAGAACCCTCTCCTATATAACCTATACCAGCTTCCCTTACCTCTTTAGAACCAGAAGCACCGGTCTCTCCACGAGCAGCCCTCCAGGCCAGGGACCCCGAGATACGACCTCCGAGCTCCCCTGGTTTGGGGCTCTTAGGGGAGATAAACTCCACCAGCTCCACCACTAACCTCTCCAGGAGCTCCCGCTTCCTCTCAGCACTCAGAGCCTGCTGCCTCTGTGCACACACAAACCAGCAGTCATCCTCCGTAGGATATTAAAACAGCAGTTTAGCAAAAAATTACATTTACACAGCATTCATCAAAACCCCAAACCGGGAATTCGATCAGACAAGACATGTTTGGTCCAAACTGGTAATACATAATAGGAGCCTGTAGCCCACAAATGAGCATCAGGTGACAAAACTATAGAGAAAAGTACACTGAGCAGCTAATAAGCCACGAGAGGCTGTGCTTTTACAAACATCCACAACATAAACTATGACAAAATATACACAATTACAATAAATTACAAGTTAGAGTTAATAAAAATTGCAATAAACAATAATTCCACCAAGAAATATATAGGATACTGTTTCAAAGCAGCCATAGAGTGTTAAAGGAGGGCACAAACTCATTAAATAAGATAAAATAAGACAAGATAAGGTAGAACTTCGTTCATCCCAGAGGAAATTCTTGCACCAGAGGAAAATGACCCCAAAACAAATATAAAAAGAGGTTTTACAAAGAGAGGTAATAGTTCACTTAGTTTTACAAGACTTTATTAAACTTAATACACTTGAATCTGAATTTTCTTACCACTGCATTGAGCCCATTGACAGTGTGCAGCAGCCACGGCTCCTTAACCTGTGTACGTCTGGAGAGCACTTCCTGATGCTTACAGGAGTACCTCCACGTCACATCCACCACCTACAAAAATAAATAATTATTAATTAATAAATAATTTTTGCCAATCTGACTGAATACATTCCGATTACAGATTAAGACTGAGGTGTTTATTCTCACTCTACTCAACAATCTGATGGAAATCTCCGTTTACATGCTCACTATAAGTAATCCGATCCAAAATAATGCAAATCATAAGAATCAACCCAATCTCTGCAGAGCTGTGGCTCGCCGGGAGGCGAGTCTGACCCCCCTGATGTACAGGATGTATACGCTGTTTGTTTGCACCTGATCTTTGGAGAAAGCGAAAATGTAGGAAAGCTTCTTGCCCCAGCCGACTTCATACAGCAGAGGCTTATCACAGGCATTCTCACAGGGATCGCAGTGCAGCCAGCGACGCTGAGACTGAGAGTACACCTCCGTCCACACGTGGTCTGAAACCAACACAGACGAGGCTGAGCAATGTGACGTCACATGACACATACGTCACAGCATATGTAGCATATTGTTGTGAATACCTGTGCAGTCCCAGATGTACCTGGCCTCCAGGCCCACCGCTCGGCAGCACAGGGTGAAACAGTTAGCCCATTCTCCACAGCGCCCCCTTCTGGTCTCAAGCAGTTTCTCAGGATTGTTGTACCTAAACAGAAATGAATATAGAAACAATAAGACAAAAATGAGAAAAGACAAAAAAGAGATATGTATAAGAAAGGCTGCAAAACATGCACTTCACAGCGACACAATTAAAAGAGGATCTATAAACACTCAGGCAGATGCTCCGTCACACGTTACTATGTTTACATGAGCATCAATGGTTCGATATTAGTCTGACAGACCCTTCGCCCTCAGACTGTACAAGTCAGAGCCGGTTTATGAGAGTCTGGCCTCTTCCTATTTCCCCCGTTATATCAAAAACAGGACTGCAGTAGGCTAGAGGGCGCCCACGAGTGTGTTCTCAATGAATGGGAGTAAATGGAGCTAAACGGCTAAAAACGAAAAGTTAAAATAGTTTCTAATCACTCGCTCAGAACGTTTCTTTCATTTTAGAAAAACTGAAGGATGTATTTCACTAAAAAAGCAAAGAAATCTCACCTGTTTGTTTCCTTTTTTCTACAGCAAACGGGTTTTGAGCGGAGGGACTATGATTTTGCTCAAACGCTCCATATCAACCCATTCATTTTGGACTCACTCGGGAGCGCCCTCTAGTGTTTGAGCAACCCAGAAGACATTACAGAGTGGTGATTCTCCTCTCTACAAGTGCTCTCTTGCACTTTTATATGGCCATTCTTCATATTCATTTCAGCGCACTTTGGCTCAGTCTTGTCTGGGAACAGAGCTTGTGACTCTGCTCGGGTTCCACAAGCTTTATAGCTCTTGAGCACCCCATCTGGAGTAACACAGCTACCTAGAGAGATTTCACCCCAGTAACTTTGACCTGTCATGTGTGCACGCACCAGCACATCGCTCCGTAAACGGATTTCACTAACACGTTACCTTGGGAATCTGTTGGTGACATGGCAGGCGTTGCAGTAGTGATTCTCAACACGGCCAGCGTCCCATCGTAGGTCATCCGCAGAGGGCGACAGCGAGCCGAAGGACTGCGTTGAACCCCCGCACCGGCTGCATGGCAGGCTGTCCACCCAGGAGAAAAACTCTCCTTTAAACCACTGCAACAGCTCCAGCAGCAGCATGTCCTCCTCAGCAAGATTACAACCTAGACACAGGAAGGAAAACAGCAAGAAAACAAGGTAATTATACTGGATCACTGAGGAAGTCAAGAGGAACTCTGTCATCCCATCCATGTACAAGTAAACAGTGGAACAAAATAAGATTCTTCAAGGACCTCGCGTGACATAAGACGGTCAGTGTTTACTGGACCACACAGCACAAACGCAGACTATATTACTATATTTTTACCCCCCTGAGGTCCACTTATAACACTTATGAGGTCTTATGTACCAAAATCAGTCATAATACACCGATCAGGAATAACATTATGACCACCTCCTTGTTTCTGCGCTCATTGTCCATTTTATCAGCTCCACTTACTATATAGGTGCACTTTGTAGTTCTACAGTTACAGACTGTAGTCCATCTGTTTCTCTTCATACTTTATTAGCCTGTTCTTCAGTGGTCAGGACCCCCATGGACCCTCACAGAGCAGGTCCTATTTGGGTGGTGGATCATTCTCAGCACTGCAGTAACACTGACGTGGTGGTGGGGTGTTAGTGTGTGTTGCGCTGCTGCGAGTGGATCAGACACAGCAGTGCTGCTGGAGTTTTTAAACACTTCAGTGTCACTGCTGGACTGAGAATAGTCCACCAACCAAAAACATCCAGCCAACAGCGTCCTGTGGGCAGCGTCCTGTGACCACTGATGAAGGACTAGAGGATGACCAACACAAACTGTGCAGCAGCAGATGAGCTATCGTCTCTGACTTTACATCTACAAGGTGGACTGACAAGGTAGGAGTGTCTAATAGAGTGGACAGTGAGTGGACACAGTGTTAAAAAACTCCAGCAGCACTGCTGTGTCTGATCAACTCAGACCAGCGCAACACACACTAACACACCACCACCACGTCAGTGTTACTGCAGTGCTGAGAATGATTCACCACCCAAATAGTACCTGCTCTGTGAGGGTCCATGGGGGTCCTGACCACTGAAGAACAGGCTAATAAAGTATGAAGAGAAACAGATGGACTACAGTCTGTAACTGTAGAACTACAAAGTGCACCTATATAGTAAGTGGAGCTGATAAAATGGACAATGAGCGTAGAAACAAGGAGGTGGTCATAATGTTATGCCTGATCGGTGTATAAGAATGTAAGTAGTGCAAGAGAGTACAGACCTCAGCAGGTAAACTGTTCCAATTATGTAAACCATAACAGCAACTCAGTATAGCACAAGTAACAGACAGACCAGGGGTCGGCAATGCGTGGCTCTTTTACTGCCCTGTAAGACCATTTATTGTTAAACTGTGTTGAACGATCAGCAGAGCTTTATTTTACTGTAAAGGAGGATTATTTTATTTTTACCTACAAATCTGATTCTGCTGTGGAATCACAACAGGGCAGTAACAGAGCCACGTTGACTCATCAGACCATAGTACATGTTTCCACTGAGCATCAGTCCATTTCACACAACGTGAATCCAGAAAAGTTGGCAGCATTTCTGGACTTTGTTGATATATGACCTCCACTGTGTACAGTAATCTTAACTTGCATTTGTGGATGCAGCAACAGACGCTGTTTACTGACAACGGTCTCTAAAAGTATTCCTAAGCCCACGTGGTGATCTCCATCACAGAAGCATGCAGGTTTTAACGCAGCGCTGCCTGGAGGGTTAAAGTTACAGGCATTCAGTTGAGGTTTTCAGCCTTTTCCTTTACGCACAGAGATTTCTCTGGAATCGTTTCTCGTTATTATGAACCTTAGAGAATAAAACACCTAAAATCCTTTTTAAACCATTTTTATATTTTATTTTGCTGATGATTTTTTTGGAAATTGGGGAGCCTCAGGTCATCCTCACTCATTAAGGACTCTTCTTCCTAGATGCTCTTTTTATATACAAGCACAACTGCACCACCTTTTTAAGATATTTTTCGAATATTTTAAATTATATTTTACTTTTACGTTACACCGTCTTAAACTGCTCCTGTCCCAGCTTTTTTGAATGTTTCAGAATGAGCATATATTTACAAAAGAAACCCGATAACGTTGGTAAGCTAAAACGTATCTTGTCTTTGTAATGTTTTTGTTCAAAAACAGGTCAAAGCACATTTATAAATCACTTTTTGTTTTTTGCTTTTCCACTTACTGCCTTAACGTCTTTGAAAATGGGTTCAAAAAATCCTTCCAATCCGTTTATCCACTTTTACTTCACACATAATAACTTTTGACTTTGTCCTTACAAATATGAACAAAAAAGTAAAGTGTTTATAAGAGAATGGCGAAATAACAGCACAGTTAGAACGCTTCTCAACCAATCAGCTTGCGTGGCCGGAAGAAACTGTTGTATAATTTACAGTATATTCTAGAAGAGCTCCTACAGCACATGCTCCACATACAAACTGGCTCTTGAGCAGGACAGTCAGAAAACAGACAGCAGATGAACCAAAATAACTTCCTCTTTCAGACCGGAAATACTGGTTAGGCGAATCAGGAAAATGTGTCATGTAGAAGCCACTACCGAAGTCAGAATTACCTTCTCAAAGCTACAGCAGCAGTGGTCAGGGGTTGGCAGGTAACATTAGCACCTGATGACTGTAGATTTTCAAACAAATCTGTTTTATTTCCCCATTCGTTTTTCTATGCATGAGTTTTCAGGGCTCCAATCCATGAACTGAAACTCCAGTCCTGGCTTTACTTTGTTGACACATGCAGCAATGAGCTGTCCTGTGAGGGACGTCAGAAACAGCATGTTTTACACGTGATGTTAATCTAATGTTTGGTTGAGGTCTTTTCACTCCAAGTTGATTTTTAATGGAGGAAAAGTTCAGGTCTGTGGAGCCCGTTTTCATACATACATCCATCCATCATCTAAAACGCTTATCCTTCTGGGTCACAGTGGGGTGCTGGAGCCTATCCCAGCAGTCATTGGGCGGAAGGCAGGATACACCCTGGACAGGTCGCCAATCCATTGCAGGGCAGACAGACAGACATACACATTCACACACACTCACACCTAGGGGCAATTCAGCATGTCCAATCAGCCTGACTGCATGTCTTTGGACTGTGGGAGGAAACCGGAGTACCCGGAGGAAACCCACGCCAACACGGGGAGAACATGCAAACTCCACACAGAAACAGCCCTGGTCGCCCGGCCGGGAATCAAACCCAGGCCCTTCTTGCTGTGAGGCGACAGCGCTACCGACTGCGCCACCGTGCCGCCACAGCCCGTTTTCGATGTTTACCAAAAGAAAAAAATTATGTGATTTATTATTATTTCAACCTCAGATTCTTGGCCTTTGTTCATTTTCTGTGAAGAACATATAAAATAACCCATTTTCAGTGTCTTCACTCTGTTCACCCCCACACATTTATATTACACATGTGGTGTTGGGCTGAACCCACGGGGAGTAAAAGTGTGGAGGTGCTGTGTCCTTCACTCTGTTCTCCTCCTACACGGCCTGCTGTTAGTGTGTGTGTGTGTGTGTGTGTGTGTGTGTGTGTGTGTGTGTCTGTGTGTGTGAGGGTGGACAACATGGACAGGCTGCTGACTGGCTACAGCTGCTAAAAGAGAACCCTACACTGGACACTTGTGATATTTTAAACATCTGGTATTTTTACATAATTTTTTACGGCTGTATAGATTTAAAAAAACAGTAATATGGTGGGTCCACCAGACCACTGAGTAACAAACACATCAACACCACACAAGGGTTAACGCACAAAACCTTTGCTGTGATGTGTTTTTTTATTAAACACTCGTACAAAGAAAAATGATGAGGAAGAAAAAAGCGAATCCAGTTTGGGCGCCTCTGGTCAAATCGCATGTTTTGCTGACTTCCTAAGTGCAAACAGGTTAACACATCCTCTACAAAGAACACACTACACATTTTAATACACAATTACTGCCGATTTATAAAATGTGGCCTGTGAAAAAGTTATAGCACACTCTGTGTTTTATGTTTCACCTCCCTAATATATAAAACACAGCAAATAAACAGACATTGTGCACTAAAACTTGCAGAAAATGCCACATTTAGGTGTCCTGTGTGGAGGATGTAGTAACTTTTTTGGTCTGTTAACTCATACGTTGCAGCTGTGTCGCCCCCCTCTGGCGCAAATGGAAACTGCCGTAGATATAATGAATGTTACTGTAAAACAACACTATTGATATTAATTGGTTTCGATGTATAGTTTTCTCAAAATCACTTATTGTCCCAGCCTTGGTTTCAAATAATGTGGCAAAGTCTTACTTGGATCTGCTTTCCTGGCCTGCTGCAGTCGTTCTTCAGCCCCGGAGCAGAGCTGCCCCCGGGGTATACAGCTCAGAGCTTTCCGCTGAAGTTCAGGGCTCTCGTATGTCATCACGTGCTGAAAGTTTGACCGCAGAGTCCTCAGGAAGGACATGTTGCTCTGCTACGATACCAGAACACACGACACAAAAAACAAGATATAATATGTTAGTGTAGTCAAATTCAGTGCTGTACACTGTGCGCCTGCGTGTCACCTGCCTATTCGTGGTACCTATTCACAGCTTTAGCACTGTGCACTGAATCTCTTTCTATGGGCAAGTATGAGAACGAGAAAGACAGGTTTCTATAGTCTTCACTTCACTTCAGAGGTCACACTGTGTACTGATGAAGTTGTGAAATAAAGAAAAGTTATGTAATCATAATAAGATCTATATTCATTCTTACGCCATTTCAGTTTGTTACAGTACGATAACTTATTGCAGACATCTTTAAGCTCTTCAACTCTAAGGCCATTTTTCCCCTGAACAATGTAGAACTGAGCGTTTTCTATCGACCATCTGTCCAATAATGCATGTTCCAGCTTTATGGCAGTTCAAATTCCTTTTTCATATTATAGAACATATTAGTTTCATGGTAGTTACCAAACAGTTCATAACGAGTGTGTTTACATGCACTCAATAATCCAATCATAATCAGATTCCTGCAGTTATCTGATTATTCCAACGGTCATGTAAACAGCACACTCTGATTTCTTAGATCAGAGTAAGGTCTAGAAATCCGATGAAGAGAGCTGGATTTTAGCTGGATTTTAGCTCAGTAATCAGATTTCTCAGTGCATCTAGACTCTTACTCTGATTTCTTTCGGATGTCTCAGTCTGCGCATGTGCAAAAACAGACTGCGGTACCGGAAATAAGCGAGCGGCGTCGCCGCGAGACTCAGCAAAACACTTTTGGAGTGACGCTGAAACCAAATACATGCTTGACGAAATGCAGGATTTAAATGTTCTTCATCTTTTAGACGATGTCTGTTCATATTTTCGGGTAAAGTGGCGCGATATTAAAAAAAGTTTGAGTTTTACGTTACGTTTACATCACGTCTTCATCTGTGAGTTTATTGGCTGGTTGCAAAGCAGAAATCTGATTACTGTCTGACATAAACATAAACATAAACCTGGAGTTTCCCCATTATCAGATAACCCAAATGTATGTAAACACATTGATTGGATCACTGACAAAATCTGATTATCGGATTATTAAGTGCAAGTAAACACACTCAGTGTTACTGAACAATAAGATTAATAATAACAAGTTTAAGGCAGGCTTTACATAGTGAAACTAGCATGCAACTAGCTGCATGGTGTGAGTTGCCTGCAACCTGATTTCCATGCAATTAAACAGTTACACAATGCAATTTGAAAAACAAGTTGCACACACACATTCAGTTACTCCACAAGTTGGCCAAATAAAACAGTAGAATTGTGTCATTCCTGTGATATAAACTTATGTTTAATCTATATGTGAATATTTAGCAGCATTTTTACTGTCCTTGTGTAATTCCAGCTGTTATTGTATGAAATGGCCGTATCAGAAAGCAGGAAGAGAACGATCACTGCACTAGCGCTTAAATATGCTTCACAAAGAAAAATGAACTGAAAGGACTAAACAAATGTGGGTGAAGGACTGGCTACTGAAAAGAGAGAAGAGTTTAACAGCTGTCAGTGTTAGCAGGGTAATCAACCCAGCTGGTTACAGAAACGTTCGCCCTCAGCTGACTGACAACATATAAATAAACAAAAAAATAACAAAATAAAAATAACTTTGCATAAAGTCAGTTTGGAGCATCTCCCTTCTGACCGAACAAAACAGAGGTGTCCAAAAGTCCAATCAAACTATAAGGCATTGCTTGTAAATAAGGCTTTAGTGTCCTTTGCTGTGATCACATGATGAGTTATCTGCATTTTGATTGGCTGTTTCATGAACCTTCATGAAACAGAGATGCTTGCAACTTTTGCACTACATTGCAGGACACTTTATATTATGTAACTTAAGCACAATTCAGTTTCATGTAGGTTTCAAGCAACTAAAATTGCGTGAAAGTTTCACTGCATACAGCTAGTTTAAGAGGTTATGGTGCACTATGATGCAAGACATCACATCTATGATACGTCTACTGGACCCCAGGAAGAATAGCAGCTATCACAATAGCAGCTAATGGGGATCTAAAAATAAACAAAAATAAACAAAATCACATCAGTCTGTATCTGCACCGCTAAGACTTGCTAGATCAGTGCTGAATGCAGGAAAGTTTCCCTTATTCCACCCCCAATGAAAGACCAAACTTATTTTAAACATCTGATAATTTAACTCTTTTTTCTTTTAACATTTTCTCTTGTAAGCAATTATAAGTAGATATGTTTATTTAAGTATTGTGAGTAATTTAAAATGTATTTTTTTGCATGCACTTGCTTAAATTCTGATATGTTGATGTCCCAATTTTGCAAGTGAAAATGTGAACATGCGATATAAGGTTTTATGTAAGACTGACTTATAAGATCATTCTACTTTGCCATATTTTGTTTAGAAATATAAATTTGTATTTTTCTGAGCCAAACCAACCTGTGTAGTATATCAATGGAGCTCTGTGCAGTCAAGAGTTAGAAATTACAAGAATTTAAAAAGTTAGAAGTCAGAAATCTTAAAAATAGTCTTAAGACTTTTCTTTCTAGTTTTTATTAATTCATTTTGCTTTGTTTTAGAAACTCTGGATCTTTCAAGAATAAATCTTAAGATTTTTCCTTTTAGATGTGTTTTATGGATTTTCTTTTGTTTTAACACATTCTGAATCTTTGAATCTTAACTTGAATCTAAAGACTCTTTTTAGATGTGTTTTTATGAATTTTGTTTTTTTTTGTTTTGTAAAAAGCACCTTGAGTTGACGTTGTCATGAAAAGTTATTTATTATTATTATTATTATTATTATTATTAACAATAAAATATACAAAATCAAGAACTGACCATCTGAACATCTGATCACCTATAAATATAATTATCATTACACCCCCAAAACAACAGAAATAAAAATAAATAGTTTCTAAAGTATTTTTTTTTTTAAATCAATGACTTTGACACCAAATAATCGCTAGGCAGTCTTGCTTTTATCACATATGTAACAATATTCAATTTCGACTCCTCAGTAACCTCGCAATTCTAAGGATCCAGTAGCTTTTGAGGGGACATACACGGGACAACATGCATCAGTTTTGGAACATTTTTGTTTCACAGGTGCTTTTCTGGAAATCACTGTTTATTTTTTCCATAAGCAGAACTGGCTTAGACTCAGATGCTAAATCAGACGCTAACGGTGAACTACAAATAGAAGCCGCGTCCCTAGAAGTCTATTGTCAGAAAGACCATCAGGATCAGGACATTAGAACTATCTGTAAATCTGAATTAATCAAACAACAACAACTAATGTATTCTTACCGGAGACTGTTGTTGTGTTGCTGGTTGTGCTGCTGGCTGTGCTGCTGGCTGTGTCAGCTGTTGGGGTGCTGATGCCTGGGCAGAGGTAGGAGAGGCAGGAGAAACCGAGGCAGGGTTGGCGCTCTGGGGGTTTGGTGTGCACTGGCCTGTCCCAAGCCTCTGGTCTCTCTCTGCAGCGATGGACTCTCGCACTCGCCTCAGCTGATCTACAGACGCCGACTTGGGGAACACCAGGTGCGTCTCGGCCTGACAGCAACAATAAGGTGACAAGAGGAGAATTCAGGTTTCTGTCCTCACGAAATATCAAAGACACAACATACCAAACTCAGGAAAAGCCTTTTAACCCCTTAAACCCTGGGCTTCTAATTCAGTTATTCGTCTTAGAATAGATAATTCCACCAATTGTTCACAATTTCTGCATAATTCAGTGCTTGAGATGTAAACAGAGACGTTCAGAGTGGTTTGGTGTGAAACGGTTGATTGTAGAGACTCTTTACAGTGGTGGTGATAGGAACCAGGGGTTGCCATGACTACAACACAGATATAGACATTTTATTTACTATCCAAAACCACCAGTGAACCTACACGAGTCTTCTGAGCTTTATATGGAGTGTTGATGATGGGAAAATAGTGAAAAATCTTAAATAATACTTTGAGTAATAATTTCTTTGGGTATTGTATTGACTTACAGCACTCTGCATGTAAAAGAACATGTTTTAGGCCAACAGCTCATCGAAAAAGTCATAAAACAATGTCTGAGGCAGGAGTGGCGATGGGGAGGACCAGTGCATTGCAACACTTAAAAACATTTTTGTAATACGCATCACAATTTTTAGACACACAGACAAAGTGAGCTCAAAGTAGGGCTGAACGATTTGTGGAAAATATGTAATTGCGATTTTTGTGACTATTACTGCAGCTGCAGTTTAAACTGCGATTATTTTTTGTAAATTAGGTTCAGGCCTGTTTTTTTTGTCCAAGAAGACCAGAATATCTACATTTTTGGCTTGAGGCTTGGGGCCAAAATGTTGCGTGCCAGACAGCCAGTAAGCTGCGGTTGTGATGTCACAACACACGGAGGTTTGGTTGCTTGTGATTGCTCTAACTTATCTACAAGTGTCACACTTCCCTCCGTTCCTGCTGTCTCTGCCTCCCAGCCTCCGGACTCCATTACCCAGAACCCCACTCCCGATCACATGACCACCAACCTCCCTCATATGACTCTCCAATGTTCTGCCTTACCTGACTACTGATCACTCACACCTGGTTCTTGTTATTTACCTGTTAGTTTATTATATAAGCCCAGGCTTTAGCTTAGCTCATTGCACAGCATTGCCTTTGTTATCAGAGCCTTACTGAGCCTTCCATTTAGCCCATTTCATGTATGAACCTTGTCTTTTTGTCTTGCCCTCTCAGTATTGTTGTGATTTCTGATTTGACCCTGTTTCTGGTTTTTGGACATTTGCTTTTTGGACTCTCCTCACGGTTCCGGTTTTGGTGTACTGGTTTTTGACGTTGGACTGGCTGACTCTGATTTCAGATACTCCCTTTGTTAATAAACCCTTTTTACCTAAGCGAGGTCTGCGAGTGTCTGAATTCTGTTCGAGCCTGACAACAAGGAGGTCACAAGCTCTGTGTTATTAAGTTAAATTTGCCCTCTTAATACTTAGGACAACTTTTTTGATTATGTAGATCAGGGGTCTTTAATTAAAATTCAATAAGGTCCAGTTAGAGAAAATTTCCTCAAGTGAAGGTCCGGAACATCATGATTCAGTGCCATATACTGTAAACTGAAGTAGCCTAGTAGGTATATCAACATCTTATACAGTCAACAACTGAATATCAAATCAAATAAAGTACAATTCAGTCATATTTCAACAACATAAATAACTTCCCTCTGACTCACTTTCCTCTCCGACTGCTGTTTCTCGCCTCGGCCCTCCCCTGTGTGTGCGTCACTCACTCGAGTCTCAGTGCTCATCATAATGCACAGATCTGATTGGCTGAGTAGCACCATGTGTGATATTTACAACGCATGCGATTGGTCTGAGTCTCCTGGGCCGCTAAAGCCGCACGTAAAGGCTAGAAAAGCTACGCCGATTAAAACAGGACCACCTCGAAATTAAATAATTCTCCATAGTTTATAGGTTTTAGGTCCAGGTCCGCATAGGACGGCGTCTGCGTCCGGACTCGGACCGCTTTCCGCCTATTAGTGACCTCTGATGTAGACTATAATTTAAAAAAATTTACCTCTTGCAATTTGAAATTTGCACTCTCTTAAATTGCGAATTCGTTATAAAAACGATTCATCTTTCAGCTCGAGCTCACAACGCCATATTTAAGTACTGTGAAAAGATGAATATAATGATTATAATTTAAATCCAATTAAACAGGCGAATTATGTTCTCACTGTAATTAAAGGTGCAGTTAGTCAGTGTTACTTAAGTACTGAGGAAATGCACAGTACAATCAGAAAAGCATGCAGTTTATCACAATAACAAAATATATCAGGATAACGATGAAATACTGTCATATCGTCCACCTGTAGTCTCTGGCACTGTGCAATGTACTTGTGACTATTTTGTGTACAGCCTTCTGTGAGGGAGCGTTTAGAGGTGGACGTCTGGTTCCTATCACCACCACTGTGAACAGTTCTGACTGTAGGTTTCTAACGACTTTGCCTACACCTTAACCATTTAATCATACAGAAATTTTGAAAAATCAGTGGAATCCCCCTTAAGATCTATCACTAAGTGTTAGTTAGACTATTATGACACTAATATGTGAGTTATCAGGAACACGTCCAGGCCTGCATGAGCTTAACTAAGCCTAGTCTTGGATTAAACAGCATTACCAATGATGATTCATCACTGAAAACTGTTTTTAGTCTAGGCACTGGTTTAAAGGGGGATTCCACCATTTTTCAAATTTCTGCGTAATTAAATAATTAATGTGTACACAAGGTCATTCAGAGTGGTTTGGCGTGAAACGCTCTGTTCTACAGAAACTTACCGAGTCAGAACTGTTCACAGTGGTGCTGATAGGAACCAGACGTCCACCTCTAAAAGCTCCCTCACAGAAAGTTCCTACATGAAATGGTTATGAATTCACTGCCTGATGACTGAGACACTGTTTTATGATAGCTTGGAGACTACTTTGGCCCAAAACATATGGTTAAAATCCATTCACTGGTTCACTGGTGGTTCTGGATAGTAAATAAAATGTCTACATTTGTGTTGTAGTCATGGCGACCCCTGGTTCCTATCACCACCACTGTAAAGACATCTGAGTAGGTAAGTTTCTCTACAGTGAACTATTTTGCATTAAACTAATCTGGATGTCTTTGTTTAAATATTACGCATTAATTTATGCAGAAATGTTGAAAAATCTGTGGTAATCTGGGAGTAGGCCTGGAGCTAGATACAACCCTCCTAGTAAACTCAACCTGATACATAAACCGAATGTTTCTTTTTTACAGGTAGCATAAGTTTAAATAACAATAGTTGCTTTTTTTTGGAACTAGAGCTAGTAAACACTGAATTGAATCCAGATTTGTCTTTGTTGCAGCAAATATTCACTACAAGGTTGCATTTTGCATTCATTTAAATCAAGCAAGCTATTCAGAAAACATCTAAAAAAATCAAATACCTCCTCAAAGCCCATTTCAAAGAGGCATTCAACGGCTCCTTTTATAGGAAGAAGTTTGGTGGAGAAGGTCGGGTTGCCTATGCGGATCGATCTGTACTTCTCTTCATTGGGATTCCTGTAGAGAGATAAACACATGCATGCACACAGGTTTGAGTCAGGATTGGTCCTGAAGAAGCAGTCATGCAGAATTAAGTTCCAAACTCTAGCACAACTGGTTCTAAAGCTCTGAGCCGAGCACGGAAGCAGCGCTGGCTGAACTTAAGACACTTCGAGCCAGCCATCCTAAAGAGGAATTTTTAAAACGCCTACATAATTAAATCATTAGGATTAGTTGATTGATCGTGAAATGCTCCATTCTAGAGAATCTTACTCAGAGTTGCTCACCGTGGCAGTGAAGTCAAACAGACATCTGAAGAGTTTAATGCCTCTAAAAGGTCCCTCACACAAAAGTGACTACATTACAGGCCGTGATAAGGCAAAATATTCCCCCTGAGGATTTTATCATCATCAACATTACACATAAACATGCAGGAGACACAAGTAGGTTTAGGGGTGGGCAATACGGCCAAAAAATTATATCACAATTTTATAATTTGCATGATACCCCCCAGGTAGGTTCAGTGATCAATCTGCACTGTAAATAAAATGTCTATTTTTGTGTTGTAGTCATGGCGACCCCTGGTTCCTATCACCACCACTGTAAAGACATCTGAGTCTCTACAATCTCCCACTTCACACCAAACCACTTTGAATCACTCTGTTTACATCTTAACCACTGAATTATGCTAAAATTTTGAAACATCGGTGGAGTTCCCCTTTAATGACCATTTCTGACATATATGTGAACATAGCACCAAAAAGGGTTCTGCTATTGTTCCAACTGTTGCCTGACACCCCTTTTTGGTGCTACACAGAACCATTTCCAAAAAGGTTCTATATAGAACCATGTACAACACATTCTCCACCAATCCCGTTCCACCTTAAATGGTGCATCAGTTACATTCTGGCGCCTTAGAATTTAACCGCCGCACAATTTAAGGTGGAACGGGGAATTCGAACATGAAGCCACCTTTAGTCTCTCAGACCCTTCTACGTTGATGATGACGGTGCATTTGTCTGTCTTGTTACCGCTCAGTCGCTAAACTCAGCAACGGGCATTAACACAGTCAGACCCCATTATAACCGCATTACCTCAGAATATTGTCCGCATACGTTAACAGCAATTTTGACACATCCAAAAACACCTCGTTCGTATTTTCACACAGCGCAGAAACCCCTTCAAATCCAGCCATCATTTACACCAAAGTTGTTGACACTTCGTCCAGACAAAAAAATAAAAGTCCCGGTAACCGGGTAAAAGCCGTGGAGAAAGGCTTTTATTTTGTAATACAGGTTGTAAACAAGTGGATAATGCTGTAAAATTAGTAGAGATTATATATTGCATTTATAAATGCCGAATAATGAATAAATAAACGATTTTTTTGTGTAGATCTGGTATGTATGTATAAGTCCCTTAAAATTTAAAAAACTAAATAAAATTTTTAAATAAAAGTCTGCATTTACCGCTGGTACACTAACTACCACCTTATCTGCTAATAAGTTCTTTTAAAATGTCACTCCTGTTATTTCTTCCCTTCCAGTTATTTATTTAGCTATTTGTTTATTTATTTATTTATTTTATTTTCATTATTATTATTCCTGTATTATTGGATTTGTAATTCTGTGATCCATCCATGCCTTCCTTCAAATGCAAAAAAAATACTATTACATACTACTACGTACTATTTAGTATGGCAGAATGCGGTTTTGGACGCAGCCTATGTTTTATTTTATCAACTCTAGTAAATATTTAAAATATTCTTTCTGCTGTCCGCGAAAGTCGATTACGGAAGCCTCTGAACAGCCACAGCATTAATGTCAAAATAAAAGTCTCTATTTACAAATTACTTACCCACTCGCTCCATTCGCTGATAACTTAAACAAAACTTTGCCTTTTCACCCATGAAACAAGTGTGTATTTTTATTCGGATTATTATCAATAAAAAGTGTTATTCCTCAGAGTGGCGTGGTGTTCAGATCCCGGACCTGTCGTTTCAGAAACGGTTTATTTCGCCCATAACGAGCTTGTGTTGGAAGGGCCGATTCTAGACCTGTTGTGTGGACCTTTTATTCTATTAATCTGTCTGTTAACATATTAAGTATGTATCTCTAACAAAACTTCAATTTTTATTAATAAAATATGTAATAAAATTATAAAACTACAGCGCTAATTTCACGCTCGCAGCAGCCACAGTGGTGCGTTCAACATACAATGTTTAAAAGCGTTCAAGAAACACTCCCTAAGGTGACATGGTTACTATTTTTTGACCACGAATTAATACATTGAGGCCACAAGTTACTATGCAGAGACCGCGAGTTAAGTTTTCCATAACTGGTGGCCTCAATGTATTCATTTGTGCGCACATCTCATTAAAAATAAAGAAAAGAAAAGAAAACGCAACATTAGTTTTTCACCAAAATTCTCACATGGTGTAATTTTCAACGCTGAAAATGAATCCGGTGTTTTGTAGCTTTTCTTCTAAAAAAATAAATAAATAAATAAAAGGAAGAGTTTTTAATCAGCTGAAATCAGGTGTGTTGTGAACACACCAAAAGTTTTTTTTTTTTGGCTTGCAGTAAAGGCGCGAAGTCTCTGTTGGACCCACGTTGTGCGTCTATACACGTGAAAGAGAACTCCTGGTGAGTAAAATCCAGTCTGATAGTCTGATATTCTGATAATCTACACCGGACGAACTCACTGTAGAAGCATCAGTGCTGCTGAACTGAACTTGGCGGCTTCAGCTTCTTCCTCACGCTTTGTCTGTTGACCCTGCAGCGCGTTTCTCCTGATGGCAGACAAGCCGGTGTGGGAGCAGATCGGCACAGGATTCGTGCAGCATTACTATCAGCAGTTCGACACAGACCGGGGAAAACTCGCTGACCTCTATGTAAGCTCAGCAGCTGCTGTGTTTGTGAGGCTATCATGCTTGTTTTTAAAGTAAACAGTGCTAGTAAAGCTGCGTTGAGAGGGAAGGCATGCTTTAAAGGGGAACTCCACCGATATTTTCAAAATTCAGAATAATTCATTACGCTCCTAAAATGTTTTTTTTTCAGTGCTTCTTTAGAAAAGGAAAGACTTAACCTCTTATTCACCAGGGTATATTTTGGTTTGTCCATCTGAATTGACATGACCAAATCGTAAGGCAAATTATTCAGTAACTACATGAAATAAATGTACATTTTTATTTTATTTATTTATTTTTTGTAAAAGCTCCCCTCAGATTAACAGAACATGTTTTCTGATCACACATACTGCTATATGCTTACAATTTACAGCCGAAAGCCAAAAATTTTAGACGCTCTTTGTATTATTTTATAAAAATAGTTTTTACAGAGCAGATCACTGAAGAGACGCCATCTGTTTATAGTTTATAGCCCAGATTTGTGGAAAAATGGGTCGACTTTCAGTAGACAAAAAATTGTGAATTCAGCTTCTTTTATTATAAGGGTTTAAAATTACATCACCCATCTATTTGACTGGATAGAAGACAGTTACAGCTCTCATACGACCCCCACCTTTAGAATGTAGCTTATGAAATATGAAAGTTATGAAGAATATGACGAAGTGTGTTTTGGAACCACTGGTGGTCTCAGAGAGTTGAAGAGGTTAAATGGTTCTTTGCATGCTGAAACACATTCTCCATCAATCTGAAGAACCATTGTGCCATGCAAAGAACCATTTAGGCATGCGTATGGTTATTGAGTGTTCATGATTCTGTATAGAACCATCGTTGCTAAAGAACCCTCAAAGAACCATCTTTGTAGTTTAGATGTAAACAAAGTGGTATAAGAATAAATTGAGTATTTTATGGAAGCTTCCTGAGTCAGATTTGGTGACGGGAACCAAAGATTGCGATGTCTTCAATGCCAATGTAGCCATTTTAATATTTTTTTTAGTCCAAAATGACCTGAGATCCTTCATGTGTCTGAATTTTATATGTAACGTTGGTAATGATGAAAAAAAAAATCTTCCAATGTTTTTTTGCCTCATTGCGCCCTGTACGCACCTTTTTAGAAGTACTTTTTCAGCCAAAATCATAACACAAAACTATCATAACACAATGTCTCAGACATCAGGCTGAGTATTTAGAACCATTTCCTGTAATAACTTTCTGTGAGGGAGCTTTAAGACGTGGACGTCTGGTTCCTATCAACACCACTGTGAACAGTTCTGACTCTCGAACAGAGCGTTTCACACCAAACCACTCTGCATGACTTTGTTTACTTTTTAACCATGTGATTATGCAGATATTGTGACATACTGTTGGAGTTCCCTTTTTTATATATATATATATATATATATATATATATATATATATATATATATATATATATATATATATATATATATATATATATATATATCCTTATACATATATAAGGATATATAGTGGCCATGCGCTTTCTGCAACATGCATTTCTCAAAAATGTAGAAGTGTGATTGTCAAACAGCTGTGTGGGCTAAATGGAGTATTTCCTCTGTTAGACTGATGCGTCCTGCCTGACATGGGAAGGAGAAGGTTTTCAAGGGAAGAACGCCATCATGGGCAAACTGAGTGTGAGTGACCTTCTTTAACCCATGAGGTACACAAAGTATGCTGGAAGTAGGGCTGTCACTATAGATCAGGGGTGTCCAGTTTTATCCCTGAAGGGCCAGTGTGGCTGCAGGTTTCCATTTCAGCCAAGCCAACACTGTTAGAAATACATTTTTCATTCATCAAGGTACAAACAATGTAAATGTTCCCTTAAAGGTTCAACAGTGGTTTTAAGGTCTGATTGTGAACCTTAAATACGTTTTTCCAGGTGAAAAGTTCGTATTTGTACCTTTTCATAACCGAATGTTTTAAAACAGAACAGTAAAATAAAGTCCTGGAGACGAGACGGGGTGTGTGGAGTCAGTACAGCTTAGAACATATCATTTCAGTGGATTATGGTTCAGTTATGTTCCCTGACTAAAGGTACTGAGATGGACCCTTCAGGGTTCCACCCCAGTGACAAGAGGGGAACTGCCCCAGTGACTGTTTAGTACCTTTTTTCTGAGAGTGTAGAACTTGCCAACTATATATCACAGCTGTCCAAAGAAAAACAAGTCCAAAATGGCAGCTTTACAGGAGAAAGTAAAAACATTCTTTAATTTTAATGTAAGTTAATGTAAAGAGATTTTATTCCAAGCCATTTTGGGACATTTCTATGAAAGCACTGAGGTCATTTGCAGCTGGAGCCCTTTGAGGTTCACATTAACAGAAGAGTTTGGTTCATTTAAAAACCTGAGATGAGCTGAAACGCCCTCAGTCTCAAGTCCCAGCTTTATTGCCTGATGTCAAAAGCTGGGGATCCATAAAAACCAGGAATGATCCACGACTTTAGTTCTCTTTCCACTTTTCAGAGCCTGCCCTTTCAGACAATTCAGCACAGCATCACTGCTCAGGACCATCACCCCACGCCGGACAGCTGTGTCATGAGCATGGTCATGGGCCAGTTAAAGGTAATGGTTTCTTCAAGTCCATCAAAGCAAAGTCCTTCATCATTAGACTTCAGTTACCTGTGTGAAAGTCTTGATGGTGTAACTTGAGTTCATGGCCAGCAGGTGGTGCTGTATGGCTTTTTTTTATTTTTTTATTTTATTTATTTATTTTTTTTTATGTGTTATTGAAGGCGGGACCAAAAAACTGCTTTCAGCTAATATATAAATGAATGCATGATGATGATGATGATGACGATGATGATGATGATATTGCAATACATAATTATCAATTAATACCTTCTATTTCTTTGCAGGCCGATCAGGACCAAGTTATGGGCTTCCAGCAAGTCTTTTTGCTGAAGAATGTTGATAATAAATGGGTCTGCACTAATGATATGTTCCGATTAGCTCTTCACAATTTTGGAGCGTAGCTTAAAATAGATACTTCCCATAACAGCCAGTCAAAATAGATCTGTAATCCATTGCTGGGAACTTTTTGTAAGTTATGCAGGTCTTACATTTTCCCTGTAAACCTACAGACTCAGAATTGTTTTGCACTTTTCCAGGCCACAATTTCTTGACCTCTCCAGATAAAAGTGAAGAGCTTGAGTATTATATTGGGTAACTGTGTGCTTATGATGTGCATGTTTTTCAAAACAACCTGAATCAAACAATAAATACTCAAGATGATTTATCAGTAAGTCTGAAATAATGTTTTATGATTATCTCACTCATATAGTTACTCATTAAATCATGCATAATTCTTCGCTGTTGTTAGAAAAACAGTTCCAGCATCCTAAAGGGTTCTTCAGTTTGGCCCTTAATGGTTCTAAGGGGTGGTGAAAGTGGGGTGCTTTGTAGTTCTACAGTTACAGACTGTAGTCCATCTGTTTCTCTGCAGACTTTGCTAGCCCCCTTTTACCCTGTTCTTCAGTGGTCAGGACCCCCATGGACCCTCACAGAGCAGGTATTATTTGGGTGGTGGATCATTCTCAGCACTGCAGTAACACTGACATGGTGGTGGTGTGTTGCGCTGGTCTGAGTGGATCAGACACAGCAGAGCTGCTGGAGTTTTTAAACACTGTGTCCACTTACTGTCCACTCTATTAGACACTCATACCTTGTCGGTCCACCTTGTAGATGTGAAGTCAGAGACGATAGCTCATCTGCTGCTGCACAGTTTGTGTTGGTCATCCTCTAGTCCTTCATCAGTGGTCACAGGACGCTGCCCACAGGACGCTGTTGGCTGGATATTTTTGGTTGGTGGACAATTCTAGCAGTCCAGCAGTGACACTGAGGTGTTTAAAAACTCCAGCAGCACTGCTGTGTCTGATCCACTCAGACCAGCACAACACACACTAACACACCACCACCACTTCAGTGTTACTGCAGTGCTGAGAATGACCCACCACACAAATAGTACCTGCTCTGTGAGGGTCCATGGGGGTCCTGACCACTGAAGAACAGGGTAAAAGGGGGCTAACAAAGTATGCAGAGAAACAGATGGACTACAGTCTGTAACTGTAGAACTACAAAGTGCACCTATATAGTAAGTGGAGCTGATAAAATGGACAATGAGTGTAGAAACAAGGAGGTGGTCATAATGTTATGCCTGATCGCTGTATATTTAAGACCCTTCCTGGATCGGGGTCTTATATCTTCAAGTTGTCCTGGGAGCAGCTTGAGATCCCCAAGAATGAGCTCGAGGCAGTTGCAGGGGGACAGGGTTGTCTGGGCTTCACAGCTTTCTCTATTGCAACCGTGACCCCACACTCTTAAAAAGATGATGCTTCAATGGTTCTTTAGTAAAGAAAATGGTTCTATATAGAACCATGAACACTCAAATAACCCTTTGCATGATTTAAAGAGCTCTTAGCATCATGACAGGGTTCTTTAGACTGATGGAAAATGTGCTATAGATGGTTCTATATAGCACCCAAAAGGGCTCTTCTGCTGTTACAATGTCAAGCTTGCAATAATAGAAGAACCCTTTTCAAAAAGGTTCTATATAGGACCATCTATACCACGATCATGCAAACCCTTTCATGATTAAAGAAGAATTATAATCATGCAAAGAGTTCTTTGAGTGTTCATCGTTCTATATAGAACCATTTTCTTTACTAAAGAACCCTTGAAGCACCATCTTATTTTAAGAGTGTAGCTGAATCAAGCAGGTTAAGAAGATAAGATTTTGAGCTATATTGCATATTTAGAGTGGAATATATAAACATATTGCCATTTTAAATATTACATTTTAATGTTAATTTTGAGGCTGATATGCTCGGAACACTACAGAGGACACACTTCTGCACATTTTAATGCACACTTATGGTTTATTTGCTGAACATAACACACTATACCACAGTAACTATGCCTCAAAGCCAAGATTGTTGCGTTTCTCAGCTTTTATGTCACTAAAAACTGTCTGGTTTGGTAAAATGCATGGAATGCAGCTGAGAAATCAAAGGACTTCACTGGTATGTTCTTCAAGACCTTCAGTGGCTCATAATCCTGCATGAAATGTGCGGGAGTGTGTTCTCATCAAGGGCTACAGCTGCAAGGAAAAACTCCCTAAGAGCAAAAGTAGAAACTTTGAGAGGAATGAAGACTCAGAAAGGGATATTGGTCCTCCTCTGGTCGACACCTGATAGTGAAACAATAACATAAGAGGGATATAAAGAATAAAAACTGAAAATGAATATACAATCAGATTCATACTGGATTAAAATCACTCCACAATTATTACTGTCAGACTGTAAAACTACACTCTGCAGATTCATATTGGATTAAAATCACTCTACAATTATTACTATCAGACTGTAAAACTACACACACTGCAGATTCATACTGGATTAAAATCGCTCCACATTTATTACCGTCAGACTGTTAAACTACACACACTGCAGATTCATACTGGATTAAAATCGCTCCACAATTATTACCGTCAGACTGTAAAACTACACACACTGCAGATTCATACCGGATGAAAATCTTGTTGGTAATAAGTTAAATCACGGGTAAATCTCCTCCAGCTCCAGTAGGGCTAGATTAGACACTACTGGGAAGAATCATTATCAGATTTTGTCCATTAGAACTGAAGGAGTCCTAGTCACTGTGTTCATCGCTAGACTCCATATAATCTTTGTTATACAACTTATTTCCATTAGCCGAAGTGTTACTGCACATGTGTATATATATATACATTGCTTTTTCCAGACTCGTCTATATTTCATTAGTCGTGTCTCAGTGAGGCCTGCGGGATGTGGGTGTCACGTTTCTTCTCTTTGTTTTCTGAACACATCGCGGCTAGATTGTTCCTTGAGAAGGTCACTGCGATCGAGATAAGGACTTGTTCATGCCAATCTCCAGACTGTCCCGGAAGACATGGCGGCGCGGCCTGGGGCTGTGGAACTGGGTGAAAGTGAATTTGTGGAGGTTATCTGAGAGCACTCAAGGCCTGGACCTAAAGGGATAGTTCAGTAAAAATCACTTGAACAGTTCCCTAATCAGCTAGCAATGCAAATTTTGCAATGTAAAACATCTCTTTGAGAAGTTTAAACATAATGTACATACAATTTATAATAACTTCTGTTATGGCCCCATATTTTGTCTAGGGTGCTGTGGGAACAGTAACATGTGGCATTAAAATACTGAACTGGTGATGATGGATTAAAAGCTGGGGGAACAGGCCAATAGAGCTTTTAAAGCCAATTTATTAAAATCAACCACAATAAAATGCTGTGCTATGAGAAGTGTGTTCTCTGTAGAGGATGTGTTCACTTTTTATATTATTCTCACTTAAAATCAGCACAAACATTTTTTTTCATTTCACACCAAACCGCTCTGAATGACTTTGTTTACATCTCAACTATTTCATAATGCAGACTTTTTGAAAAAATAGTGGAATTCTCCTTTAAAGGGAACTTTTCACGAATCTCAAGATGCAGTATGCGGAGTTTCTTGCTAATTTTACTAACGTTTCTGCTGTAACAGACCACAGCACTATAGACTATACCACAGTAACTATGTTTTAAAGCCAAGGATGCTGCGTTTCTCAGCTTTTATGTCACTGAAAACTGTCTGGTTTGGTAAAATGCATGGAATGCAGCTGAGAAATCAAAGGACTTCACTGGTATGTTCTTCAAGACCTTCAGTGTCTCACAATCCTGCATGAAATGTGCGGGAGTGTGTTCTCATCAAGGGCTACAGCTGTAAGGAAAAACTCCCTAAGAGCAAAAGTAGAAACTTTGAGAGGAATGAAGACTCAGAAAGGGATATTGGTCCTCCTCTGGTCGACACCAGATAGTGAAACAATAACATAAGAGCAATATAAAGAATAAAAACTGAAAATGAATATACAATCAGATTCATACTGGATTAAAATCACTCCACAATTATTACTGTCAGATTATAAAAACTACACACACTGCAGATTCATACTGGATTAAAATCGCTCCACAATTATTACCGTCAGACTGTAAAACTACACACACTGCAGATTCATACTGGATTAAAATCACTGCACAATTATTACTGTCAGACTGTAAAACTACACACACTGCAGATTCATACTGGATTAAAATATAGCAATATAAGCAATATAAAGCTGAAACTAAAAAAATGAATATACAATCATTCAATAGGTAAAAGAAAAGCAATGAGTCTTTCTTTGTCACTGAAGTACGGAGATTAAAACACAAGAGATTAAAACACAAACTAAAACACAGATTAAAACACAGATTAAAACACAGATTAAAACACAAACTAAAACACAGATTAAAACACAAACTAAAACACAGATTAAAACACAGATTAAAACACAAATTAAAACACAGATTAAAACAAAGATTAAAACACAAACTAAAACACAGCACACAGGTGATCAGTCCTCTCTCTCTTCAGCCACCTTTTAAGGCTTAGGCTCCTCCCCCCCCTCTACACCAACGGGCCTCTGATTGGTTAGAGGTCCTCCTTGTCTCGGCCACATGTGAAGGAGCCTTCGAAATGGGACAGCCTAGTCGTGCTGCTGTGGCGCAATTAGCCTTCAAATGCCTCAGAAGGACGCAGCCCCTGAATGGGGACTGCAGGAAAGAGACACACACAAAAGACCAAAATACATGTTTAGGCGTATCTTTTGTTTGTCTATAAACTTTAGTGTTGTGCTTTTCTTTTCATCGTTGTTAGTCGAGTTTCCTCCCTGCTGAAAAATCTCTAATGTTGACGGTAATCATTCTAATCTGCCAGTCTAACGGTTACCAACCTACGGAGCCCAGCTGGTGACTTCCCATATAAAAAATAATGCGTGGCCATGCCGTATTTACATGTGGGAACACGATCCTAATACGTGGCCACGACTTAAGTAAGTAAGGCATGGGAATGAAAAAATGAAGCCTTAACTACTGCTTAATAAGGCATGATCTTGTTCCCAAGTCATGGCCACGACTTAATTATCTCATTCCCATGCCTTACTAAGTCGTGGCCACTATTTTTACTTATACGGGATGTCACCAGCAGGGCTCCATACCAATCTAACGGTGACTATTAAGCTATTAGGCTTCCCATTAGGAAGCACAACTATCAGGTTTTGATCCTAATGGATTTAATGGCCTTTTTTCAGCAGGGCTGTAGAATACTACCCAGCAGGCTATCAGAGGAAAGTGGTGAAGTTGTATCAGCAGCAGTCATGTTTTAGAAATGGAGT